CATATCTACTGTGCTGCGGTTGTTCCTAAATCCGCATTGTTCCTAAAAGCACATACAGACACATTAATTGGCAATTCAAAAAAATCTGTTGTCGGCGAATTATGATGCAATACACATGGACACTGAATACTGCGTGGCTTTAAATAGGGCGCAATTACCAACAGCTACAATAACTATTCAATACAATGTACTTAAAGGTATAGACCAGTTTTTGGAAACGCCTCCCTCTCAAAAATTGAAATGGAAGCTCTTATTACCAATCATGCGAAAGAATATGTTTTGACTAATACGTGATGATACAAATTTTGCCGGGAAGCCGCCTTCTATAATTGATATATTTGATAAATTATCATATCTATCCGGCCTGGATAGATATCGCGAATGCACTTCAACATTGAACATGTGGGCATATATTTCTGCTTTTTTGCGAATTCAGGTTGAAGTATTGCCATCTAAACCTCTGAAGGTAATATTTAAACAATATTGAATGGATATTTTGCACTTAAAACCCTTGAACCGCAATTTTACCATCCGGTCTATATCTTTAAATACATCAGCAAAATTGAATACCAAACCAAATACATTGATTTTTTTTTTACTTGAAATGATGCCCTTTGAAAGATCAATAATAATAACTAAATTCATAAATTAAAACAATGTCATCCTTATTATTTACCCAAGCATATGTCAGGAAAACGCAGACTGGTAAAAGCAGCAAAAAGTAGAAGATATATTCGAAAATCCATGGTTCTTGAATTACGGCCAGACACGTGCTGATTCCACGCACTTCTTACATCGACTGTCAATATAGGACAACAGCACTTCCCCTTTTGGCGAAAAAATTCATAATACATCATGCCGTATTGAATTTGTGCATCGCTTATGAAAGCCTGGCTTTCCCTTTACAATAATAGATATCGAATTTGAACAAACAAATGCTTTTTCTTTTACGCTGCTTATGTCAGTATTAAAAGGCTGCCTGTTCCTCTTTTGTGATTGTACTTAATCATGGAACCGTGTGAAATTGAAGGGTATTTTAATAATAATAATAATACTATGTCTTGTTTGTCCATCAGTATTATACTGATCTCCCTGAGGGCCCTGCAATCATATTATTACATTACGACGCATAGAACAATAGAAAACTGACTTTACTCCCGCCCCCCCCCCCAAAGGAGATAAAATGGGATAATAATTATTTCAAATGTAGCTCCTGGACATGATCCAGGATGGCTGGGGGAGGTGTATTAAACGTGCTTTTAGGGGTGGAGGACCTAGTCCAGTTAGCCGACAAATTTGCTGAAAATATTAAAAGAAACTCTCTCTCCCTCTCTCCCTCTCTCTCTCCCTCTCTCTCTATAAATCAATCTATCTTTCTTCCTTCCCCTTCCCCTAATCTTTTGCCCTAATTTTTCCTTATATGTTGCCCATTTTCGAGCCTCTCCTTGTGTTTTCCACTCTCTCTCTCTCTCTCTCTCTCTCTCTCTCTCGCTCTCTCGCTCTCTCTCTCTCTTATTCTCTGTCTCCCTCTTTCTCTGTCTCTATCTCCCTATGCCTCCTCCTTACCTCCCTTGGGTTTTTTTCCGTCTACAACCCCGTTGCTGTATTTCTTTATTTCATAGAGATTTTTCAAATCTATTCCACTTCTTTCACTTTTTGTATCTCTGCCTCCCCCCTCTCTCTCTCTCTCTCTCTCTCTCTCTCTCTCTCTCTCTCTCTCTCTCTTTCTCTCTCTCTCTCTCTCTCTCTCTCTCTCTTTCTCTCTCTCTCTCTCTCTCTCTCTCTCTCTCTCTCTCATATGATTGAATGATTTTACTTCATCTCTTCCTCTATTGGGATAGATCACATGGATGATCAGTTTAATGCAAAATGCATATTGCTCGATCTATTATTAGCGTAACCATCCATTCATGTAAAACACAATAATATACAAGCAGAACGTGAGAAGACATTGTTTGTACAGTATGTTTGTTCTGTATTATGTGCATAACACTTTCACAAGTAACTGGATATTGTTTGTATAATAATTGTGTTGCCTTGAATAAGATTTTTTTTAAACAAGGAAATAAGAAAAAAGTACTTTGCGTTTCGAGTTGGATTGGCCGAGTATAGGGACATCTAATTAATGATATCATTATCACTATCATGACTATGTTCCTAAAATGCAGTTATAAGCATATCCTTGATTAAATTCTGTGTAGCACTTATTAATTTCGCTACGACCTTACTTACCATACAATGTAATATTGCAAGAAAAAAGGTCTATACTGTAACGGATCATAATTATGATTAGGATAATTTGGATGATGATGACGACGACGGTGATTAAAATGTGATTATAATGATCTTCCTCTCATTTTCAAGATCAATTCTTTTATTTTCTGCATGATATGAGTTTACCATCTGTTGTCCTCTTTTCTAATTGTTTAAATATTTTTTTTATAGTATTTTTTTTTATTACTCCAAATGTAAAACCATGGACCTACTACTCTTAGTAGGTCCATGGTAAAACAAACAAAAACAACATACAATTGAATAAAATAAATAAATGGTTTCAATATTAATTGCTTATACATAAACATAATTAAACAAAAACTCGTTTGCAGTATATATAACTGAGCAACAAAATAAACCTTAAGTACATAAACATAATTTATAAGTCAATTGTACATGTTATTCACTCTATATAATAAACTTTAACAAATCTGGAGGTTATTTTCCTGGTAGAAGGAACAAAGTCCTGCTCCTCCCTGTCCACTCCCTCACTCAAACACACTCGGACACACACACTCAGTGGATGTCTGCCAACATTCTCAACTCAAGAAATATACTAAATAAGTAAGTTAACCAGGCTGCAAAATGGAGTTACACTTTAACAAGCTCACGGTGGGGAGAAAAACAAACTTGAATTGACACTAAGCTTTCCCATTCTAATGGCTATTTTTTCCCTCATCCCTTTAATTAAAATGTTTTTCCTCATCTTTTCTAAAGTTGGTAGCCCTACTTGCCCCCCCCCCCCCCCCTCCGATCTTGACATAAATATAACATACTTCACCATGAAAATGATAGTATTACAGATTGTTATTCTATATGAACTACCTGCCAACCCAACAAATGTATCTCGCCATTCTAAATATTTAATTTCAAATACAATAATAATACAATCATCCGCTTCATATACTCTCCACTTATTTCCCAATTGATGGCTGCTTCCAAGCACTCTGACAATAAGGGCACGTTGTTCGCCATGCAGTAGATGACGTGCGGTGTTAAAAATTGTAAACACCCTTCCTAGATCGATCCGTGCTATGTGTTTCAGAACGAACTCATGCAACTCATTCAACCATAAAGTAAACAAAATGATACTGTTAATACTTGAGAATCTTTATCGCGTTGTCAAATTTTAAAAACTGCAAAGAGAACCTGTTATACGTCTTTCGACAAGTGTATTCTCTAGAGGGCGTCAACATCATATGCAAAATGAAAATGATGAGATACCCACATACAACCTTTAGAGACAGATATCCAATGCGGTGAATGGCTGGTCTGGATTAGGAGATGAATAAATCATAATGACAGCAATTAAAAATTATCATTTCGTGGACAGAATCAACTACAGTATAAAACTATTCGTCGAAAGGTATGCAGGGACATAAGACATGACTCAAAGAAAAAAACAAAATAACAAAACAATAACAATTCCTTATTAATAAGAAAATAAGGAACATAAACTTGTGTTGAGAAGCCGTTAATCTGTCTTTTTATTCAAAGTATAATTTTCCTTTTTACGCATCTCTGGTTAGAAATCATACGAAAATGTGTGAAAGATATCAAAACCATCAGTAGACACCGGGTTCGGTTGGGGTCTGGGAAGGTGTAAAATAATTGTGAGTTTTTTTCATTCTTTTTACGTTAGTGTGTATCATATACAAATTAAACCCTAACAAGAATGGCTCATCAAATGCACTCATATTCGAAATATGACATGAGATAACTGGAGTGTTGTAGGCCACAACACATTCCACATGTTTGTGTAGTCCTATATACTTATTCCTTTGTATAGTGCGTGTGACTCTTAGGAAGAATGGGAAAATTTCTTATTATTTGTATGATTCCAAAACCTCACAGTATACACCAACTAATATTTAGGTATGTACTACATAATCAACCTTTTCCGGGCCCATCACTTCCACTATGACACGGGCGTCGCTACAACAAAATACTGTGCCAGACTAAGTGCCATACTAAATTGATTGAAAATGTTCAAAATTTCTTCCGCGAGTGACAAATTTAAACGGTTGGCAATAATGCTTCGCTTGTCACAACATAAAACAAAACTAACAAACAAACAAAACATAGAATAAACGGTTCAACATAGGCCTACATCTCCAGTGTCTTTGTTTTAGTTTCCAATCCAGGAGTCCCGTTTTCATCTTAATTATGTAATAATGATACATTTATAGAGCGCAGAAACTATCCAACTTTAAGTATATATTCTACTGCGCTACGAGAGCTCCTGATATGCTTAGATTTACAGTTAATTGAAAAGATGTGCTTTCAGTTTTGATTTAAAGATATTCACAGACGGTGATTTCCTGACTTCAAATGGTAAGTTGTTCCAGAGTTTTTGGGCTGCACAAGCAAATACTCGATCAACTAGCATTATTTACCATCCATCATTTAAACATAGGAAGCCGATCGACAGGTCATCAGACCAGTCTCTTTGTTGTCAGGGAAGTATACCTGGAATAGTTTGACAATGCCCAGGATGGTGCCAACTACCAAGATAAATATCAGCGCATATAAGGCACGAACTTTGAAATGATAAAGTACTCGCGTGTGACCTACATACCTACAGACCTATACGTTCCTATTTATAAACAACAAATACATAAGCAACTTGTAGTTTCACATGCTTTCGTTTCCTTCTGGATAAAAAAACCCCGCACATGTTCAAAATAACCTAGCATCCGTTAAAACTAAACTTCTCAAGCCGTGTTTCATTCCTCCTCGGAGAGATGAAACTCTTGATTGTCGTAACTAGTCTGCGTTTCAGTGGTCGACTGCTGGTGGAACACATCGTCAGCTTGTTGGTTAGAATCTGAGCCCGGAGCGCCAATCTCTCCCTGACCCTGGCTACATCCAGAATCAAGGGACGGGAAGAGATCCCTCTTCTCCTGCTCCTTCTCTGATCGACGCCTCTCCCTGGACCGCTGTAGCTCCTCCTGGACCCACTTCAGCTGTCGTTTCGTCGATCGGTTGATGTAACAGAGGCAGATGGCGAGGATGGTTAGGCAAAATACGGCGACGGCTACGAATCCGATGGCGATCTCGACCTCCATGAGAATGTCGGGAGTGCTCGGTTTATCGGTGGTCGTTGGATGATTGGTTGGAGTTGGTGCTGATGAGGCCATCTTTATTCTTGTAGCGTCTAAGTCTTATTCTGTTGTTAAGCACATAAAATGAAAGAGGAAAAATAATTTATTGAAAGATAGATGAACTTGATAATAAAACGATACCAATGATCATGGTGATAAGGTGTCGGAAAATCAAATTGCTTACGTGGTTGGCCTCTTCCTTTAAAGAAAAAGAATGGTACACTCACAAGCACCCATAAATATGATTTTATAGAATTTAAAGTGCCAAATCTATGTCACCTTTGTAAATACGGAACCCGCAATTTCAAACATATCCAGTAAAATATTTGAACAACGCAATAAAATCGCTCAAAGAAGACGGTTTGTGCAGACATTGTAAGTACATTGAAATAACAAGACTCATAACCACTATAACGTACGGTAGTTACAAGAAAATATTTCGCATCAGGTGGATAAATTAGCCTCTCTGTATTGCCGGATATAGCACCCAAAAACAAAAAGATACAAAACGGGATAATGGGATGAACTTGAACGGTGAAGAAATAAGATACGTCTTATTAACTAAAAGGGGTAGTTATAAGACATTTTTGTTATTGGTATACTAGACATGCCGTATCAAAAGTCATACGACGATTTGGCATTCATTTTTCTACCTCTTTTTGGGAGTGGTGCTATTTTTTCCTTGTTTATCTAATTTTTTCAGCATTGAATTTCTAATGTAGGCCTATTACCTGAGTCACACCAACAAGACCGACACCAGACCAACACCAGACCGACACCAGACCGACACCAGACCGACACCAGCCCGACACCAGACCGACACCAGCCCGACACCAGCCCGACACCAGACCGACACCAGCCCGACAAAATATGCATTACCCCTATGGCACAAAATCAATCAGTTTGGAGTCGGTTTGGAGTCAATAGCGGTGTAACTGAGGTATAACAGTAAACCCCCTGGATTTATTGAACACTCTTGATTCATACTGTATGATCGTTTTATTAGTAATAATAGTTTTAGGAGAAGTATTCTGGAATCAGTTGTTGAGAGGGTTTTACTATTTGGCTTAACTGCGACATTTTGTAAAAGAGGAGGACGAGCTTTGGCCAGTCTTATAATCCAGTGAACAGATTATTGAAACTGTCATAGACTGGTCTTAGGAGGAATTATTTGAGTTGGTAGAAAAGGATGAAGGTTGACATCTGCGCTACAACTTACATTTCCATTGCTTTTTTTTAACCCCACTACTTAATTTCAAAGATATTTTGTTCTTGTTGTTTTAATGATCAAGTTTTTACGAAAATATGCATCATATTTTTAAGGGTATTTTGTTAAATCCACTATCAACAAATGCATAAGTTTGTTTTTCTTCTCTGTGTCTGTTTTGTTCACTGGACCCATTGCATGTCTCTCTTTTTCCCATATCAAGACCTCTTCTATGTTGTATATTTTCACGATTATGATGAGGCATACAACTGAAAATGCAAAAATGGTTACTTATGATCATACGTTAGCCTACCATACAAGTTTTCCAATCGTAAGGCTATGAATAGTGAATGTTAAACAAGTTTAACAGTTGGCCTAATATAAAGCAGCGAATAGTGAATATGCCCCATGCACTTTCCCCTATCTCCTATAGGCTTTACATTTATAGGCCTCCCGCTCCTACTTACGACATACAATTTGACAGTATATACTTACCCTATTTTACACAAAAACTCTCCCGAAAGATTTCTTTCGATACTGATTCATTTATATAAAACTTTTAGAGAGATGACTAAGATAAATAAATACTTACGTCAATTCGTTTCCTCGATTTATATTCCAACCCGGAAACGTTCGCCGAGAAGCTTTACATAAATATTTAACCGAACTTCCTTTCCAAAATTCTAACATCTGATTATGTTCGCAGGATAAATATTGTTCTGTACAGTGTACCTTGAACCTGGGACACAAACAATGTTGAAATCCGATGTTTGGTTCGTCCAAATAACGATTTTGTTACGATATGTTTGAGCCTATACATTATATTTCCAATGATTTTCCCTCTGTCTGCCACATGTCTGTCTGGCTGTATATGTCCCCCCTCTCTCTCTCTCTCTCTCTCTCTCTCTCTCTCTCTCTCTCTCTCTCTCTCTCTCTCTCTCTCTCGGAATGGCCCCTTTGTTGAAATCAACATAAATAAAGAAGTATTCATTATTTAACCACAAACAGGTTGATTAATGGCCTCTTTGTTGAAATCAAGATAAATGAAGGGGAACATAAATAGAGGAAAAAAAAGGGGAAAAAGATAAATGAAGAGGTGTTCATCATTTAACCACACAATAGGTTGATTCATTTCCCTTAGGCCTCGTAATAATCATTAAAATACTGAAGTTAACAGTTTTTCCGACACGCTCGTTACGTGATCAAAGTTTGACATTAATGAGGTGGAAGGAGCGTGGTGTCGGGGGGGGGGGGGGAGCAGTCACGACGTGATTTATTTTTGTCAGCATATTCAGCATACGGGAAAATATTTAAAGGCACGAATTAAAATGATCTTATCAAATATAACTAATTACTGACAAAAGTCAAGGATATTAAAAAGGCAAGGTGAAAGTATAGGCTATTTCAGAGCTAGACCCCCCCCCCGCATCTCTCTCTCTGTGTTTCTCTATCTCTCTCTCTATTTCTCTTTCTCTCTCTCTTTCTCTCTCTCTCTCTCGTTCTCTCTCTCTCTCTCTCTCTCTCTCTTTCTCTCTCTCTCTCTCACTCTCACTAAACCTCGGTTACCATTTTCCTCTTATTTCTATCTCCCCCCTCCCCCGTTTTCTCCATCTCTTTTTTATATTTTACTTTTTATTCTACGTGTAGGCCTAACGTACTCCAATGTTATTTGAAATAAGTCGATTTTTAGAGCGACATTAATAAGTACTTTCTTTTATTGCTGCATTCATTTTGAGTTGTATATCTTTTTATCAAATTGATTTATTTATTTTGGATACAGGTAAAATCAAAAGCTGCATCAAATTGCTCATGGAAAATGTAAAAATAGTTTTAAACGTAAATATAACAACAGTAATAACAATGATAATAATATGGATGATATTATGAATATGAATAGCAACAATATTAATAATTTTGTATACAAAGGGAAGCCGCATCATCATCAATGCAAGCTTTTCTTCCCCATTGTCCTGCAATCATTACTACCCCCAGCAATTACCAGGTACTCATTTACACTTGGGTGGTTATAGAGTGGCAAAATGTGTCTCTCCTAAGGATGTCAGCTCTCCATTCCAGAGGAGAACTGTATTTTCCTGCGGTATTCTAGGTCGGTCTGGCAGGCTTTCCCATAAAGTTTGATATTGATGTAATCTGCGAGTCATTAACTGAGTAATGAAGGATGAGAATATACCACATTAACTTCACATCATAAGTCATGATTATGATAACAAGTTCAGTCCTCAATACAAGAGTCATATTGGCAGTGATTAAGCTATTTTTGAAGCATTACTATAATTACTTGAATATAAATGATTGTATTATTTGCTGTTATAAAAATGTGATGAATTTTTTTCTTCTTCTCGGCATTACAAAAATGAAACCTTTCATAACTTAGTCTTTTCATCCTCTTTCTTTCTGACCTTCCTCTCTGCCAATACATTTAGTTGTATTGTATACACTTTTCATGAGGACATTAACTACATCTTTGATCATCAGTCATTTTGATGGCATGGGTTTGTATCCCACCGCTGCCAATAACTTTTAGCGCCTTTGGTTATACAGTGCGTCCCAGAAAAAACGAAACCGAGAAGTATTGATGTTCTATCATAACTTAATCACAACTATAATTAATGAATGATACATATTTGGAAAGCTTAGAGTATCTTCTTTCATGTGATGCTACTCAGATGATGCATATTTCACGCATGAGTGATTAAAAGCAGTTTGAAGGAAGGAAACCAAAAAGACATTTGGCGGGCGGTATCTGAATTTCGAAGAAAAATTCACATTTCTAGAAAGTTGAGTTTCTGCACTTTCATATGACACCTCAATCAGGAAAAATGAGCGAGGAATGACAAAGTTCTGTTTGTTTAAAATAGTGCTTGCATTTCCATAATTTTATTAAACGAATTCGTTTTCACTGGCTGCCTGCCGTATCAATAAACGAAATTAACAAAAGACTTAACTCCGTTTCGTTGACAATCAGCCGTAGACGAGAGTCTACATGCATGGCTGATTGTCAACGAAACGGAGTTAAGTCTTTTGTCAAATCTGCTTTTTGCTACGGCAGGCACCCAGTGAAAACGAATTCGTTTCTTAAGATTATGAAAATGTAAGGGCTACTTTAAGCAAACAGAACTTTGTTATTCCTCGCTCATTTTTCCTGATTGAGGTGTCATATGAAAGAGCAGAAACTCAACTTTCTAGAAATGTGAATTTTTCTTCGAAATTCAGACACCGCCCGCCAAATGTCTTTTTGGTTTCCTTCCTTCAAATTGCTTTTAATCACTCATGCATGAAATATGCATCATCTGAGTAGCATCAACTGAAAGAGGAGACTCTAAGCTTTCCAAATATGTACCATTCATTAATTATGGTTGTGATTTAGTTATGATAAAACATCGATACTTCTCGGTTTCGTTTTTTCTGGGACGCACTGTATAGGCAACCGTTGGCGCTTTATAAATACCTGGATTGGATTGGACTACCCCATTTTCTACAAAATCGATGTGACTTTGTAAACCTATAATGACTAAACATACATGTAACTATACTTATCACATCAAATCAAACTATAAATCTCAAACGAAATCAAGCAAGTATGAAAGAAAGAAAGTAAGAAAAAAAGAAAGACAGAAAGAAAGAAAGAAAGAAAGAAAGAAGAAAGAAAGAAAGAAAGAAAGAAAGAAAGAAAAGAAAGAAAGAAGAAAGAAAGAAAGAAAGAAAGAAGAAAGAAAGAAAGAAAGAAAGAAAGAAAGAAAGAAAGAAAGAGAGATAGAAAGATATCTCCTGATGTCACATTATCACTCTCTGATTGTTCAGCCATCGGTTTTGTTCAGGAAAAAATTGCCTGGAAGCTCCTCAATAAGGCAAGATCATCACTAAACTATACTGTACAATATACACAAAAATAGCGTCATATGAGAAGTCAACAATAACTCAACGGGCACCTATCGACGTTTGATTAGTTTTTGGTAAGACTTTCGACGCGTCATGTATGACGAATACTTCAGTTCTTTTTGCATACGGATTGCCATGGCAACTAGTGCCCCTCAGCTCTGCCCTCTCCTTTTGTCTTTCATATCTTAGCCTATCTTTTTCCTTTTCGAGTTTCTTTTCCGCCTCGTCGAACTGTCGTCTGGTAGTTCGTGTGATGTAGCACAGGAGTAGGACGAGGGCAATGAAGCTCACCAGGGCGACCACGGAGAAGATGATGGTGAGTTTGAGTTCCGAGCTGGTGGACGATGGCGTTGTCGATTCGACGGTGTTTGAGATGGTGTTTGAGATGGAGGTAAGATCCATGATTCTTCGACATGAAACCGAAAGTGAAAAGAAGGAGAAAGTAAGTTACCTTCGCATTATATTCTTGAAGCAAAATATTACAGCCATCATGCTAATAATTAATATTGCAGGGGAGTGTTTCAGAAAGACTAAGATCTACTTTAATTAAGTCGGACTTAACTATGGCAGGCCGCTCATGCCACTGTTTGCTCTCACCCTTATGATTATAATATTTTTTCCTTCAATAATGAATTATCAACAAAAAAAATCTAATTCTGTAGATTTGTGACCATGATTTGTACGTCCCTTTAGAGATCAATGCCAGTAAATGGGAGAGCAAACAGTGGCATGTAAGGCCTGCCATAGTTAAGTCCAACTTAAGGTTGATCTTAGTCTTTGTGGAAAACCCCCACATATTATACTAATCAATGTTTTCAATGATAATAGTCAAGATGGTTTAAGATATCAATTCAGTTATTGAATATCAGCATGTTGCTTGGTGTGACATGTAGCCAATGCCTCTTTCCTTACTATAGATTTTCACTGATTAAATAGTTACATTTAATCATAAAAGGTTGACATGTCATTATATATATTCGACATTCCTGAGCATTTTGTATCTGGAAATTAATAATATGGTACGCCGCAAAACTGGTTTAGGACAGGGATCTTTTAATTGTGATAATTATAGCTTTCGTGTGTTGACATGTTATCCCATAAGGTCACATTTTTTGTATCATGTTGATGTTCATATTCAAAGCTCATGTTAACAAACGGATTGGAACTTGGAAGAAAAATGTTTCTCCATGAAATTGATTTCATATAAATTATAGTGGTGTTATTTCTCTAATTAAAAGCAGAATCGAATTAAACCAAACAATAAGTATTGGTAAATGTAATACAGTCCTGTTATACTATAAGCCATCGTCCTGCACGACATATAGTTAGTAGTATAATTATCACTTTAAAAAAAAAATCCATGATCCAAAAAGTGATTAATAAGAATCGCGTCCTAGCGTCTCCTTCCCTTATGTTCACTGGACCTAATGCAATACCGCTGTCATAATATCATGACAAAATGTGATGCATAAATTGTGATCGGCAATCGTCAGCATAAAATGTTGCCAAATGTTTTATAAATTATTGTAAGTATAAAGCTAGCTGTATTGCAATAAGCTCAACAAACATGGATCATAATTCAAAAGCATACACAATAAGCAAGCATCCTACGTATAATACAAATATGCATAATACTTATATAAACATGAATCATAATACTTGCATGCATGCATATGGGTAGTATACTTACATTTAATCCACGATGATGGTGTAAATGTTAAGGTTTCCTATATATCGCAGCATCATAAATTCCACAATGCAGTACACAGGTGCCAACTGCTGATCGGATTATATTGCTGTTTGTTCATACAGCAAGATTAATGCTGAGGAGCAGTATCTTATACAATAATTGTATTATAGTGCAAGAAGATCAATGTCGATTTTGTACACGAAATGGCATTCAGGCAGCACGTAACATGCAACATTCGTGCCTGTCTTGTTAAGTTTATAGTTCAGTCTGCGTATAATGAACGAGGGAGGTGCAGTCTACAATGACTGCTTTTATACAAAGGGCTATAAAGTGCGCTCTATTGTTTGCTTTTAACTCGAGAGGTCATAAAAACAGGGGACCATGCAATGCATCCACCCAGACCCAGTGGCGTAATGAGCAAAAACTTTTGGGGGGTTCAGAACAAAATCCTGAAATTCATAATGTAGGGGCGGCGGAGCGTCTTCCAAATTAGGGAGGCGCACCAACAAATAAGGGCATTTTCCGGAAAAAGGGGCACCTACATAGGGGAACATCAACAAAACCTACACCATTTGTAGACATCGGTATATACCCCTACATCGTCATTATTGTGATTACACTACCGGGGCCACTGCTTAATTAAGCAAAATACTTTGCAGATAGGTGTGATCGTGTGAAGATTAATTTTAGTCACCTTGAATTACGGGTGCATGTTATATAGGGGAAAGTGGGCACTTATCAAACAAGAAAGGACAGTTATTAGAAAAGAAAAGGTGCTCGTGTCAAAGTAAAAATGAAAATTATCAGAGCTTTCAGAGGTGAACATGGCGGCATTTCTTGCACCTGAAATGGGCCACTCAACAAAAATGAAAAGAGGCACTTGTGAGAATGGAAATGGGGAATCTGTTGGAGGAGAAGGGCACCTATCAGATTTTGATAGGGGCATTTATCAGATGTTAAAAGGGGCATTTTTAATTGGGGGAGGGGCTCATATAAAAAAGAAAGAGGGGACACGTGTCAAAATAAAAGGGGCCCTTATCAAAGGTGAAGAGTGGCATTGAAGAGGAAATGAAGGGGGTTCTTATTAAGGAGGGAAAAGTACACTTATTAAAAAAGAGGTGAAAAGGGGAGAAAAGGGACAGTTATTAGAAGAAAAAAAAGGGGCACGTACTATATGTCCTATGTAAAAAACAAAACAGTCATTTCAGCAACATTTGTAAATCACTGGTATCGAATTAGACCACGTTAGAATGTTATTGGGGGGGGGGGGGTCTGGTCAACTGCTCCCAAGCCCCCCCCCCCCCCCCCCCGATCAGTACGTCAGTGAGTCCACTGTAAACATATACGGATTCGTACGTAATGTTCCTGCAATAATTTTTTTTAGAAAATTAATTTTCGAATCCCTGCACCATATGGCCACCAGCTGCCCTCCCCATCTTTTCCCAAGGGAAAATGAAAATCCAAACTTTCCTCACAGACCCGGAAAGACCTACTTGTAAAAAGAGCATTTTCTACCTCTTGATCGTATGTGTTCGTCATCCTTTTTTTTATCTCTTACTTATATACCGCCCTCGCGATCTTCTTTTAACTATCATCCATAGAGATAAATACTACTATTAAGTATATATCTCTATGCTATCATCCCTCTACTCTTTAATTTTTATACAGCTTGAATTGATCATTTTTGAAGAGCGCCCTCACATTCATTGAAGTTTATATTGTGGAAATACCAACTTCGCTGTGATTACGCAATAATAATAACTCCCTCAGTGTTTTGTTGTAGCTGACTCCACGGTCTTAGAAACGATTTTTATGGTTTCAAGAAAAGCATTCCAGATCATTATGAAACATTATGTGGTATAAGAACAACAGGAGCTTTGCTTTATTTTGCAGCGTATGATCATTGAAGGCCCTACACATTTATTATTTTGAGCATATCAGTTCAGCCAGTCGGACCCATTCTTTGCTTCACTTCTACCGGGGCGTGTCGGGCGGAACGCGATGGCGTGTGTGCTGGTCAGCAAGGAGACGGAGAAGGCCCAAAATGAGATTGCTATTCGCGAACCATCGTCCCCATCAAACACTGCTCCAGATGAGCAAGATGGAGGAAAAAAGCCAAACGACTTTTTATTACAGACTTTAGATGCTTTGGAACTCCGTGTTGAGAAAATGAGAGAGACGGCAAGATCGATTGAAGACGAAAAGATTCGTTTGCTTAACTCCCTGAATACGATGATGCAGAGCGAGGCCATTGACCATCTATCAGGAGGTTAGTGTACTACTTCTAGCTCTTGGATATCACATATTCAATTCTACACATAAATAACTGTCTGGTAAGGGAATTCTTTAATAAAACTGACATGTGTTAACCTTCCCCATAGACAGACAATATGAGCCAGTACTGTACTACGCAATGGGGGGAGGGGGGGGGGGGTGGAGAATACTTGCGAATATTAGCACTTAACATGCATGTACGCATACTACAACAAAATGCACCCACTAATCTACCCTAAATTTGCTCTTTAAATGAGAAAACATTATTAAAGTCACCTTCATTGAGCTTTTTTTCCAGGCAGACACCTTCTTTAACTATTATTATTAATAAACTGATCAGTGGCCTTCTCAGTTCTCTCGGTCGTCTGATTTTTAGCACTCTATTTTGTTGAAGAAATCAGTTTTAATCTCCTTTCTTGAATTTCCATTTTTGTTTCTAGCCGAGCGTGAGGAGCTGGGTCTTTACATCGATCGTCTCATCACCCGCTGCCTGACTGTCGACATCAACATCCAGACGATCCGGACACCTGCCCAGGAGGAGTCCTTGCGGAAGGTCAAAGGTTATCTGCGTGACCTGATCGACACCATGCAGGCCAACTTGGAGCAATGCAGCCAGCGTGTGAAGCTCTACCTCAACAGTTGCCTGGGTGAGACCGAGCTGATGGGGCCGGTCGACGACAGGTTCCAGGGCGCCCTCTTGGGCTGCGCTGCAGAGGATCAGAAAATGATCCGGAAGAAATTGCAGGAGATCAAAGAATCCCTGAGTGAGACGGACGCATTTATGGCCAGGCTGCAAGCACTAAAACTGGATTTATAATGCAATGCTATGCAAAATGTTTTCTTCTTTATAATTCAATTTTTTATTTTGGTTATTGTTTCTGTAAGGCAAAGCCATGCAGTTTCTCCCATACAACATTTATTCATAGATTTCATCCAAAAATCACTATCATGACCACTATTCAATGTAACACAAAGACATTTTCATTCTGGTTTGAAATAAATGAGAAAGTGGTAAAAGCAGTAAATAAAAGTCATACAGGATGAATTGCACCAAAGAGCCCTTAAGGTACTTCGGCGAGTGCAAGCTATATTGGCTCATATATTACCAACCACATTTAACATTTCAGTACATTGATGACTGTATCAAGCTGAAAGCCCAAATAGAGATTGAATCAGACGAAACATGAATTTATGTCAATTTACATTCAAAATTTGTTAGTGTATTTTCTGATGTTTCTTGTTTTTTGCAAGCATAATTACTATAAAGTCAGAATATACTTGTGAGTTTTTGAAACAGTACTTAAATGTTTGTTATTTCAATGTACATGTAGCTTAAATGTAACATGGATAAACACTGTTTACTTGCAGATGGTCTGCTTTATTTGTGTTGTGATTTTAAACATCCCTGCTGCATGCTGTTCAAATTTCACATCGAAACCAGTTAAAAAGCGCCTTTCGGGATTTAAAAATACCCTTATTCTCCATGTTTTTTCTGGGTATACTGTGCAGCGATTCCTTGGAAACTAACCATAATCAGATTGTAACAATAACGTAATAGTGTACCTGTATCCAGAGGGAAATTTTGCGGGTATGCTCCCCTTCTCTGCCCTGTAGAAATGCTTCCATACTTGAGCGTTGGTGTTTAGGTTTCATGACACAATGCATTTATACTGTGCGCAGTGCCCACTTTTCAGACACCTATCAGCTGTATGTGCATGTACCTGATACAGTCTGTTTATAAGTTTGTTAAAGGGAAACCCAAACTATATGGCAAGCAACTCCAAAAGAAAGCAGAACAATCTGATAAGAAGACTGGTGAAGGTTGGACCAACTCAGACAAAAATGAAGAAAGCTATGATTATTTGAAAGCATTAATCACTATACGCATGGGAACTTCGAAGTGCTGAATCAGTAATGTCACTGTGCTGTCCCATTTGTTCCAGCACACAAAGTTACCAAAATGTAATTTTTTTCCATCAAAATGTATGAGTCTTTTCTCATTTAGTGGACCTACACTTGTATAATATAATACTTTCCATGAAACAGTCATACCTTTCGTATTATCGTATTGGTCCAATTTATTTCAAACTTTCGCCATTCTGTATCTCTTATTGTTCTGCATTCATGAAATGAAATTTTTACAAGGGTTGGGTTGACTTTTAAAGTTCGATCATTGTGCTTCTATAGAAACAACTGCTTACATTCCATTCAAAGTTAATCGCTGGTGCTTTTCTGAGTCTAGTCTACAATACCATTTCTCTCTGCTGTAGAAGTGGTAACATTCATGAAACCTCCTTGTTTAATACCACCTCTGCATTTCAAGGATCTGTAAGGACCAGGGCCAGTATTCAATTCAATACTTAGCATAAGTAAGAAATTTACTAAGTAAATGGCTAAGTTAAGTAAGTGATCACGGTAGAAGACGGACAGTCAACCTGTCCGAAACGTCGAGTCTACTCTCCTGTTCCTGCTCTGCAACTCTACTCAACTCTCCAACTCAATCCAGTCTTCTACTCAAACCTCTCATCCTATCTACAACTTTCTGGTTTACAGTCCTTTTCAGGACTATACTCACTTCTGAAAGATACTCTTCCTTCCAACCTCCACTTTCTCGCCTTTCTATTTTCACTTCTATTTTCTATCCACTTTCCTTAGCCCTTCTAGGACTTTACACATGGTGTACCGTAAACCTCTACCGTGATTATTCATACCACCATGCAAACCTTCAAACATCATCTGATTAAGTAATTGACTTATCTCGTATTCAAATCGCATTTTTGACTTATACCTACGTAAGACAAAATCTAAGTAAAATACTTACTGATAAGCATTGTGACGTCACACGGTCAATCAAAAGTAATGCGCAACTGATGCATTGCAATAAATGCGCGCCGATATAATTGTGCGCAGGATACAATACTGCGTAAGAAAACCATATGCCTGCCAATCAAGGCCACCAAATAATTGGCTTAAGTCTGGTATGCAGTTGGCTTAGATTTAGAGTAAAATACTTAGCCAAAAGTGTGAATTGAATACCATAATTGGCTAAGTATTTTATCTAAGCCAAATACTAAGTAAAAAGCTTTAATTTTGTCCTTAAGTATTGAATTGAATACGGGCCCAGGAACCTGCTTATAAAATTACAGGTACAATGTACTTGTTGCTGGACATGTAATAAATGGAATATATAATTGTGTAATGTGTTCATAATGAAACTATCAACTAAATGAACATTTAGTTAATAGTTTTATCATGAACACAAAGTTTGTTTTGTCCATTCACTCCATTGAATTCATGTCTGTTGTAAATATGTAAAGTAGTCTGAGGAGATTTTATGTATTTCTGTATCTTCAATTCGTGCCTGTACTGTATGCATGTACATGTTTTTGTAATTCTTCAAATCTTGAGATATTGGACAGGTAAAATGTATTTCTATTACTAATAACTTTGGAAGATGTATGTGTATTAAACCATTTTCTATGCAGTGCTCTTTGGGATGTGTGCTACATCCTTTCATTTAAGCATGACTATTTACATGTAGTTATTAATTATCACTAAGATCTCATGGTAAAAGATTGAATAATTCATGACTTTCCCACCCATCTCCTGTTTTCATTCTGTCCCTTTCTCTCTCTCTACGCTGTGTGACATTCTCATGTACTATGAAAAAAAAGTTGATCAATAGTTTTTGACTTTCTCACTTTTCTCATGTAATTCTCTTATTTCATACTCTCCTTCTCTCTCTCTCTCTCTCTCTCTCTCTCTCTCTCTCTCTCTCTCTCTCTCTCTCTACACTGTAAGGCATTCTCATTTAATGTACTGTAGAAAAATAATTCCATTATCATGTGTACAAGTTGTCTAAATACCACACCTTTACGACTACTCCAGTGAACACTAATACGGCCAATGGAGGTAGTTGTTCTGGAACTTCTGGAGGACATTTTGTCCTAGAGGTACATGTACATGTAGGTGTCTAGGGAGTATTTGTCCGAAGGAATGGTTGTCTATAGATCTACAGGGGCAATCTTTCCAGGGGAGTAGTTGTCCTAGGAGGGTTCTTGTCAAAAGGGCTATTTGTTTGAGTAGTAATAATCTGTAAATGGTAGTCCCCAAGTAGTAGCTGCCATAGTGAATTGTTTTCTATAACAGCTTTGTCAAAGGGAGAGGTTGTCCCAAGACCCAGGGAGTAGTTGTCCTAGGAGGGTTTTTGTCCAAAGGGCTATTTGTTTGAGTAGTAATAATCTGAACATGGTCGTCATCCCAAGTGCAGTCAAACCTGTCTACAGTGACCGCCCAAGGGAAACACAAAAAGTGGTCTTTGTAGATAGGTGGTCACTAAAGCAGGTTTGACTGTAGTAGCTGTCATAGTGAATTGTTTTCTATAACAGCTTTGTCAAAGGGAGTAGTTGTCATGGAGGTAATATTGTAGGAGTTATCATCTCGATGCATAAATAGGAAAGCATTCTTATCAACTCATTAATGTGATTAATTGTTGATCTGAAAATGTACCTTCCTGTATTCATGTACGAAATGAAAATATTTTGAAATATTGCAGCGTCAACTAATGATTTACAGAACACCATATTATATTCTTTTTTAAAGTTAGTTTTGTGATAAGTAAAACCATGTATAAGCCCTCTGGTGTTTAATATGAACCAAATGCTTTAGAAGTTTTTAAAATCCTTTCAAAGCATTTGGTATACTGTACAATGTACATGACCAACACTAATGAAATGGTAACCCTGGAAATGGTCAGTCAGAAGGGCCGTAACTCTGTGTTAAAGTCTATGAGTTAGCGCGCCTTCTAGCTCCAAACAGACGGTATGAAAAAATAGTTTGTTACGTCCTTATATCAAGAAAAAGTTGTCCAAAATAATGGCAATATCTCCAATATGTTTGTGAAAACTATTTTTTTGATATCTTTAACCAAAATGTGCAATATAGAGATATTGGACCCTTCGTGACTTCTTGACTTGTCCCCGTTTTACAACCATCATATTGTTTTGTTCCATCCCTAATATAGTTTGCTGTGTTATAATCAACCTTGTGCAAAAGTGCTACATTTGAGAATAAAATGATATAAATTGCCTTTCTCTTGTCTTATCCATTGGTTTATCTGTAGAGGGTTGTCTGGATTTAGATGGAGGGTAGATGTGCAAGGCCCATCATCCATTACAAAAGGCACTTTCAATTTTTTATTTTAAAATGTGTAAAATCTTACAAATCATGTTTTCTAATAGTACAATCATTAATCAATTCAAGATGGTGGAATATTGTAAGCTTTTCATCTATAAGAAAAGGGCCAAATTTGGATTAAAGGGATAGTTGAGTTCTGTTGTAGAGGGCGCTACACAAAATATATTTTTTTGTGAGATAATGAAAAACTGAGCATCAAATTTGAAAGAACATACAATTTAAATGACAAAATCATCTTCGTTTGATCAAAATCGGTTCAGAGACGGCTCAAATATCCATAAATATAACGATTTCTAATACTTGTGTACCACCACAAATATTAGATAGTTTGAAAAAGCCGTTGAAAAACGAAATAGCGCCTTTTACGTCGTATTTCAGCCAATGTCGATGTTGGCTTTTTTGTTGGCATTTTCATGTTGGTTGTATTATGCACAACCAGCCGGCCCATGTATTGTTATTTTTAATTAAAATAATTAATGGTCACCATATTTTTTTGAAAGTGGAGCTGAATTGGTATGATCGTATTGGCCAGATTTCACACATTTTGGGGTCTAAATTACCTTCATAGCAATTTTAGGTTCTAAAAGGGCACTAGAAATGTCATAGATAAGAATAAGAGCACTAACCATGCAATTTGAAGGCATTTGTGGTCTGAAAACAGAACTCAACTATCCCTTTAAGTAACTGATACGAGACTGGTGAGAAACTTGTCACTTATTTATCACTAATTTACTGATAATCACCAATGGGGATTTCCATTATAACTTTTCACAGAATCTTACCAGTCTTACCAATAGGGAGATGTTCGTACGAACGATACTTTCGTACGAATCTCCCTGTTTTTCCATTGTCTTCCCGAATTTCCATTGTCTGAAAAACGTTCGTACGGCGTTCGTAACAGTTCGTAATTGCATTTGTGACCGAGGCTTTAGCTAAAACATAAAAGCATGAAAGCAACAAACAAAAGCAACAAACAAAAGATAACTGCACAACGTCCATTGTTTTAAACTTTATTATACATGTTTATGGCTATGATCTTTCAAATAATGGATTCATAAAATGATTTTTATACAAAATTCTCTATTTCCATCTCTCTATTCTTTTAATTCATTGTAATAGATGAATTCATATCAGGCAAAATATGTTCTACATAGTACTCTCAATAGCCATTTGTCTACAGATGCTGGTCAGCTGTGCATATCATTAAACATTTAAATAACAATGTACATTAACATTAAAAATTTACCAGATTTCCAGTAGCAATGCCATATGTATCAAAGTTTCATGTAGAAAATACTAACTTAAAATGTTCATATAACTCCTTCAAAAAGGGCTGTTCCCATTTCACCTATAACTAATAATATAAATTTGTCTACTGAAATATACTTGGATAGGCTTTCCATATCAGTGTTGTGATGCAACCAATATAAATATTGTTGAGACTGAAACCCAACTGTTTTTTAGAGACTTCTGGAGACCAATTTCCAAATGATTTATATTTATTGATACCATATTTAATTTGCAGTACATTACTCATAAATGAGAATGCCTTTAGGGATAGGGTCCACCATTTGCAAGCCATGACAAAAGTTATTATATCAACAAAAAGTAGTTGAAATTTATTTGTGCAGCAAGAACATCTTTGGAGGAATCCCTTAAGTGAACATCTTTTACAGGAAGGGCTCTTGATCCTAAAAAGTTGTTTATGTGGTATCAGTTTCTAACATGGGAGAAATGAATCAAATGATGCATGAAAGCAGTAAATGGTGGACTAATATACTATCTTTAAAAAAAGTAATCATGGTCAGTTTTGGTGCCTCACTTCTCAAACAAATGTCCATATGACCTACATTTTTAGTTTTGCACAAAAATGCTGCTCATTCATGGTACAAAATCACAAGCTTTTCAATAAATCTTGATTAATTTTGCAATGCATGTATATCAAATCAGTACTAGGGATTTTTCAAAATTATCAGCCTTCCAGTTGATTTTCATACATGTACAACCTTAGTCAATATCACTTTAAATTCCAATTCAGTTTAGCCTCAAATTATCATGGGCGTGTACCTGTGCATGTAAAAAAAAAAAAAAATACAAAGAAAGAGACAACTTTCAGATATTCACTAGCCTCGCATAACTGTGAAATTCTTTACATGCATATCCAAATAAATGAGATGATATTTTGATTGGAAAAACTAAATGAGTAAACAAAATGCATTGGATACATTGTGAATATTTAGGACACACATTAAGCAGACATTAGTTGAATAAAGCGGGCTCATACAGAATATGAAGGAAACAAATGTTATTAAAATATCATATAACACATTAAACTTGCATCCCTTCATGTTATGTCTTTGGAAGCCATTTACATATTTGATCATTTTGCCTAGTCTAAATTAAAGTATTTCAAGTGGAAAATAGAGGAGAGTACTCAGAGTAGGCCTACGATGTACTATGGAAAATTCCAGAAAACGGCAATTAACAATTCACAGATCAGAGTTAAATGGCAGTTCATTTACAAAAATAAAAATAAATGAAACGAAATGCAAATGATTACGGTAAACAAAAGAAAAATGAAACCATTACATTAGCTTCATATATAAAAATAAACATGCCATATATCTTTTTTCTCTTCATAATTTGCAATGCATGATATGAGAGAGAAGGGAATAGAATTCGGAAAAATGTAGTCAAAATTAAAAAAAAAGTTGTTCATCATATTGAACTAGTATTTAAAACTAAATAAATGCAAAGTTTACCCCTTTAATTCTGAATGAGAAATGAAGGTGGAATAAGAATTGAAATGCAGAAACATTTCCATAATCCACCATGAAAAAAACATGCAGAACATACATTATTCCACCCCCTCTCTTGAACGAGTGAAGAAAGTTTCATTGGTAAGAGGAAAGATATATACACCCTTTACAGAAACAATAATTCAAACTAATAGTACCTGATTCTAGAATAAATATAATCACTCTAAATCTATATCAAACATACCAAATCCTATTGACTACATAGCGGGCTAAGTTAGAATCAATCCCTCGTTGCCTTTTGGTCGAAACATATTTTCTCATTAGGACCCCGTTTCATAGACTGCTATAAATAACTGCAACCACCATTGACAAAAACACAGAGACTCCTTAACACTAAGATACATGTAAGGTAGCAATTGATTGCAATTCTGCAAATGAGATCAAATAAAATCAATCAATCGTTGAGCATCGTGTTTAGGCGCTATAGTTATAGCCACCAATCAAACATTATGATTTCAGTACGTAATATAATATAAATCATTATACAGTGCACTTTCATGCAGTTTCATGAAACGAAGTCCTTGGTAACTTTAGTGGGGTAGCTACCAGATTCTCCAGTTTTCTTTACATGTTTTGCATGTACAGAAGAGACTGTCTTTTCATTCCTCAATCAATCTTGACCTTGCATTTCCATAACATGGTGCACCATAAAAGAACGAGGATGCATAAGTAAAAGTAAAAACTAAGTAGCTATACATTGATCTAAATACTGTAGTACATCTTCATAGTACTTTACTGGCGCAAATATGGAACTGCTTGTACTGTATGCATTATCCCTGTATATCTCGTTGCTAAATACCCTTGTACGTAAGTGATATATTGAATAAAATCTGCAGTGGTTTACATATCAGAGTAAATACATATTTGAACAATGGGTTCCATACAACTACTATAGACACACAATTACAGAAACAAAGAGAAGCAAGTATTTCATACCTGCACGCTTCTATGTAAACACCCATATCAGCAACAAAAATAATTAAAACCCCATCTTATCAAACAGTAAAGATCTGTATCTACCGATATACACATACATGAACTCGCAAAAGAAAGGAAAATTATTCTTTCTAATTCTTTTTTTTTTCTTTTGTTTTTCTTCTTCTTTTTGGGTGAATTTTTGTAGAAAGTCATTTTCCACCCAAATGACATTGCTTTCGGCCGGGCTGCATCTTTACTAGCTTGTCTGTATAAAAACACACACACACCTACTGCAGAAAAGCGTGTTCACATAAGCCCAATATTGTGGGTTACTGCAGCTTTTTGTTAAGTGTTTTTCGGTTAAAGCCTATGAAAGAGTACTTTACTTTACATTTTTGTATGTTAGATACATGTACATGTCAGTGCATACAGAAATTTTTTGGCGCACAGCTACTTTTTTCGCATCCCCATTCATCTAGCACAATGATTTTTGATAAATGCTGTGGTAAAACACGGTACTATGAACGAGCCCCCACGACGGTTACAGCAAGTCATCCAATTTACAACATGAATATATTATTTATATCAATAATTACCAGCACCTTGGCGATTTACTGGCATGTTATGAGAATACAGAATTCAAGGCTTCATTTTTAATAGCGAATACAGCGTACAAACTGGACGGCTTTTTAATAACTCTTACACACTGAAACATACAAATCATGAACACATTATATATGTAAGTACATGTAGGTTGCCAATATAATGAATGCTTTAAAGGAGATCGCTATCTACACTTACACAGGGCTTCACCGTCTAGCATTACATAAATAACCACTAGAAATTGCTATCTTGATGGGATAAAAAACAAACATATATTTTCATGGCTCGATGGGATCCTATACTAGTACCAATACAATGTAAAAGGTGGCAATTCAAGTATTATCATGTGCCAGTATCTAATGAATAAAGGCCTAATTCCGTAATACAATAACGCTGCATATAGATAATTATCTATATGTACACGCTGTATTACGATTGCTGGGCCTTATATAGTCATTGTGAATCATAAAATTCATTTGACAGTGTTTCATTTTGTTTTTATGGGTTATAAGTACTGCAGTCTCTATATATACAGCATGTATACATTAGATAACTAAAATAATTCTTTGTAAATGTTTAGCAGTGTAGTGCTGTTTTCATACATCAAGGTTCATTGTTAGTTGCCATCAAGGTTTATTATCAGATAAAGGCAAAGATCATATGGCTTCGGTGCTAATTACAAACTCAGATCAAGAGATTACATGTACATACATAAAGATGCATATCATTAGAAAGACTTCTCACTCTCTATGATTTCAACTGTAAACGATAGCGGTCAAAGGTAAAATCATGAAGCTCAAAAATAGTTCTCTTCTTTAATTGTACCAGTAAATTTCTTCGGAAAGGAACTAAACCCCTCAAAAAATAGTTTAGAAACTCAAATTTGATCCATTCTATCTTTCTTGTCCCTGGATAAATATCGCTCTGCTTAGTATTATTAGAAATTACGTTCATTCCTCTTTAAAATGATACAATATTTATTATAATTATGTAGCCATGGCATGAGCAGTACATCAGAATAAGGGGCAGGGTCAAAAGTGAAAGGTCGCAAAATGAACGGGTAAGCCTTGGTATTGTTACGCAATGCACATACGTACATGTTTATGATACAATGTACATGTACTTTTGCAATTTGGCTGATTCCAATTTAGTCAAAGCAAAATCAAGCAAATCTTACAGATCATACAAATGTAAACAAATACGGAATATAATAATTGAATACTATGATAAATATCTTTGTCTAAATATAAAAAAGAAACTGATAACACAAGGGTTAGTACAAATACAGGTACACATACATACATGTAGCAGTACAAAATAGCAAGTTGTATATGAAAATCATAACTTTGTTACAATATAACAAACACGTTCTGTGTTGCAGAGACAAAAGAGGAACCAAAAAAAAATTCCTTGCTAAATGCAGGTGCCCAAAGAGATCTACATGTAATGATCTTAGTAATATACCAGTTCAGGGATAGTACTTGTAAAAATGACCCCAAAAATCCATAGATCTTTCAATCCTAGAGAAGTCCCACCTTTTGCTCATTTAAAACTAATCACAGCTAAAGTGAAGGAGGTGCAAGTTCATGAAAACCTTTTTGTTTGCCCACTTGAAAAGAATACATCCACCTGTGCATCATAGAATGTATCGCTGGTGCATAGATGAATAATGATAACATAACTTTATGAACACTAATCCAGCATTTCTCTCAATGGGTTTTACAGTTTTATGCAGACAGTGTAGTGTACATGTTTCTCCAAAGCGGTTTATAGTTTCTAGTGGCACTCTACTTCACATGGGGAGAAAGGCCTGTTCCTGGCTTGTAGATATTAATATGTGAGATGAAATCTACCGGTACTTAGAAAATATACGTGAACTGAAGAAATTGGCATATAACAATTAGAGGAGACACACCTGAGCATACTACATTTAAAAATTCATATATTGAAAGAGAGATATATGCCTTTGTGATAAATTTCATGTTTATCTGAGGTGAAAGATGCACAAGATTGCTGAGAGCATAACAATTAACTAATCTTGTGAACAAATAATCAATTCCATGCCATGCTTTCCATCACATAAGAGAAATGAAGAAATCATCATATTCAGGATAATTGTATTATATTGGAGTTATATTGGGTCACTACTACTCCAAATCTTTTTTAATCTTCTCTCGCCACAATCTATAATGCATATCTACGTCAGTAAAAACAACTGACGAATCCTCTCATTCCAATACACATCGTATTCTACCTAATAAAATAAATTGTAATCACAACCCATTCATGTCACCTTATACAGATACAGTATATGTAGGCCATGTGAAACATGTACAAGGTAATCACCTGATATATGTACATGCTGGTCACCTGATTCATATCTTAGTCACCTGACACATGTAGTGTAGGTCACCTGATACACATGCTACCAGACCTTGATATCATACACACACATACCGGTACCAATCTAATAAATCTTATCTACATGTTTCTAGGAGGGGAGTCTTCCTCAGAGTAAAGAACATTTCAAGGCACTCTTCTTGCCCTTTGTTCGTTGCTTCATTGGTTTCAGCTGTATCGTCGGATTGCTATCGTTGCCGTTTTTCTCACTCTGCATTGAAGGGGTGGTAGATGTGTTGAATATTCCTGCAGGATAGGGTGAAAAATAAAAGAATGATGAATTTGGAAGACCCCGTCTTTAATTGATCCAAATTAATGGTAAGTCCTATCATCAATCACAAGTTTGCAGTCTCCTATCATTTATGTACATAGTTGCGATAATTGATATCAATTGCAAATAAGTTGTAATTATATCAACTCTTTATAAGACGGCACCAGAATCGATTCATTACTATCATAGGCATAAGTATATGAGAATCCTTGAACACGAATATCTACTACCGCACACATGGTAGGATTGCATTCAACTTGTAATATACATGTATGCACCAACAATACATCCAGGTACATATCCATACAAATTTAGGCAATCTACATTTTGACCCCTTCCACTTTCACCCACAATGTGTAACTTTCACATGACATGTGTTTACATAATTATGGTATTATCATACTTTATTCCCAAGAGAACTTTGAACAATTCTTGTTGGCAAAGAGGTCGCAAACAGCGCATACACTTGAACATGTAGCTATACTTTTTTGGGCCTTGTAAAATGCATCAAGCTATTAAAGCGCCTATTCCTCAAAAGAGTAGACTGTCACAGTACACATGGATGTTTTACCTGCTAACCTTTCAAAGCAAAAACTAATCCCTTAACGGCACAATTTAGAAATACAGTCATTTTGTATACTTCTCACACAGAAGTTTTCAGAAAAAGAAAGGAATTTGGAGTTCTAGCATTAGTTTGAGGGCCAAAAAAGTAGAAATCATTACTCCAAAGTATGAATGGTTGGCAGCTATGGGATGTGTGCCTGTAACTGTGCACTTTCAAAACCTGCTTACAGTACATTGTTCAAAACTTTTAAATTGGGTTCTTGTTTCCATTGAAGCTTTCAATGCGTGGCTGCCATTAAAAGCTTTCATAGGGTTGTCATGATCTAAAGTAACTCCAGAACCGAAGCATCATCTATGGACTTCAAAAAATGCCATAATGTTTACAATACGGTGTATACACAATGAATGATGCTGCTACAATTTCCTTATCAATCCCTTTTTTTTAAATAATTTTTTTTAATGTGTTTTACTGAAACAATAAAATACAATCACAATATTTATAAGTTATTATTAAAGGTAAAGACCAGTTATGGTCATGCGATTGCATTGTGAAAGAAACGTTGTGGAATCGATCAGAAAAGGTTGATCATCTAGCATCTAGCATCGGCAAGGTTCTGGAATCATCAAAATGATAAGAAATTTGGCCCATTCTTTGTAAAGTTACAAGCACTATACACAGAAAGATGTACATGGACTACCCTATATCTCTCACAGACCATGAGAGAAACAAATTTACCAAATATATGAATTAGTAGGCGGTTTCCCGGCAAATTTTTTATCATCATGTATTAGTCAAAACATATTCTTTCACATGATTGGTAATGAGAGCTTCCATTTCATTTTTTTAAATTGGGGCGTTTCCAATACTGGTCTTTGGAAACGCCCCAATTTAAAAAAATGAAATGAAAGAAGATTACAAAAAAGCAGTACAACGTAGATCAAAACCTCACAAAAAATAAATTTCCACTATTTCCTTACCAATCTTGGCACTTATCGTTGAGTTATCTTCAGGTTCTGTTGAATGTATCCTCTCAATGTACCTCTCTGTCAAGTAGCGAAACACATCCTCTACGTTCAGGTTCTCTTTGACCGACGTCCGGTAGAATCTGAGCTTCATCCTCTTCGCTAAGGCTTCCGCTTCTTCTCTGTTCACGATTATTAAATCACAGAAAAACATTCATCAAACATCAGAATGGTATTGCCATCTTGAACAACAGCATGACATTATTAAAATGTATTCAACAACACCTAAAGATGGGAGAGTAAATTTACTTGACCACTACGATTTAAAGAAAGTTTCAGAGGCCATTTGTCTTTTTCTCTATTAAAGCATAATATATGCTATGATTACCAAACAAAATTTAAAGTCATATGTATTTTGTAAATGTTATTCAATGTGAGATGATGGGCTGGAAATGACTTAAAGACATGTGCAACTGAAGATGTATGAAAAGCTGTGTTTATTTTTGTACAGTATTTTCATTAAAAAAAATATTTAGATGAAAAGATGGAAAGAGATAATTGAAGATACAGATAAGAGCAAAGAATAGGAAACAGGGATAAAGAAGAGAGCAAGGACAAGTGAGACAGAGGGAAAGAAAGAGAGAAAGAAAGAGAGAGAGAGAGAGAGAGAGAGAGAGAGAGCGAGCGAGCGAGACAGAGAGAGAGGGGGGGGGGAGGGGGAGAAAAAACAAGAATGAGATAATACATGATAAAAGGGGAAGAAAATAAAATAGAGAGGGGAAAGGAGGGGGGGGGGGGGCTGGAAGATAGAAGGTGTATGAGAGAATGAGAGGAAAAGAACATCTAAAAGAAAAGAAAAGAACATGTAGAAAAACAATTAAAAGAATGAAAATGAACAAACAAGAAAGGAAAAAGGGAGATATTAAAATATCTAAAAGAGATGGATTAAGAAGAGAGAAAAAAAGTGGGAATAGAAATTGGAGAGAAAGGGAAGGAATAGATATTCACATGTACAGCAAACAAACCATCGGCTAGTAATCACCATGGAAGCAAATAATGCAAAAATAGACTGAAAATGATCATTAAGATAACGGCACTTTACATCATACCCTCTAACTATATATAATCCATACAAATATTGCATATATCATATCCTGCCCCAGCCAACACTTGAAACTGTCTGTGTATAATGCCCCTAGGCCTAACATGCATAATAAGTCCAGCTGCTATTGAGCTGCGATGCAACAACTATTACCATGGCCTCTCCCTTCAGATGATCTAATAATATCTGTGCACCGTAATTGATTTTTGAGATTTAAAGAGAAGATTAAGTTCTGGGAAGAGGTGAAAAATATTGTGAGCGTTATCATTGTATTATGCAAGTGTGGAAGTACATCAGATAAAAAATGTCCCTTAAAGGCATGGCTCTTCAAATGGCTCAATATTCTAAATATGGCACATTTTTATGCCACATGTTTGAATAGTCCCATACACCGGTACATCTTTCTGGGTTCAGAACTTGTAACCTTACCAAGACTGGGCCAAATTTCTTATCATTTTGATGATTCCAAAACATTGCAGTACACACTATACTAGATGATTAACCTTTGCTGATCGATTCCACAACGTTTCTTTCACAGTGCATCGCATGACAAGAACTCAACTTTATCTTTAACGAAAGAGATTTGAGAGGCGGCTGGAAGGAAGGAAAGCCTCTAGGAAGAGGAGCAATGGATGTCTCTATTGTTGTTCAGTGGGCTGAGAGATTTGGAGGATCAATGGCATCAGACTTCAAGATGGATTTTTTTTTCTTCTCTCAAAGTGATCACTAAAACAGGGAAACGTGCCTCACTGAATACCTAATTCAAAAATACCACGGATTCATATTCTAAAGGAATTGATTTTCAGTATTTCTGAACCTGGAGTCAAATTCTAAAGAAAATATTGATTTCTTTAAAAGTAAAATGTAAAAAAAAGGAAGAAACAAAAAAAAGTTGAAAAACAGCAACTGGTTCAATCAAGATCAGTCTTTAGAAAAATTACAGGTATTTCAATACTTTTGTTAAATGGTCAAAACTGAAGTAACTAATTCTTTTCTATCATGTTTTTTTTTTCATCACTAAGTCTAAGTCGTTATCTCACAAACTAAAGACCACATCACTGTTTTATCTCATCTCACACAATATATTTGAATATGGTACATGTACAATATCATTTTTGTTAAAACAATTATTTACTGGGATTGAGTTGATTTGAATAAATGTAGAAAACAAACAAAAACATGTCAGTGAAAGTAAAGATTTTCCTTTTTCGACTGAACTATTGAAATCTCAAAATCTTCAAAATTCAAATTCAAATGAATGAAATAATGATAATTATTAATCATTTTGACTCAATACTTGCAGTTCTAGTATCAAGTCTACTTTGTTTTGTTTGTACTTTAGCTTAAAATGAGTTTGAATAATGCTATTTTTTACTCCTTGTTTCTCCTACAACTTGCTAGTACCACATGATTCAAGAAAAGAATTATGTACAGTAGTACAGGAAACATTACCCCAAATTGCCCTAATGATTTTCATTCCATACTTACGGTTCTAGTACTGCTTGCTCTACCAAGTCTATCTTGTTTTGTACAAGGACAAGAGGAATGTTTCCGACTTCATCTTCGACCTTTACTCTCCATTTATCAATAGCTTCAAATGAGTCTCTGTCTACTGTGGAGAAGACTAATACACCTGCCTGGGCACCTGTATGACAAAAGCATTATTGGAGATGAGAGAGTGGGGAAAAAAAGTACTAAATATATATTTTGTTTAAATGATTGAAAGGATTAACAAAATAAAAGGAGATCATTGTAACAACAAAAAAAGAATAATAATGAAACCACCAAAGGGAAGTAATGCTAGGAAAAAAAAAAAATTATTTTACTTGTGTTGGTTTTGTTGTTTGTATTGTTTTTGCTGCTGCTGCTTTTTAACATTTGACTTCCAAACAATTGCCTCAAATAAATACAAATATAACGGATGCAAGAACAAATCAAAGAAATAAATCTAAATGCAAAAAGAAATTGCATAAAGCATGAGACTCGACTTTCAAATGCACTGTTTTTTCTCATAATGTATGCTCTATCATTCAAGGATTTTTTTCTTACATGTACAGTGCACCAGGAAGCCATTAACCTCTCCTGGGTGGAGGGTGGCAAATATAGACTGTATTACATGAGGACTTTATTGGTGCCTCATTATGCAACATCTCAACTCTCTACTCTCACTCAAAACCATTACATCTTACAGAGACAGGAAGCGTGTCCATTCATGAGTTGATTCCATCTTTATACATTCAATAAAGGAGCAAAATTAATTCAAACGTGAAGGGAGGAGGGTATGTGAAGACACACATGTATGCTTCGCTCTTGTCACCAGTTATCCACTTTCAGAACTTCATTAAAGACATACCTAATTCAGATTGCTTACAATCAGTCACTGCTTTTTTGTCTATCCCAGTTAGAACAGACATTTTTGGTAGTGTTTCAGTCTCATCAGCGCCTTTGATTTGGCAACTAGATATTGGCGCTTTATAAATACTTGGATTGGATTGGACTGGATGCTTACCTCTGTAATATGATTTAGTGATAGCATCAAACTCCTCCTGACCTGCTGTGTCCCATAACATCAACCGTACATCTTCATCATTGAATCTGATATGGTATGAAAAAGGAAATACATAAGTCTTCATTATCTGCATCCTTTTTTCAATCAATAACAAAATAACATAACCTGCTTTTAATATGATTATTCAATTAAAAAACAAATATATACAAGTATATTCCTTTTTTTTTGTTGATTTTTAATAGTAATTATTATTATCATTTTTTAATTTTTTTTTTTTAATTTTTTTTTATTTATTTATTTATTTTTTATTTTTTTATTTTATTTATTTTATTTATTTATTATATATATATTTTTTTTTTTTTTTTTTTTTTTTTTTTGGGGGGGGGGGGGGTTGCAATGTATGAATTTTATTGTAGGCTACAACATTGCAATAAATGATAAGTACTGCAAAATATATTTTGTTTTACTATATTGACATTATAAATATGTTGATATGTCCTCTAACATGTACGTCATACAGAAACATTTTCTGGATTAGATTTATTAGCACTTACTCTATTTGTCTTTCTAGGAAATCCACTCCTATGGTTTTCTTATAGTCTTTTGTGAAGATGCCTTTGCAATATCTCTGGATCATACTGGATTTGCCCACCGCTCCATTCCCCACAATCACTACCTTGATGGCTACCTCAATGTCCTCTTCCTTCATGCTGATTGGCTAATTCAAACACAGGAAAGTCCCTGATTGGTCACTTCAAACACAGGCAGGTTTCTGATTGGTGGATTTGATCAGGTTTAGAATGTCAAAGAACCTGATTGGATGACTTGATTAATGAATCAAGTCAGGATGTCTCAGCGAAGCCTCCTGTTAGTCACACAACTGTGTTCAAAAGAGCCGCTAAGTTCTTGACTGGTTGGAGAAAGTTGAAGGATGTTTTTAGGGTGAGGTGAGCTTCAAGAATGAAAGCTTCTTTCTTAAACTGTGGGTGCCCTGGAACAGCTTTTCACCTTGGGCTCATCTTAGAGTGGATAGATTTCCAGTTCATGTGATGATCTTTCCAAGGGTTTGCAATGGTAGCACATGAAACTGAAGAGTTCTGGAGAAAAAGAAACAAAATCAAAATAACAAATAAAAGACAAGGGTTACTTCAGATTAGAGGAATAGAAGGAACACTACACATGAAGAAAAGAGTGAAAATGAAAATCATGACATTACGGTTGCTTCAAGTTTGCATACCGGTAATTGTATCCTCTTGACAAACCGGATACTTCTAATAAAATGTCAAAATCTTCTCTCACTTCAGCAAGATGATCTATAAAATGTGATTAGAAAAAGGTTAGACATTATGAAAAAGATTTCACATTGCTATGCATCCCATCATCGTAGCTTAATTTTATAATATCTCATCTAAAAAGCAAAGAAACAGTAAAATGCAAAGGGCCATGGGCGTAAATCTGCAATTGATACCTATTGTTCAGGGGGGGGGGGTGATCTATTCATTCATCCCCCCTGAACAATAGGTATTATGTAAGGATTTACGCCCATGCAAAGAGCATTTTGTATTTCAAATTCAAAGACTCCCCGGAAAGGGATTTTGTATCCCCTAGCAACTATAGACAATCATCTTTCAGCGAATGTGTGGCTCAAAAGTACTTCCCGGGTCATGAATTACATTACCAAACCTCTATGCTGTTTGTAAGTGTATACATGTGTATGTGTATGATACAGAAAGGAAGCTGTCAGTTAATTATTGCAGGTCAAAGACTCCCATAAATGGAATTTGTATTTTTCTTGACTGAAGACTGACCATCGCCTCTGAAAATTAAAAGTGTGGCTCTAATGTATAAATTCAAACTATTCAAGTTATGAAATATCTAGACTGTTTGTCTACTAATCATGCAGATAGATTTGAAGGTAAATCACCCTACACATAACAATCCTCTCAACTCAACCTTTGATCACTTTAACTACAGGTGTACATAAAAATAGAGAGAGACAATAGCCCCCACACATTGATCATTCATGGTCCTTCAGTCATAACAACACAATTCAATTGAAATGCAAATAGATCCTTGATGCTCTACAGACAGTATTTACACCTGTAACATCGCAATCAAACTAAAGCTGACAGTCAATGTGGGTAAACATGTTGCTAAGGGTGCAGAAGCTACACTGTACTGTTCTGGTGTTGGAGTGCATGAATCATCAATATATCCCACTCCCACTCCCCCCCCCCCCCCCCCCTCCTTCTCTCCCAAGGAAATAAATACAAACTCTATTCTCTTGTTTCTCTTTTCGTTTTAGTCCACCATACATAGATGCCCTTTCATCCTTTTTCATCCCTTTTGTTATATAGCACACATTTCCCCTTCCACCTCTCCTTCCTCCACTCCCTCCACTCTTTTTCTCTCCCTACATGTAAATTTGCATTCATGCATGTCTTGCTCCTACTTTAAAGTGCATCTCAAAGAAGCAAGTTCTATCCATCTTCATATTTTTATCACAATGCATCAGTTTGCCTATGCATCCCTATACCCATTATCCCCTGTCTCTAACAGCAAACTCCACTCCTGCTGTTTGCAGCGATTCAGTACAATGGTTGGCACTGACAGCACTGTTCACACTTGTCCCCAAAGCATTGTCATAACATTTATAATAATAATAATAATAGTGAACATTTATAATGCGCCATGTCTGTCAAAAATGACACTCCTGGCGCAGTTGTGTGGAAGTTGTATAATTGTGGGCATGAATTCAAGAAAGAAAGTAAAATACACATAAGTTACAGTTTAACATACTTCAGGACATAATTTGCAATAATACAATAATACAATACAAAGCATATTACAGTAAATCAAGTTATATAAGGGTAGTACAATGTAAGACATAATTAATTAAACAAACTAATATGTTGAGAACAGAAACGTTTTTAACAAAGACTTAAACTGTGAGTAGGAGTTCTCATTACGGAGGTGAGGAGGGAGTGAGTTCCACAGTTCAGGGCCAGAACTTGAAAATGAACGCCTTCCCCAGGAGTGTCGTGAACGTGGGATGCAAAGAAGTTGGGTGTGAGCAGAGCGGAGTCGTCGTGGTGGTTCGTAGAGTCGTACTAGGTCTTGTATGTATGAGGGTGCAGTGCAGTGAAGTGCTTGATAGACGAGAAGAATGACTTTGAAGATGATGCGTTGGCGGACAGGAAGCCAGTGCAGTGCCTGAATGATGGGTGAGATGTGAGTGGTGCCTTATCATCTTTTGACTACTTTGACTTCCTACATACATGTTCATGTCACTTCATGTACATGTACATGTACTTGTATTTCAATAAGAAATACATGTTCATAGGGAGCAATACAAAATACAATTACAGTAAACTACATGTAACAAAAGCATTACATCATGATCGCAATACATTGTACAGTGTAAACAATGCAAAAAATAACTGGACCAAACTTGTTCAGCACTTTAATCAAAAGAAAATCACAAAATCATTATTTTACCTTGGGTTATCAGAAATTTACTGATGTTGCAAAAATGACACTACAAAGATACATGGGCTGATTTTCAATTATTTTGCTCACTGTATCCAGCAATTAAAGAATTTATAAATACAAACAATTGCAAAACAATTTGTGGATATGAATTCTAGAATCAAGTTATGCAATACAAATATTGACCTTCCAAAAGAAAGAAGGCAATTCATTGAAATGGTTTAAATCCTACTGAATGCCAAGATGAGTAAAGGCATTTTAAAGAAAACGACAATCAGCTACGGACTACGGTACATCATACAGTGTACATGTACATGTACATGTACACGGCCCATCCCTTCACAATCCATAATCGACATGTGAATGTGAACAAGCCTTCACTAAATTGCTTCACTCCATTTCAAAAACCTTCTAACCTCATTTTAAGACTACTAGTGTAGAGTAATAATTGTATGCTGTATGTTACGATCGAGAGCCATAACAGTTTTTCTAGGTTGAACATGGTACAAACTACAAAGAAACACAGAAAAATCCCTTAAAAAATCCCATGAAAAATCCTTTGAAGGGATAATTTTCTTGCTTCGTTAGAGGATTTTTAATGGGATATTTGATGACAGACAGCAATTAAGAGGATAACTAAAATCCAGATTTTTGGCCTCTGTGTGACACTGCCTATTGTAAACCAAAAATCATACATGTACATGTACAGTGTATAGCGAAACTGACTTCAGAAATGTCGATGTGAACACGCCTCCACTCAATGCCTTCAGTCAATTTCAAAAACCTTCTAAGCCAGGCAAATATTTCTTACACGAATTACTCTTTTCTTTGATTCTCTCCACAAATGCAGCCTGAAAGCACTTGTCAAGACAGAGTGGTAGGCGGTAAATGAGTCAAGGTTTCTCCGGTGGAAAAACACTCTTCGCAAAATTGGCAATCTGTGAGTCCTTTATCATCATGACATGGAACGTGCTTTGCTCAAAATGTTTGCTTGCCACTTTCTAGTCAAGATTATTGGTTCCATTTATCATCAGAAGGGGAGGGGGGGGGGGGGGTAGGCAATTGACAGCACAATGTAGGCTTTTAGCAAGACTTCTGGGCAAATGTATATGTACTGTACGTTTTAGCATTGATCATTACTGGCATACAAAACTTTGAAATGTACTTTGCAAATAAAGAAAGAAAGAAACACATTTTGGAAATATATAATATGAGGAATTTCCTCATTTTACAAGTTGACATTTTTACTTTATAAATGCCATATTGGCAAGGATAGAAAAGGTAATGAGTACATGTACTGTATGGCTTTCTGTGCAAAATCTATCTATATTTTACAATGATAAAGACACACCTCTTAAAAAGTAAACTAAGAATTTAAGAAAGGGAGAAAAACATTTTGGAAAAAAAATTTGTGAGTGACATTTATAATAAGGGATTTCTTGATTTTGTTTTCATTAAATTCTTTGAATTGTTTTCACTGCATATTCGCAAAAACAGAAAAAGTGATATAAGCAACCCGTACAGTTGTCTGCACAGTTTTCATTTCTAGCCAAATATCTTGATGTACATGTACATCTGTACAACTGCTTTTAATATATCTGTCTGTTAAGTGCTTAGATCTAATGCCTAATGAGAGATTACAAGTTCTTCAGATTAAAGAGTTAAAGATCTGCATTCTTCAGAGATGCTAATACCAAAAACAACCTTCCAAATAATCAATAGTGCATTAGCCTCTCAAGGCTAAAAGCCTAAAAATAAATCAATGATTGCTCACCACAAATTACATTGTACATGTCCAGAGCTGCCAACCTCCAGAACAGAAAATCAGTAATCACAAGGCTCAAAATCAGTAATTTGGGGTATAAATCAGTAATTTCTTATGCGGCGCTATGAATCTAAAAAAACGACACGCCAACACTGCGCGGACGCATGATTATCTGAAATTTTTGGTGATTTTACTCACACAAAGATGTTAAGTATTGAATTTCAGGTCATCACAACACAGTTTATCATGAAAAATGGCTCCTATTCACAGCACTCGCTACGATAAATCATATTTAATTCATTAAAAAAAAAAAAAAAAAAAAAAAAAAAAAAAAAAAAAAAAAACTTTTTTTTTTTTTTTTTTTTTAAATCCGTAATTTGAGACAACATTCCGTAATGGTCGTTAATTTCCGTACCAATTACGGAAAATCCGTACTAGTTGGCAGCTCTGTCCCTTTCAGTCCTATACAAAGTCATTTTCCAGCAATGGAAATAGTAAAATAGAACAGAATATTGGAGATTTACATACTGTACAAAAGAAAGTAGTACTAGCATTCCAATTCACAGGTACACCTGCTGTACATGTACATGTACATGAGGATTGTTTCACAAGGGAGCAATCTGTAAATCTAAAATATCTCTGACAAGCTAATTGAACCCCAATATATTTAATAAAATAATAACAAATATTATTAACAAAATTGAGTTCTCACAATCTTCAGACCTGCCTTGTTAGTCCAACAGTTTCTATAACAAGTGGAGTAGTAGTCGTAGTAGAGTGGTTTTATTAGAACTGCAAAAGCTAAATTACCGTACAAGTGCAAGTTCTACAAGCTCAGTCTTAAAAAGCATTACAACAGAACTTACATGTACATGTAGATATAGGCAAGTACAAATACACAGTAAAATAGATCATAACTTATTACATAATCCATATTTGCAAACAAATTGAAGATACAAAAAGAAATACCTCAGTTGTTGAGAAATTAAGGCCTTTGTGATCTCAAAGAGGGTCAACATACATGTAACCTAAACTCACAGTGTACACTGTACATACCCATTTTCCCCCTCCCCCCTAACAAAAATCATAGGGATTGATTCCCAATATTTCTGAGAAGATATCAAAGAGGTAAAATAAGATTTACATGTATTTTAACAGTGTATGCTCAAACCGAACCTCACATGTAAATTCTGCAACTTCCTCGAGCACTTTTACTGTACAATACAAGCCAAGTTAATTGGTGACCCCACAGGCTTCCCTCACTCATTATGCATACAATTTATGAAGCGGATACTTCTTCAAGCACCCTTGTTCCTATTTGGGGACCAGCACAGGCTAATCCCTGGAAAACCCTTTCAAGAGAAGTCATGGGGAACACAGAGGAACAAATTCCTTCAGGAGGGCCGAGGGTACTAAACTGTGTCAATTTGGCATTCATTTGTATTGAATGATAAGTGTATTGGGGTATTAGTGCTGCGATGGAAGATATTTAGACCTGGGTGATTTATTGATCTTTTTTCGGTTGGAGTCAAGTTAGTTCAAAGTGTACATTGTACACACAGTCATTTCCACTCATCTCCAAGCCATTCATTCTTTTTTCTCTCCTACTCTTTCAGGCATTCTACATGTGCATCATAATATTTTCTTGTCATTTGTTACATATTTCAAAGAGGTGGGGTGGGTATTGTACTGGTTGAAAAAAATAAACACAAACACCTGAATATTTGTTGTATTACACACACAAATGTACAATGTACAATGTACATGTACATGTATGTGGACTAAATTCCTCAAGATCACAAACAATACTCATTTTTTTGTTAACCATGGATACATTTATGCCCCTTACAGTATTACAGCCAGTTTTGTAGAGTTGATCACTGGAAACAAAGAAAATATCAAAATTTATCTTCCAACAGCCTTCACAAAAATCATTTCTTGAATTATTATTTTATGGTTAGAAACTCAAGTCTAAACGTACTACTGTACATGTATCTATAAACACTAGTACTAAAGCCTGTTCGGATTAAATACAAAACTTATAAAGAGCAGTTCTCAAAGGCATTTTGCTATACGATGTTTTAATAACGTTATAATAAGTTCTGACTATAAAATATTTAATTCCTTAATACATGTAATGTATACAATGAATGTTGGAAGTGTGAACACAGGGTTCAAGACAGCATACCGGTACCCATACCATGAAAACTAGGGGATTATAGGTGTAACTGATTCTAGAAGGACCTTTATCCTTTGGAATTTGAGAGAGAATCAACAAGTAGCAGAGGAAATGTAGAACAAAGTGTATTTATCCAGTATCAGCTTACGTCTAAAGCTGCTACAATGTGTATTATCAGGCTACAGATATATGCACAGTAGGCAGTAGCTACATTGTACAGTACATGCAAGTACAATACATGCATACTGTTAGCCTTCAAGAGGCACCCCCCCCCCCCCCCTCTCCCAAAGAAAACCATACTCTTCATGTACATGCAGCATGCCATATACCGTGCGTCCCCAAAAAAACTATACACTTTTCAAATGGCTGCCGAAAAAAAAAAATATGATTCTGGGGAAAAAGTTTTATACATCGAAAGCTCATAAGCTCAACTTTCATACGACACCAAAAAGTCTGAAAATAATTCATGCTTGGGTGAGCGCTAAATCCTTTGGAGCTTACAAAATTGAGGGTGATATGATACATTCATGATTTGCTGAGTGAATTTCATGGATTATTAAACCAAATTTGTAAGCATGAGTGAACAGGAATTGCTTTTTTTTTATTGTAACTTTCCCTGGTAGACTCAGTGGTGTGTTCATGGGAGTCAGGATGGGGTGATATGATGGTGCATGTTGTAATTCCCATGTTACAAACTGTTATTTTTTACATAGTCTGTGACTTTGAATAAAAACCTTCACCCCACATTTAAGTGTCTTATGAAAAGCGCTGATATAAGTAACAGTTATTATTTTTATTATACTACTAGTTTACATGATGTACATGTATGTACAGTACATGTACATCAGTAGGGGGACTGGTCCAAGAATAGGGATCTTCCTCATAGTCATAACGCGGACAAAATGCGTTCTAAAAAATAAGGGTCATCTGCATTTGCGCTGACATTTTTTTTCATCGACGGCTGCGGGTTTCGGGTGACTGAATCGCCAATCAAAAATATGAAACTTCTGCGAAAATGAGGACAATCCTTATATTTGAGGGCGCATCGGGTCTCGTTTACGAAGACGATCCTCATTTATGTGGACAATCCTTATTCTCGGAACAGCGCCCCTACAATACAACATCCTGACATTCAACAATCTGTGTCTCTTAAGAAAAATTTTCCTTTGTTTTCTGTTTTACCAAAGTCTAATTGATCAAAATGATGCCAGGATGGGGATGGATTTCCCCTATAGACTAGTTCTATACAAAGAATTACATGTAGGCCTACTGTACATACACACAGATGCAGAGTCACACATCACAGCTCACACATCACAGACGGGAATACTGCGAGGCCCCTAACCAGCAACTCGGCCTACCGACGCGGGCCCAGCATGGGAGTGGGACACTACGCTGCCACCGCGCCGCTGCCTGCGCTGCATGCAGAACCTCTATACAGTTGTCATGGGAGGGAGACGCCGTTTGCAGCAGGCACGCGAACAAATCACAAATTTAACCAAAAACATACGCTCTATACACACGAAAGAGTGACAGGCAATCGTATGAAATGCTGATAGATCTTATAACATATATCATTATCTCACTTTACCAGACTTAGATGATCAAAAACAAAGAAAAGTATCATTTACATTAAGTTTTACCCGACTCGTTGACCTCAAAATTCTCCGATACGAAATTAACCGGTCATCTTCCATTCATTTGCACTTCATTCGTTTTACACTGTTCGCAATCACACACGCCCATAATTCGTCGATACGACACAATAACCTTGCTTATTCGCAATCAACATAGATGATTTTAAAAGCAATCAGACCAAAATATCAATTATAATACATACCAATTGTTCTTAACCATGAATTTCCAAATTGTCTTTCTATAACCTCGAGATTTCCTGTGAAAAACTGTCCTAAACTGTGTCAGTTTCGGGACTTCGTCGGCATTCTTGCGATCTGACTTATTAATCACGTGACAGTCTAGGAGCAGTGGTTTTAGCAGCCTTACTCGCAGACCTTTTCACACAATCATCCGTAGTCTTTACTCACCCGAAATCAGACCCCACCACTATAGTTTCTTCCCCTAGCATTTACTCTCTCGATCTCTACTTCTTCAAGAATCGAATCACTCTAACTCTCTCTCTCCATTTCCAATTGATTCATAATCTCTTGCTAACGCATGATCACAAACAGCATTCTAACACAATATCTTCCTGAAATTGTGTAATAATTTCATTTTCTCTCTCTCTCTCTCTCTCTCTTTTCCCCATCTCTCTTTGGTTTCCATTCTTCTCTTGCTTATGGCATTTAAACACTATATTAACCTGAAATCTTAAGTCACATTTGCTCTCTATTTTACTCTCTCTCTTTCAATTTTTTACCAAAGAATCTCCAATCCGATAAAAAATGAGCAAATTAGATGTGAATTGGAACATGGATTCAGATTTTTCTTCAGCATGTAGCCAGTGTAATGTACTTGTCTTGCCAACTAGGCATATACGGAACTGCAAGTCCATGAAGGAGGCAAGCAATTAGGTCTCTACACATTAATTTCTATAGCCAAGTTAATTGATGGCCATGGACCTGGCTGTACTTATCTTGCTCCTGCAACAATTGATCTGCAGTAATATCCTACACTAACCAAATTTCAAACTTCAACCCTGGACTCAATGCTATACAAACCTCTAACCCTAATTGTCAACCTAACCCAACACTCTAAAACTCAATTGCAACCCTATCCCTAAACCCATTTAAAAATAATAAAATAAAATACTTTCTACAGCCTAGAGCAACTGTCACCAGAGCAAATGATTTTAATTTTTTTTTTTTTTTTTTTTTCATTTACCGGTATTTACCGGTATTTATTTTTATTTATTTTATTTTTTATCAGTTATTCTTTTCTTTTTTTTGGGGGGGGGGGGGGGGGGAGGGAGACGATCCGACATTTGCTCTGGGGACGATCGCTCTGGACTTTATTTCATTAAAGGCATGTCAGGTTAGGGTTAGATTCGAATTAGTATAAGTCAAGAATTTAGATCAGGAAATCTGGTTAGTAACAAAAATTAGCGTGGAGTAATTTAAAGGTAAAGACCAGTATTGGTAACGCCCCAATTTCAAAAAATGAAATGGAAGCTCTCATTACCAATCATGTGAAAGAATATGTTTTGACTAATACATGATGATAAAAAATTTGCCGGGAAACCGCCTACTAATTCATATATTTGGTAAATTTGTTTCTCTCATGGTCTGTGAGAGATATAGGGTAGTCCCATATACATCTTTCTGTGTATAGTGCTTGTAACTTTACGAAGAATGGGCCAAATTTCTTATCATTTTGATGATTCCAGAACCTTGCAGATGCTAGATGCTAGATGATCAACCTAGGCTAATCGATTCCACAACGTTTCTTTCACAATGCAATCGCATGACCTTAACTGGTCTTTACCTTTAATGTCACACAACTGCATTGTTTAATTCACCACTTTTTTCTTGACCATTATCTTGGTTATTGATGAAGTAAACGTATTCATAAAGGGGGTTCTGACAAAACATTCATGTAAATTTTACCAAGGGTACAGGGACAACCCTTTTTTTTTTAATGTGCAAAATAGAGATCTATATGAATTTTTCAGAAGAAAGTACGGTAAATGGGAGAGGTGCCTGCAAGACAATTCACAGACTCACAGAGTAAAAGAAATTTCATTTGTGTGATCACAACCTTATTACATCCCAAGTTTCATATTTTCTACTGGAATTTACTCAAACTTTCACTTCTCTGTTTCTCTCGATTTACACTTTCATAAATATGCAAATGAATACCACAGTGAACTTCCTCTTCAATAGACAAACAAAGAGAAAACATTTTCAATTTTCCATAGACGTGACACACATTTATTAAAACTGTGATGGTCAAGAGCCGATGATCTTTTCATTATACACAGCAAAAGAAATCAGCCTTGAAAATGTATCCATACAATTCTGAATCCATGTCAGTGATTTTCATTTTGTTTATATACAACATGTAATAAAACAATTGACAAACATGCTACACCCTATGCCTGCTCTTCGATCCGCTAAGTCCATCGATTTGACTCAATAATGCAATTTACAATGTTGGTTTGCAAGGTTGATACTAGAAAAGTTCAAAACACTGTAAGTTGTTAACAATACTGGACAACCCTTCTACATGTATAGTAGCTTTCCACCCAAATGCAATAAATTTTCTGTTACATTTTTTAAATGAAATATTGCTAACTTCATCCTGAAGTAGAATAAGGGTCTATTTCAAGTCAGATATATTAATGAAACACAAAATCGAAACCCCCAAATTGGCTCTTGAAACAAATCAAACACACGTTTATATCTTTCGAATTGGTAGCTTAAAACTCCTAGAAGCTTTCTACATGCATCAGAAGTCTGAAATTCTGAATACAAAATGAACACATCCCATGGATGATCATTGGTGATGTGCATGTAATAGGTGCAAAACTAGGCTGCAAGGCAACAGGCATGTATCATACTGATATAAGAAATAAACTAAACTATGATGATGCGATCATTATTGCTTGGCTGGTGGTGTGTATTTCCCTGCTTTGATCAGTTGATCTCTGTGCTTGATGATGGTCTTCATCCTCTCGATCTGTACATGGGAGAATGAGAGAGAGAGAGAGAGAGAGAGAGAGAGAGAGAGGGAGAGAGGGAGAGAGAGAGTGTGTGAGTGAGAGTGAGGGAGGGAGAAAGAAAGAGAGGGAGAGAGAAAGAGAGAGAGAGAGAGAGAGAGAGAGTCAGAGGGTCAGAGAGAGATACAAAGAAAGACAGGGAGAGAAGAAGAAGAAAATTGGGAAGAAGAGAAACAGAAATGACAGAGATAGAAGGCAAAGAGGATTTAAGTTAGAACTTTAACAAGGTTTAAAATAAGTTTGAAATCAAGTGTCACACTTTCACTTTCTATAGCTACCAATAGAAAACAAGACAGATTCATAACATACTAGTCTTATTATTAAGAAAACATTCCCCAGTACTTATCATTTTGAGCCCCTTTAGAATCACACTGTATCCTCTATGTAACATTAGAAATTACCATAATATTTCAATTACAGCAAAATTGAGAGATAGCCTTTTTTATGGCACCAATTTTGTTGTCCAATTCTGTAGAGTTATACATTATTGCTGTAGCAGGTAAGAAATTCAGTGTCTAAAATCATACTCCTAGTAATAAATGGAATATTTCCTTAATGTGATCAAATTTAATGAATAAATCTTTTTAAGTGCTTTGTTAAAAATTATTTCATTCACTTGTTATGAATATTTGTATTTCAAATGTCATAATGCAAATTGCATACATTAATTGTTGCTAGGTAGGACAAACATTATGGCTTGTCCTACCTACCACCATGTATGTAAGTAAATTGCATTCCGACTATTGACATATATGTACTACTACTTGTAACAGTGAATGCAATCATTTGTAACGAGGCACTCAAAGAATTAATTACCTTACAAAATTGGCCTATTCAATTGGCAACTGTTTTTTTCTCTTCAACTATTAACTCAGAGCGCTCCTAAGACCCAAGATTCTTCATCCCTTACTCCTTACCCTCTTTGACCCTGTGATGCACTCCCTGAAGTCAGCCAGCTCCGGTGCGCACTCCTTCTGTGCCCTGGTGACCCCGATCTCGGCCGCGCACCTAATGTAGTCTGCCTCATAGTACTTGCACTTGGGGTCAGGTAGGCCGCCATAGCCGTCTAAACCCTGGTGGGTGGTGTACACCTTGTCAAAGTCATAAAACCTGAACAGAGCCATGTCTGGAGAAGATGGGAAGGTAGACGAATAAAGTAAATTTAAATCTTTATCTATCTTTATCTAAGATACATGTAGGTTGGAAAGTTTGTTATTGTGGACAACCAAAGATGGAGAGAGAGAGAGAGAGAGAGAGAACACAAATGTAAAAACATGACTTTTAAAACATTATCACCACATTAAAACTCCAACTAAGAGTAACGTTTGTTTCACTTTTTTAAAATCACAAAACTGTAAACATTAAGAATGTACAAAAAACATATAGATTGGATATATTCATTATTGATATACAAATAACTTAATCAGCTTAATAGACACTGCTTGTGATATAGGTGTCGGGAGATCAACATATATTATGATTCCCCTTGAAACAGGTACCGGTACATGTATGCTTAATACTTACATCATACATGTACATGACAGAGTAAATATTCTTATTTTGCTCCAAAAAATAATTTTCTCTTTTTTTAAAGCCCTGGACCCGTCTTACAAAGAGTTGCGATTGATCCAAATCAATAAAAAGTCCTTCAATCACTTGCAACTTTGCAGTTTCCTATCTCTTATGTACCCGCCAATAAGTTGCAAAAATTTAAATTTCAGTCATTTTACATCACATTGACATTACTGCTTCAGCCAATTTTAAGTGTCCATACGTATTAAGGCTGTGCATAACCATGTAATGAGGTACTCGAGTACACTCCCAGGCTTACAGACGAATACTCGAATACTCGAATACTTGAATACTCGGGCGCCGTGTTAAAAAAAAAATTTAAAAATATTAACAATTTATGTTTGCTTTTTTGTCACCTCCATACTAGGGTAGAAGTATCCCAGGTCCGTCTCCGAAAACTCACGCGATTCTACTTAAAGTTGCAGTTGAAGGCGCTGATTTAATAAAAAATAGAAATATCACAATCTGTATTGCAGCACAATGCGGATGTATCCCCCGGCGGTGGCAGCGATTTTGTGTCATACTTATGTTCGAAGGAGGAACAAAGATCGACTCTCCCATCCCTGAAACAAAAGGATGGCATAGAGAGGTCGCCACTGGCTTGGACTATTGTCAAGACTAGGTGCAGCATCACCAAAACAATTATAGTATAATGCATCTCTGTAGAAAATTTGAAAGAAATCTGTCAAGAAATGTGGCAGTTAGAGCACATCAATGACATACAACCTTTGACCATATAAAAGAGGGAACAATGAGGGCAGCATTTCCCAAAAGTGTAGATGTGTAGATTGTACCAAGATACATCCCCATACAAAATTTGAAAGAAATCGGTTGTGAAATATTACCTGCAGAGCGCACATTAGACACCCACCAAAATATGACCTTTTGACCCTATAAAAACGGGACACTGGTGGCAGCATCACCAAAAACTATAGGTGCATAGATTTTACCAACACACACTTTCATACTCAATTTGAAAGAAATCTGTTAAGAAATGATGCAGTTAGAGTCTAACCGCATCATTTCTTAACAGATTTCTAGACCGCACACTAGAGTGCACACAAGACATATATCAAAATATGACCTTTGACCCTATAAAAGACGGAACACTTGAGGCAGCATCACCAAAATCTATAGGATTGTAGATTATACCAAGATACACCTTCATTCAAAATTTGAACGAAATCCCTTGAGAAATGCAGCCTATAGAGTTGTGAAGTGTAACCTCATCAAAAATCTATTTTTAGAATTTCTCAATGTTTTCTTCATTTTCCGAAAGAGCATCAAAACTAATGTCCGAATGTCGAAAAATCAATTGAATATGTTAAGTATTGGCTGAGATATGACCATCTGAATAAATATATTTCCTATAGGAACTCTGTGTTAAATGCTCTGGCTCCTAATGGTCTTTTAACACTGGGGGCAGCATCACCAAAAGTTATAGGTGTTGAGATTATACCACGATACACCTCCATACAAAATTTGAAAGAAATCCGTCAAGGAATGTGGCAGTTCTTCTTCTTCTTCTTCTTCTTCCATTGAAGTACGTCCCTCTATTAGAGTGTTGTCGTACTTTGTTAGAGCGCACACAAGAATATGACGCGGCGGATGCGGCGCAACGCTGCCGAATCCAAAGTACCCCACCGGCATGCTGCTGGGGGATACAATAATAATAATAGTAACAATGCTGTTTTTAAACCAAAGATGAAAGACTCATTTTCCTCCGAGTCCAAACAGAAATCCGGACATTTGGTCCCAGTTTCTGAGTGGTGAGTTGACACTGATTGAGCTGGGAAACATTTTTAACCACAGTTTTATGTCGGCGCTCTCCCGGGCACGGGTAAGCGTCAGCCTGGACAGTGCCAGGTGACCAGGCAAAAAAAAAGAATAGCAGCCGAGTATTCGAGTACGAGAAATCCTACTCGTCGCAGCCTTAAAGGGATCCGGTAACTTTGTCTCAGATTCTGAAACAAAATTCTGGATCTAGCTCATGATGCAATGATAATTATAAACCTTTAGGTCAGTCAGGAACCCCATGACTTTTACTAGCCGATCGCCTGTCTGATTATCAAGATATTTATGATTGGAATTACAAATTTTGAAAACCGTTCGCCTGACGGTTTTCATAACACTACAGTCTATTTGGGAAAACGAGTATGGTAAAACCGGTCACTCAAAGGTTTTTACTTTTTTGAGGCACTTCTTGATCATTTTGAAGCGCAATTTTTTTAGAGCTTCAATATTACACCATATCACAGACACTGATAACACGTAGGGCCGTGTATCTCAGATTGAACATTGTTAAACGATCCCTTTAATACGTAGAGTAAAGGAGCCGGTAATCGGACAGCTCCAGTTTTCGGCCGATCCATTGGATGCATGGTAAAATCCCTTTAAAAGACATCGCATAATAGCACAACACATATCCCACACATACCATACCATGCCAGAGTCACTGAAGAACCACATTTGCAATGGAAAATATATCCTAAAATATCACATTTTAGCGATGTAATCGGCGGTCCCGCTACCCAAATCTGAAAAGTCGAGTTTCTTACGCGTGTATATAAGAAATATGGGTACCATAAAATCAGCTTTATTTCAAGTATTTTTCAGATTTAGAGCCCGATTTTGTGTTAGTCGCAAGCTCAAAAGTATCTCATCGCATGTATTAAATCAATGCAGCCGGACCCTGCCACGCACACACAATATGTCTGTCTAATTCAGATTCCAACTTCCGATCACCGCTGTGCCTGTCTTCGGCCAGGCGAGCACCAGGGAGCTCCGGCGTGGGATACCTGCTCCGCCCGCTTGTGCTGTACATCAGCGCGGAAACGCACGGCGCGCGCGAGCGCTTCCTATTGACTTTGTACATGCGGCCGTAAACTGAAACGCTCGGCCGATAACTGTAGGGTGTCTGAACGATTTTTCAATTTTCAATTTGGGATCGTTTTTCACCATTTTTGTTTGATATTTGAATTAAAAATGTAATCAGAATAATACATTTCGAATTTCAAGTCTCGCCGATGTTTCTATCAAAAGATACAGCCCCTTCAAAACGCTGAAATATTCATAGCATTTTGATCAGAATCGACGAAAAAGACGTACACGCAGAGTTATGTTGTTTTGCTAAATTTAGCCAAACAGCTGTATCGCGCGATATGCAAGCGTATGCATATCGTACGCAAGTTGCTCAGCCAATGCGCGACTTGCAAGCTTGAGCCACGCTGTCTCCGCGATATGTGCCATTGACTAGTATGGGTGGCCGTTCCCGCCATAGAACCCGGAAGTGAATACATGTTGTAGTCAATGGCAATATCGCGGAGACTGTCTCCGCGATATTGCCATTGACTACAACGTATATTCACTTCCGGGTTCTATGGCGGGAACGGCCACCCATACTTTCATTCACTATAAGCGCACATGTTACGCGATGTAACCATGGTTTGGACTGAGCGGAGCTCACGCCTCCCTAATTAGCTGATTCCAAAAATGTGGGAAGGGTATTTTCAAACTGTTATAACAAATGATCCCTTGGGGCTAGCGAAAAAAAAAGCATCTGGATATTATCCTTACATCTAGCCCTGCTTAAGCCGCGGGGCGGCAGCTCAGGAAAGTGGCAAATTTTGGAGCTAGGATGCAAACAACATTTCAATCGCTGTTTTGACCAAGATATTTTTAGAATTCTGGGGGTGGCCCCCGATGGGGAATATGGAGAAAAACCTGCCCTTTCATATGACACCTCATTTATTGAGTTTCACCTTCAGGATCATTTGTTATAAAGGTTTGAATTTCAAATTTTTTCATAAAATCATTGACCAATTTTGGATGGTCGCGCAATGCACGTAGACCACATAGGGAAGCGTACAATCTCTATGGGAAGGGTTTTAGCACACAACATTGGGTGCGCGATCAGACACCCTAATAACTGGCTCCAAAACAGTGGAAATTGAAATTAATATTGTCATGGCAATTCGTGATTTTTTTCTGGGATTCTTTTTTTGTTTAAATAATAATAATATTTGCTTCATGATTTGAACAAGAAATGATAATAAATAGGAAGTAAAGAGTCCAAAAAATAGGATTTTGTCTTAAGTGGCCGAAAACCGGCTCCTTTACTCTAGGCCCCTATTGTGATTACAACTTTCAATAAAACTTTTTTATATTTAGACTAGACTTCTATTCTAGATCTAGACTAGACTCTAGTCAGTTTCAATTGAATTTTTCATCAGTTTGCCTCTGCCCTCTCTCTCTCTCTTCATCTTCTTCTTCTTCTTCCTCTTCCTCCTCTTTTTCTTCCACACTTCGACAGCACTCTAATTTCTTCATCTCTAGAACTACACAAAAATGCATATATGGGACAAGGGTTATAATATTTAGTTATCCACTGACAAGAGAGAGCTATATAAATCACCTCAAATATTAAACAAATAAAGTACCTAGATTAAATGTATTGCATTTTTCAAACTTTATACAAAAATTTAATTTAATACGACTTCTCACCTGTCAGATTCCAATCAAATAGGATAAATTCAACACTCTTTCTTTCCAAAATTTTCTAACAAAATTTAGCATTGGCAACTCCTGACCGTAGTTGGCGCTCTCGTAAACCAAAATTTGAAGGAGTGAAAAGGTGAGTATTTTCTATCCTTTGTTAGGCTAGATGATAAAGTCTTTTAACGATTCATCGTATATCTAAGTCTATAGTAAAGTAGAATTCTAAGATTTGCCATGATGCATTATCCTAACAATAATAGACAGAAGTCTTGGAGGAGAAGCGCATAATTTAGTGGCTAACTCTAAATCATAAACATAATTCAGTCCCATTCATTCCATTTCGTGTAGGCCTATGTAAATTGTCAAAAAATTTCATTATCAAAATCAGATAAGTTTGCATATTTTTCTAGACTCTAAATATAAAAGTATAACCAATATTCAAAGTTATTGTAATATTACAAGTATTAAAGATAATTGTAAATCAATGTGAGATCCTGCACTGTGCAAAGAGTCGGCGTTTCTTCTCTTCAACTTCTTGAACAAGTTGAACTTCAACTTTGATTGAAGCTCTTCTTCACTGTTAAATTGTTAAATTTTCTTAAAGTTTAATTCAACAGGGTTTTTTTTGCCTGTAGACTATTTTCTTTGTTAAAGTCTGATTTAACAAAAAAGATTTGTGTGTGTTTGATTTTTTGTTGGTGATGTAGACCTTATGTCCACAATTTTGTTGTCTTTTATTTGTTTTTTAGTTGGGTCTAGGTCTAGATCTAGAGTAGAGTCTCCGTTTTGCGGCATCGCCCGGTTTGCGGCCAGGGGTATTTGTTTTAAAAATAAAATGAATATGGCTCGATAATAATCATTGAAACCTACCGTGGATTCCACGGTAAGTTCTGCTTTGCCGAAAACGTCCGTAGCAGGTGCTCCTGTCGGTACGGAGTATCCGTCAGCGATGTCGGAAATCTACGGCACCAGTCGCCGATGAAAATTCCAGCAGGTGCTAACTTTTAAGTTAAGAGATCGAGGCATGACTAGATCAATATTGTAGCTCTATTTGTCCGATATTTGTCCGATTGGAGGTGAAATTTGATGTTTTTGTGGAAGTATGATGGCTGTGGTCTGTCTCCTATCGCAGATATTTTGATTGTGCCACCGCATGGCCAGTTGCATGGGGTGGCCGCAAACCGGCACGTAATTACGTGTTTTTTCTGGTTTGCGGCGGGGGGTGTTAATACACACATAACATGCGGGATCGTGTATGATGGTATGTGTGCTGATGTGTGTACCCGCTATGACCCGATAGTTTCTAGTAGTACTTACCCCCGGATGGGATGATCCATTCGAGGAAAAGGTGAAATTGTTTAAAACTTGACAAATTTACCGTAGCAACAGATAAACATGAGAATTTGGGTTACCCGTAGTAATTTGGTACATGCTTTCATCGTGACGTAGCGCATAAAGCTTTGTGACGTACGCGTGCCGCAAACCGGTAATGCGTGCCCGCAAACCGGGGAACTTGAAGCATTTCGAAACGTGGTCAATGCTGACCACGCTGTGGGTCAGTTAGGTTATTTGTGACTTCTATTTAATAAGTAAGTATATGGACTCTTTATTGAGGGTATTGAAGTATTCTGTGAGTATTCCAATAAAAATAGAATCGGCAGTTCCCGCCGATCGGCCGCAGACCAGAGCCACTACTCTAGACTTTGTTTTTATTTTTTATTATTTTTCATATTTTGTCTTGCTATCAATTGTGTAGCTCTTTAGACGATGATGGCCATGATTGATGGTAGCATCACTCATGCAAATTTCCATTTTACATACCATCAGAGGGGCATACATGTATTGTTATTGAGTATAGAACTCATATCGAATCTCAGGGAGAAAAAATGTGTATTTACACAAATCTACTTTAACATTTCTTCAATTTGATTAATTTCCTTGTCTTCTTCATCTTGTGTTTCTTATTTTTCTTTATCTCTCTATTTTTCATTTTTTCATCTGCTGCTTCTTCATCTTCTTTATCTCCTCCTCTATCTCTTCTTCCCTCCTTCTTTATCTTGATCTTTTTCATCTCTTTCTTCTTTTCCTTCTTCTTCTTGATCATCTTTGTGTTCTTGTTCATCATCTTGTTTTCTTCTGCTCCTTTTTCTTCTTCTTCTTCATCTTATTTCCTTTGATTAGCCTTACTGGAGTCTGAGCAAATATATTCTCAGCTGCAGCCTGTATGTCTACATGTTTATGTTTTTTTGTTTGCCTTTGTATCATAGACTCTACAACCATTTAAATATCAAACTGCCACCATGCTGTACTGATGTAGAATTCTTCACCAAGAAGGAAAGACTTCAAATATCTCCGCCATGGCAGTAACAGTAGGAATGGAGCAACAGCTCCATGAGATGCTTGCAGATGTACTGGTAAGAGATACTAATCAAGTATTTGCCAAAACGGGTTGACCTACCTTAAAGCCCCACTGCACTACTAATAGCTAATTGCGCCCTCTACAGGTACAATGTATATAGCAAACAATGCCTAATTGTAATTGAGAGCTGATTTGATGAGGTAACCACCTGTCAGTGAGCTTGCAGGGTGGTCTAATCACTCCTGTCCACACTAGTACAAATGGGCTTTAAAACTCAGGCTTTAAAAAATTAAATTAAAGGCCTTCATAGGAATATTGTCGCCTCAGTCATTTTGTTTCAGTTCTCCCAATGGGTTTTAAACTTCAACACTACCCCTTTTAATTTGGTTTGAATTTAGGGTGATTGACTCTTTGAAAGCTAACCAGTGTTGGTGCTATGGCATGCTTCCACCGACTACTTTTAAGTAGATCCCTTCCTCTAGACTTGAAACTGTCACTTTTGTTTTCTAAATAATAGCAATATGAGATAGAGACTAAGTTTGTTTAAATGTAAATTATACTTTTCTAGATGTATGTCTTCTTTTTTTTGGATTTGTGAATATAATGAATAACAACTTATTTGAAAAAGTGAAGAAAAAAATATAATGAACATTTTCTCCTGTCATTCCTCAAATAACAGTAAGTTTTGTACAATGGATTTTGTAACAAACAAAGTTTTCTTAATATTTTTCTTTACAAATTACAGAGAACAACAGCAATTGAAGAAGCATTTGCCGGGTAAGTAGGAATAAACTTTTAAAATCTTCAGTGCTGTGGGCATTTTTTACCTTTAAAATTTAGATTTGTAATTTATATGTAAGTATGTAGTACTTAGAAGAGCTTGTATATTTTCTTGAAAGCTGAGAAGGGTTTGCTAATTAGTTCATTAGTTCAATTGTAAAGAATATCTATTTTATCATAATTAACAATGAAAAGAGGACGCTATTGAATAGTTGTCGCTGTGACTTCAAGCAGAAACAAAATAATGAAAAAGTAAAGAAATTATAGTTTTTAATTTCTAGTGTTTAGAAGGGTCTTGAGTATGCTTGACTATTTCCCTCTCTTTTACAGATTTGTTTGCACACAAGACTCGGAGAAAAACAAGATAATTGTTTGTTATGAAAATTTCATGCGCTTCTGGACAACTATACCTGCTGTGAGTGTCATGAATACAATACCTCAAAAATCCTACAAAATTTATCATCAATAAAATGAACTTCTTGCTTCGTAATAAAAATGAACAATCTCCAATTGTAGTAGCATAAAAAGTCAATATTCGTTCATTTATATGAATAGCAGAATGATATCAACAGATACAGGCTGAAACTTTTTGTGTTGCCCTCATCAGCTCTGGTTAAAAAAACCAACTAGATAATACCTAGATAGCACTGTGAGGAAATTGCATTTATACAATGCCAAATCCTAAAAGAGCTCCTGTGAGCAGAGAAGTATTTTTTTTTTAAACAGTTGTTGGAACATGAAGACCTCCCTTAAAACAAATTCAAAGATAAAAAAATTAAAAAAATGGCCATTTACACAGATCTTTGGCTGTAGGATATTAATGGCAGACTTACAGCTAGCAACTGAGTTATTAATACTCCTTAAAAATGTACATTTGATGGTTTTCTGTGTTATTTGTAACTTAAGAATGAAATGAATGGTCAAATTATGGCCTTTGTTGAATATTTTTAGATGTAAAGCTTAATATGTCACAGTCGTTCTCATGAAAAATCAATCAAGTTTTCACATACTTAAACAAAATTAGAAAACTTGGTAAGGGCATGAATAATTTAGTTGTTAACTGTTGCTACATGTACATTTTTCTTAAATGACCCTTTATTTATGTGGATGTAGGAATCTCAAGACCGCATGCTGAAGCAGTATGTCAATCACATCCACACTCTCACATCCCATCAGAGGGTTAGGATCTTGTGTGATATCCTTGCTAATGCTGTCGAGAAAGGACTCATTCCAGCCAAGTGAGTAGATACTACACCATAAATGATTAAATATTAATATAGCGCCCGAAGGGGAAGTTCTCCCTGATATTACTTTGGTATTTTAATAAAGAAGCAGACATAAATGAAATACAGTTTGAGGAAAGTCTGGTGAGAAAAAAGAAGTATTTAAGTTGGGATTAATAATTCTTTGATTTATAATGCACCTTGCGAGCAGCTCTCTCATTGATGTATGAAGAAAAAAATATGTGTAAATCTTTACTTGTGTGTGAAGAAAAAAAATGAAATGATATTATATGTAATCATGAAAAATATAATTTTTCTATTTTCCATGTGATTAAAGGCCCAGTCATGACTTGGCAGAAACGATTGGTCCTAGATGAATTATTTGTCAAGTCTTTGTCAACTTTGAGAACATGCTTTGATAAATATTATTGAAAATTATTTTATTTTATTAAAAATAATATTACATATTGCTAATTGTTATCAAAAGTTTTCAACCCTTAGGCATATTAAATCAAATCTAAAATAACAACTGCATGCTATTGTAGACTGCATAATCAAAGACTTGTAACTCCATTTGTTTGACTGTAGGCTGGTGTGTAGACTGTATATACAAAGACTTGTTACTCCATTTGTTTGACTGTAGGCTGGTGTGTGAGGCTTTGCTGACATCCAAGGATCTAGACTACAAGTCCTCTTACATGTGGTGCCAGTCTTTCCATATCATACAGAAGATTATCAACAGTGCTGACTACAAAGTAAGAGCCGATGACAAAGCGGGCTTAATTTCTTAAGCAAAGCATTTTTATCTACATTAATTTTCAGACAGGCATCTGTAAAATACATGCTGTTTTTTTATTATGTTTTTGTAGTACTCCCATACCTCTGTTTTCTTGCTTTATGCATCAAATTAATTTTGCAATGTGCACCTGAACTAGCTTTGTCTAATTTTTGTTATCATCTTCTATAACTCTTGATGATTTATTGTTCTCTATTTTAATACCAAGGATAACACCACTTAATGGAATTTGTTTAATGTCCTTCGTTATCAATGAAATGCTTTTGTTATGTTCTTGAAAAAAAAGAAGACACATTGAAAATAAATTAGAATTGAACCTTGTGCCCTTTTAGCCCAACTCCTACCGAGATTGATTCTGAAATACGCCACATTGCATTCACGAGAATACAAGATCTTTCAAACTGCCTACTTATCCCAATTGCCAATTATTTTGAAAAGGTCTTGATCATGCGTATTTCCGCCTTTTTTCCAGGGATGTCGCGATGTTCTGCGCCTTGTTCTTGAAACAATCAAGGACATTCCAAAGAGTGTCAACGTATCAACTGGCAGACAATTGGATGCAGTCACCAAGGTAACATGATTTCAGTAATTACCATAATTATTTTGCTTTAATCACTGGCTTTGCCACTATATATCTCAGATGAACACAACTTTGGGTATAAGTGTTCTATTATTATCAAAATGTATATAATAGTCATCTTTTTCATTTGGCATGTACAAATGTACATACTTGAGACTTTGAGAAATTAATGTTTATCAGTTACTGGCAAAAGCCGTAGCCAGTAAAGAGATATGTATGCAACAATATGACTAGGTGTAATGTTGTCCTTTTTGGAAATAAATACACATATGCTCTGGTTTACTTTCTATTACCTAATAGCCGTGATGGTAGTAAGAATTTGACCCATAGTACATTTGTGTGTCTACATTCGTTTTTCTTCTTTCTACCGGTATCTATCATTGAAGGTTGTACTGCACATCATAGACAGGAATAATTGTCTGCTGCCAGCATACTTTGCAGAGACAGAGATTCTCAAGCTATTCCCTGAGAATGGACCAGCCAAGCATTGGGTTAGAATTCTTTCTTCTTTTACAACTTCGCTTTTAATTATTAGATTAATTTATTTAGCGCAGCTACTTTATTAATATACTTTACTACACTGGAATGAAAACAAAACTCCTAACAGGCATCTTTACAGACACACAATGAAAAACCTTTTCAAAGGCTCCTGAAAACAAGTGCGTCTTCAACAAGACTTTGAAGACGGCAATAGATGAGGCTTTTCTTATATCTAGTGGCAGGTTATTCCAAAGCTTTGGAGTAACGCAACTTACTCATTATTCCTAAGTATCATTTGAGGTGTTCACACTTGTACAAGCATTGCTTTTTAGTGGACCCCTCTGTATCCAATATGTATTTCTACATTTGTTGTAAATGTTTATGATCGATTTGTAATGTTTTGTTGGAAACATGAATAGATTGATATTGAAATAGAATTGAAAGCGCAATCTCATCCATGGATGTGATTGTTGGATAATTATTGTAAGACACTTTGGAGGAAGCGCTTGTATAAATGACCCCCAAAATATTCACATCTTTTACACATGGAGACGTCCCACTTCATGCATTTCAGAATAATCACTACCAATGGAGGTACTTCATGAATTTGTTTGCCCTCTTGAAAATAATGCTTCCACCTGTGTCCTGTGTATCATAGAATGTACTACGGGTGCATAACTGAATAATGATATGAAAATTTCATGAACGTGTATCCAGCAGTCATCTCAATGGCCCAAATTCACAAAGGAGGTTTGTCGACAAACAAACCTAGGTTTTTGTGCGTCATATGACGCGTTTTTTACAAACCTGGTTTGTAAAAACGCATCGAAACGCGTCATATGACGCACATGAACCTAGGTTTGTCGACAAACTTCCTTTGTGAATTTGGGCCAATGGGTCTTACAATTTCGTACAAATGAATTTTATCTGCCTATGTGCAGATGGTATCTCCAAATTGGCTTATAGATTGTCTAGATTGTCTGAGCCGATTTAGCTTTTTCTCCTCCAAGGAATCTGAAATCCACTGAAATTTCAATCCTATTATTCTTAAAACTATTCAAATCATTGATCATTGAGATTTTAGAGGTGCGTATATTCATATCAAGTGCTAATGTAAATTCTTGCAAAATCGGATCGTAGTCATATCGTATAGTGTTTGGTGGGCTTTGATGTTATTACGATTATGCAATTTGGCATAATGTGTCTTAGCTGTTCATACGTAAGTAATGTAATATACCGTTTCTTCTCCCCCCCCCCCCCCCCCCACACACACACAAACACACAAATACACATGTAGGCTATCGGTGAGGAACTGGCTAACTATGTGGATTCCTTCAGGCCCGTTGCCAATCTGGTCACTATCACCGGTATGTCTTATTCTTGTGTCTCATTATTGATGATAGTTTGCCTACACTGTTTAGGTAAAGGTATATAGGCCATAGTCATTCTGGCAGACTACATCTGATCTGGTCACAGTCCCTGTTATTTCTTATCCTTGATAGTTTGCTTGTACTCTAAAGTGAAGATATAGGCCATTGTAATTATGGCAGACTAGCTTACATCTACTTTAGTCCTTTGATCTATCGAGAACTGATTTGTTAGAAATCTGTTCAAAGTGTATTTTCTTTAGAATTCTTCAACTCCAGGAGATGCTGGCAGATGTGCCGGTGAGAGATGATCTTGTAGAATAAAGTTATTTGCAAAATTGGTTAACCTACCTTAAAACACATGTTTTTATTTTAAAAGCTTTACATGGAAGAATGCAATTTCCATGATCACAAAAGCCTGCTATTAGTTCTATTAGAACCTGGGTTATTATGTATCACCCAGTGTGCTGATTAAACCCTACCTCCTTCAATTTGGCCTGAATTTGGGGGTAATTGGCTCTTTGGAAGCTGAACAGTGTTCATGCTGTGTCATGCATAAATTAAATAACTAAATAACATCCCACTTTATTATTCCTTGATTTGTTGAGAAATAACATACTAGAATTCTGTTAGAAGTGTATTTCTTAAATAATCCTCTGCTTTATATAGGAATACCATAAAAATGGTTTATGTTAGCATTCATTACATCGTTCTCATGTTATTGCTTTGAGTTTATTATCAAATGTTTGTTATTGCATTGATGATAATAGAAATTGAATTCTTAGCATGCACTATGCTCTACACAGTACAATTAAATCACAGCATTTATAACATAGAATTGCATTGTTTCCAACTTCCAAAACACTGTCTTGTGGAATACCGCCACTCGTAGTAAGGCTATTCTGCCGCTTATGACTTTGAGAATACAAAGAATGAATGTTCAATACACAATTTTATTATAACCAATTTTGATTTATGTTATGTTCAGGACGTAGTCTGCTGTTACCAGTGATCGGTCATTCAAACAATACCAGTAACTCATGGAGGTTGGATCCGGTTACGCTAGCTTTCCCCACTAGAGGGCTCCTTCCATTTGAACCGGTAAGATTGTGTCTGTCGTATCCTCATCTCCAACACCTTCCTGTCTGGAATTTTTGTTTCCTGTTTTTGCTTTTGTTTTTGTTAGATTTTTCTTTTTCTTCTTGTCTGTAGTTTATTATGGCTTACATAAATGTTACATCAACTCTTATTCTTTGTTAAGTTTTTAATTCTCATTCTTCCTCTTCAAGTTTTTGTTCTTGCTCTCTTTGTTCCCCCCCCCCCCCCCCCCCCACCAAGAGTTTTATTTTTTCCTGTCTCTTTCTCTTATGATTATCATGACTAATCACATAGAAGAAGATTTTGAAGACACTTTTGACATTGTATGATTTTATTTCCTTAATTTGATTAGTTATGAGGAAGAAAATTTGAAGAATTTAAAACAAATATGATTCTACATGTATATATATGTTTTTTCACTGTTTCTTTTTTCTCCCCCTTATCTTTCCTTATCATAAGTAATGACATCGAAGGAGGTGTAAATATACTGTTAGAATATCTATGTTTTAATTTAAAATAAATAATATTGATTGTGCTAGAATATTCATGTTGAACCCTAATGAAAGCTACAATCCATATAATTTTCAAATGTATGCGAGTACTAAATTAAAAACCAGTTTACAAATGTTTTGCTTTGGCATTGTCTAGGAGACGATCAAGCCCCAGACAGGTCTGCTACGCTATGTTCTGAAGCAGCCTTATTCCAGGGACATGATCTGTACTATTCTCGCACTCAACAAAGGGGTAAAATACTTCAGATAGTTACAATAATAATACACTATTTGAAGAGTTTAATTCCAAAGGGAGCTAAATCCATTTTTTGTAACTACAGAGAAGAAAAAAAATTGCTAACAAAATTTGGCACAGGCGTCTATGGAAAATTAATAAATAATAATAATAAACAATATTTATAAGGCGCTTAATACTGGTGTCTCTAAGCGCACCATATTCTGACTTAACAATTATTTACCAAAACTTATAATAAACACACAACTTATACATCTGTTCTTTATTCAATAAATCATGCATATAATAAAAAATAAGATAAGAGTGAGATCAAACAAACATACATACAAGAGGTCAAACATAGGATCAAACATAGGATCGAACAAACAAAAAATAAGACGGTGTGCACCTCCTTTGACCGACTCACAACTGCAGAATATTATTTATGAATTAAAAAGGTGCGTTTTCAGCAAGGACTTGAATTGGTCGAGAGAATGAATATTATGAAAGTGCGCTGGTAATTTGTTCCAAAGGATAGGGGCATTTACTGAGAAAGCTCGGTCGCCATATTTTGTAGCGGTACGAGGTCCGAGGGTTAACTGCAAGGTTGATGATGATCGAAGAGGTCTTAAAGAACTAGAAGAACGTAAGGAAATCAAATCTGAAAGATATTTAGGGGCTTGGCCATGGAGAATTTTGTATGTAAGAAGAAGAACTTTGAATGTGATACGATGGTGTATGGGAAGCCAATGAAGAGAACGCAATATTGGGGTTATGTGCTCCAACTTTCTCGAGAGAGTAACAAGCCTTGCAGCAGTATTCTGAATTCTTTGAAGTGGAAGTAGGGAAAATTGATATTAGAAGGTGCATTTTTTCACAATCGCTCCCAAAATTTAGGTAAATAATTTTGTTTTAAACTGGTACTGAAGTGAACAATGTTCTGATATCAATAACTCAATTTTCATCAAAAGTGGATTTAGTTCCTTTTGGAATTAAGCTCTTCATTTGTAGATTTATACAAACGAGTTTCTTTATGCACTGTACAGGTAAAATGTGAAGTATGAAAGTATTAAACCTAACCTTATTCAAATTATATGCTATTTTAGTGTCTGTCGGAGGAGTGCAGCTCTCTGAAAACTTGAAATTTGAAGTTGTAGACCTGAAAACTGGCGATCGACTTGATGACATCTTCGCAATGACTTTGCATTATGTGAACGTAGCACATCGCCTATGTTACATAGGCAAGCCGTGACTGCTGCAAATTTTAACCCTGTCTCCACTCCCTGTGGAGCATTCCAGCCAGGCGTCATTTTAAACTACATTAACTTTCATATTCTACCTGTTACCCATTTAACATCTGAATGGAGAGTGGCAAATGTAGATTAACGTCTTGCCAGAGGACATTAGTGCCGGGCTGAGATTTGAACCTGTGCCTTGTGATCTGTAGTCGGGTGACATGTTTACTAGACCACAACATCTCTATAAGCTATGTAAGTGCAGTGCAAGTTATTGCAGTTTCAATAAAAGTGTTGTTCTTTAATATATCTTTTATCTTACTTCTTTCAGCAAAAGCAGAAGAGTGTTCCTCTTGAGGAAGAGATTGCCAATTTGCTGATCATAGCGATGGAGAAGGCGGAGCTTCAAGACGGCAACCAATCTAACTGGCCTATGGCACCCTGGCAACACCTCTCCACACAACTCATCATCTTTGCGCTGTTCCAATTTGTCAGTTTCCCTAGTATGGTCGAGTCACTGCGTCAGAAGGTGAGTTTACCTAACCTACTATTGTAGAGTCGCTGTATCAGTAGGTGGGTATAGTTTCCAAAGTATGGTTGACTGCTTGGATCACTAAGTTTAGCCCTTGCTAAAAATGCTCTAGTGTGATAATCAACTCATTTCAACCATCTGGACCCTGTCTCCTAAAGAGTTGTGATTGATCAAAATTAATCGCAAGTCCTCCAATCACTTGCAAAACTACAATTTAGGTTCCCTGGTATGGTAAAGTCACTGCATCAGTAGGTGGGTTTAGTTTCCCTAGGACAGTTGACTCATTGCCTCAGAAGGTGAATTAACTCTCATGAACATGTACTTGTCGTCATTTTGATTTCTTACTGAATCTGTAATTTGCATTTGTCGTTTGATTTGTCAATTGATTATTAGTTTGTTAATTTTAATTTGTTTGTTTGTATTTGAAATGTGAGTAGTGAATCTTTTTTGTGCACCTTGAGAGTCATTATAGGCAGATATGTGCGCTATATAAATCTTCATTATTATTATTATTATTAATTGCATTAACCTCTTATGTTTGGTGTACAAATTTGTGGTACAAAACATTGGTCTCGCCCATATGAGTGTGTTAATCTTTGTATGATATCGGTATTCTGTATCCTCAGCTGAGCGGTAGAAATATAAGGAAAGGGAGAGACCGTCTGATGTGGGTACTCCTTCAGTTCATCTCTGGTAGCCTTAAGAAAGCACCTCTCTCTGATTTCCTGCCGGTGCTCAGCCTCGCAGATCTGCTCTACCCAGAGAAAAAGGTTAGTTGGTTACAACTAGAGGTGTCGTGGACGAGTGGATATGTCACGGGGTATGATATGATCACAAGGTCCGGGGTTCAAGTCCCACACGTCACTAATGTCCTTTGGCAAGACATTAATCTACATTGGCCACTCTCCACTCATGTGTTAAATGAGTACTCGGTAGGATGCGAAAGCTTATGTGCTTAGAATAGCAAGTGTGTGCTTGTAAACATGACGCCTGGCTGGAATGCTCCCCAGGTAGTGGAAAATGTGCATACATTGTGTGCGGGTAAGCCTGAATCCAATGACCGGGGTGATAATATATCTGTAAAGCGCTTTGAGAGGGCCTTCGGTCCTGATAAACGATATATAAGAACTAGCTGTTATTATTATTATTAACATTTATGCAAAGAAAGGACTGAATCTAGACGCTTATACGTACATGCATGAATCGTCTTTCACCTACACTCTCGCTAGCTGGGAAAAACAGAAGGAGTAAAAAGATTCTGCAAACGTAAATTATTTTCATTCCAAAGATGATGGTACCATGGCAGGAAGTCCTAAGCCGTGGACCTTGTAATCTATTAGTCCTGTGATCTTTCTATTAGACCTCAACACCTCTGAGAGAACATCGTTCTGCGAAATACTGTTGAACTACTTAAAAGTTTTTCTTGGCCTCTTTTTTTTTCTATAGACTTCTAATTTTTTCCTCCAAAAGTATGAATTGTAATCTTACAACTGTCAATTTCTTTACATGACAATACCGGTACTTGAATTATGATCAAAGCTGTTCCAAATATTTGTAAAATGCCATACCCTAAAACAATGGTGTGCACCGTTTATGGGTTTGTAGCAGCAAACCCAACACCAGCACAAAGTGTTAAGTCACCTGTTATTGCCATCTTTTCATTTTGACTGGGGTGATAATAATATCAGCATACCAGTTATAGGGATTGCATTCCTTATTAAATGCTATATTAATTCAGAGCTATTATTGTTATTTGTGTAGGGTCTTCCTTTGCCAGACATCAACCAGTCAATGTGCACCCATGTGTTCTCCATGGCCTGCATCTGGAATCATCTAGACCACAAGAAAGAGAAGGAGAAAGAGAAGGAGAAGTCTACCTTACAGAGACCACCTCCGCCAGCCATCAAAACACATCTAGAGTGAGTGAAGATCAGGGCCCCGTTGCACAAAATTTACCATTGATTGTAACTTTGCCATCAATGGTAACTACCATGGAAACCTGGATTTTGATTGGCTGTTGAGCCCTGTTACCATGGTAGTTGCCATTGATTGTCAAAGTTACCACCAATGGTCAGTATTATGCAACAGGGACCTGGTAGGAATTATGGAAAGACTGTACGAAGGGAAAAAGAAAGAGAGGTAGAGGGAGGGTGGAGTGGAAAAAGTGACAGATAAAGACTTAGAAGAAGAAAGAAATGGAGAAAGAGAAAGAAACGTCTTCATTACAAAGTCTACGTCTGCCAGCCATCAAAACACATCAAGAGGGACAGGAAGATGGTGTGAAGACAAAAGATAAACAAAAACAAAGAGATAGAAATGAGGAATACAGAGCCTTAGAAGAAGAAAGAAGAGGAGAAGGAGAAAAAAACATGAGCTTCATGTACCTTCTTTTACCATCAAAATGCTCCTCGTGAGTGAGTGATGGAGAGATTGTGAGAAGTGAAAATGAAGGGTAATAAAGAGAGGGAAGGAGAGGACGAGAGATAATGACAACATTGAAAAGATTGACAGATGGAGGCATAGAAAGAAAGAGAAAGGAATGAATAAAGACATGGAGAAGTCTCTTGCAGCGGCCACCTCATCCTTACACCTAGAGTAAGTGATGGTCTGGTCGATGGGAAGATAGTGGGAAGGGAACATGAAAGAATAAGATATAATGAAGGAAGAAACTTATAAACACAGAGACAAAGAGAGAGATTTGGGATCTTTTATAGTTATGTCCTGTCTTCTAGCTATCAAAGCTATGATGACATGAATAATATTGAAATTTATTTTCTTCTTATTTTGGTAGGTATTTGCAGCAGACATACAAGACACAACATCTCCCTCTCTCAGACTTCAGGATAGCACTACAACTCAATGCATGTAAGTACTTGGACTTAGATTTAAAGGTACTATGTCCCATTTGCAGGCCAAAAAAATGAAAAAGTTAAATTCCAACTGCATTTGAAAGATAATACTAATTTAGAACTTCCCTAAAAAAGGTGGGGCTTGAAAATGTCTTCAAGTGGGAAAATAACGACTATTAGTTGTCAAATCGACTTTAGGGCTATAGAGCCCAAAATTAATAGTCTTGATTTTCAGACAATTGTACCGAATGGTCATACGTTTTATGCTGCGCAAAGATTCAATCAGTTTAATCTTGGCCATCACAAGAAGTGGGTTATTGATGTAGACAAATGCTCATGTACCCTTTACAACTCTTTTCATGTACATGTATGTTATTACCAAAGAAGAAAAAAGCCAGTCAATCACTCAATAGTGTCTGACAGTGAAGTCTAGCAAGTAAACGGGTTTCCTTGCATAATTTGAATATGAGGACACTGCTAACGTTTAAATTTCACAGATAGGACATACATGACATATTCATAATTCCTGCAAAGTTCTAAAGAATTTGAGGTTGGCTGCAAAAGGGACATACATGTAGTACCTTTAAGCAGCAGTGACATACATGTTATTTAGAGGTAATCGTTCCTAAAACTTTCTCTGACCTCTGTGTGACCTTTGTTCTCTCATGACCTCTGTATGACCTTTGTTCTCTCATGACCTCTGTATGACCCCTATTCTCTACCAACAGATTCCACTGTGGATGAGATGTTGACCCGACCTCTCCAGACCCTAGTAGACTACATCTACTGCACCAATGCCAACTCTACCGTCCCTCTGCCCGGACCAGCTACCTGTGTGGCCGTAGGATTGACCGCACCCATTCCGCTCTCACTCCTGGATTCACTGACCGTTCATGCAAAGATGAGGTAAGCTGACCCACCTGACCTGACCTGACTTGAACTGACATGACCTCTGTTTCTAAAAGTGATGTCCTACATTTAGATAGTCACACACATTTCTACATGCCCTGCAGAAGTGCACGAATACAAATTTTAATTCTATAATGAAAGAATGGAAGAACAAAATTGGGAGAAGGTAAAATGAACATTGATAACAATTTCAATGATGTACACACATACTGTATAGTGAGTGAACAAGGTACATAGATACAAACTTGATTTTCACAAGCAAAGATACTCTTTAAACCATCTACATGTAGCAAGTAAACATAAAAATACCCATCGTAAACCTTAACTATAGCTTTATACAATTTTTGTCAATAATAATCAAGTTATCTTTAATTTCAAGAATGACTAGACTACTTGAGTGAACAGAGAAAATTGGTTGTGGCATTTATTTTGTTTTTCATTTTTTATTACAAGATCTAGCCCTGCAGTGTTCTGGGGGCATTTCACAAAACTTGTCATCAGTGACAAATAACAGATTTTGTTATAAGCTACTGAAATCCTAGCTTCTGATTGGTTATCAGCAGATTTGTCTCTGATTTTTGTCATTTGTCATTGAAAAATGGCTTTGTGAAACAGGTACCTGAGCTTATTAACAGTATACACTTACAATTTTTGTTTCTCCAAATTTATCCTGAAACAGTGTGATCCATCTGATTGTGAACAAGATTCTTCAGTGGCACAAGCACCCAGGGACCGCCCTCTCTCCTGCTCTGGTAGAAACATACAGCCGTCTGCTGGCCTACATAGAGATTGAGTCACTCGGAATCAAAGGGTTCACTTGTAAGTTTGATTTTTATGTGGATCGAGAACAGGGGGTGGGGGTGTTTCACAAAGACTAAGATCGACTTTAAGTTGGACTTAACTATGGCAGGCCATTCATGCCACTGGTTGCTCTCACCATTGGTCTCCCAATTATGAGCTTTGGATAGTATTTTTTCCTTCAATAATGAACTATGAAATAATGTAAATTATGTAGATTTGTGACCACGATTTATACATGTATGTCCCTTGAGAGACCAATGCCAGTAAACAGTGAGAGCAAATGATGGCATGAATGGCCTGTCATATTTAAGACCAACTTAAGTTGATCTTAGTCTTTGAGAAACACCCCCCTGGTTCGAAACCTATTTTAATTCTGGGCCTTGGTTTAGAAAGAGTTGCATTAATTCTGATTGATTGCAAGTCCTACAATCGATCACAAAGTCCTTTGGTACAGAGTTGCAGTAGATATTAAGTTGCGATTGACTCCAATTTGAATCACACAAAACTGCTTTTTATGATAGATAGCCGTGTGCGACCTCCATAATGTTAGCTTTTTTGTCTCATACGTCAGTAATCATAGGTTTCAGTACATCTCAATATTGTATTAAGTTGATAGCCATAAAAAAGCTCAGATCAGAAAAAAAAATATGAAAGCAGTTTTAATTTGAATTTATGTTCATAACTTCACAATACCTGGTAACGCATCAGACACAAGACAACTGAAATTGTTCCTTAGACATGATCTTAATCATCTTAGACTTGATCTTAACCATCTTAGACCTGATCTTAATGGTCTTAGACTTGATCTTAATGATCTTAGACTTGATCTTTATTATCTTAGACTTGATCTAAATCATCTTAGACCTGATCTTAATCATCTTAGACATGATCTCAATCATCTTTGACTTGTATCTAAATCATCTTAGACTTGATCTTAATCATCTTAGACTTGATCTCAATCATCTTAGACTTGATCTCAATCATCTTAGACTTGATCTTAATCATCTTAGACTTGATCTTAATCATCTTAGACTTGATCTCAATCATCTTAGACTTGATCTCAATCATCTTAGACTTGATCTTAATCATCTTAGACTTGATCTTAACCATCTTAGACCTGATCTTAATGGTCTTAGACTTGATCTTAATGATCTTAGACTTGATCTTTATTATCTTAGACTTGATCTAAATCATCTTAGACCTGATCTTAATCATCTTAGACATGATCTCAATCATCTTTGACTTGTATCTAAATCATCTTAGACTTGATCTTAATCATCTTAGACTTGATCTCAATCATCTTAGACTTGATCTCAATCATCTTAGACTTGATCTTAATCATCTTAGACTTGATCTTAATCATCTTAGACTTGATCTCAATCATCTTAGACTTGATCTTAATCATCTTAAACTTGATCTTAATCATCTTAGACTTGATCTAAATCATCTTAGACTTGATCTTAATCATCTTAGACCTGATCTTAATCATCTTAGACTTGATCTAAATCATCTTAGACTTGATCTTAATCATCTTGGACTTTATCTTAATCATCTTAGACTTGATCTTAATCATCTTAGACTTGATCTTAATCATCTCAGACTTGGTCTTAAACTTGATCTCAATCCCATATAGGTAGCGTATTTCCAAAGGTATGTGAAGTGAGAGCATGGGGTATTCTGAACACTCTTTTAGAGCTGCTGAGCTATCGTCTTCATCACATCCAGCCCCACTTCAGAGTGCAGCTCCTGTGTAACCTGCATAACCTCAGCACACTACCACAGGCCAACCACAACCAACTCTTCTACTGGTCAGTAGAGGTTCATGGATGATGATGATGATGGTAGTGGGGGGGGGGGGTGGTGGTAGTGGTGGTGGTCATGATGATGGTGTTGACAATATTAGTGACAGTCATGATGATGGTGATGATGATGGTGGTGGTGGTGGTGATGATGATGATCATGATGATGTTAATCATGATGCTGATGATGATGGTGTTGGTGGTGATGATGATGATGATGGTGATGATGATGATAATGATGATGCTGATGATGATGATGATGATGATGATGATGATGATGATGATGATAATGATGATGATGGTGATGATGATGATGATGATGTTAATCATGATGCTGATGATGATGGTGTTGGTGGTGATGATGATGATGATGCTGATGATGATGATAATGATGATGCTGATGATGATGATGATGATGATGATGATGATAATGATGATGATGGTGATGATGATGATGATTATGATGATGATAATGATGATGATGGTGATGATGATGATAATGATGATGATGCTGATAATGATGATGATGATGATGATGATGATGATGGTGATGATGATGATGATGATGATAATGATGATGATGATGTTGATGCTGATGATGATGATGATGATGATAATGATGATGATGATGATGATGATGATGATAATGATGATGATGATGGTGATGATGATGATGTTGATGCTGATGATGATGATGATGATGATGATGAAGCTTTTGGGCTATCACTGCTACATGTATTACTACTGCCAGTAAGTAGTACATTTACATGTACATATACTTCACGAAATGGTTATAACCTCTAATATAAATACTACAGCTCCCTGATTGTACAATCATCAAAGAATATCGCTCTCAACTCCTCTTATCTTCCTACACCTTTTCCCTTCCAGCATTGAGAGCACCGCCCTGCGTATCATCACGAGTCTAGGAAGTGCTGAGGTTCAGCCCCAGCTGTCTCGGTTCCTCAACCAACCCAAGCAGTTACTATCACAGGAATCAGAGGAGTTGAATAGGGCAGTGGTCCTAACACTAGCCAGAGCTATGCATGTCACAGGTACTACCTTTATCTGTTTGCCTTCAAATGCCTATGTTGAGTACTGGGGGATGTTTCACAAAGATCCTAAGTTGAACTTAACTCTTAGTTAGACTTAAATGTTATGGAGAGCCATTTGTAGCCTTAAAATAAAATATATTTAAAAGCGAAAATTTAAGTATTTTAGACTTTTTTTTAATTCCACAGCAAGAACATTAAATCTCCTTGATGATAGAGAATATGACTCATTTGAATCAACATTTTAAGCCTTTTAAAATGACCTTTACAAAATATTTTCATAGATGCTAACAGCTTTCCATAGTTGTTAAGTCCAACTTAGAGATAATTTCAACTTGGGATCTTTGTGAAACACCCCCCGGATAAGGGAATCTCATTCTGAAGGAATAGTACATGTACATTAGGTACATTATTTTGAACATTTGAGTAATAGTGGATATGAGTGATGTGTATTGTGTGTGCAGCACTTTGTATCTGCACGGAAGAGTTGATATGTGAAAAACTCTTACCCATTTTTGCATAGATCTAGGATTGGATTATGAGATGTTGAAATCATTGAAATTGGATCAAATTGAATTCTTGCAGAAAATCAGGAACCATAATAACAATTGCACTTACATTGAGATACATGTATGTTAGCCTACTTTAACAAGTTCAATGAAAATTTGATGGAAAGCTGTTTAAGTATGAGAATTTCTAGACTCATTTGACAGATCAGAGCAATCCAGAAGCAATCATTTTCATGTGAATTTGCTCTCAGGATGTTCTTTATTTAATTATATCTTTGCCGATTCCTCTAGGCTCTAAGACTAAGAGTGGTAGTTGGTTTACAGGCATCCTTTCTACTCTTAGAATAATCCTCACAGCTGGGCTAGCCACACCTTTAAGTGCCCCCCCCCCCCCCCCTCCATTGACACTTCAGTACTTCCCTCATTGATTTGATCTGATCTGATCTGATTTCACTTTATTTAATTTGATTTGTCACTGTGTCCTTTCTAATTCCTGCAGGCTCTCAGACTCTGAGTGGTAGTTGGTGTACAGACATCCTTTCAACTCTAGTCAGTAACACCCCTCACAGTTGGGCTAGCCACACCCTCAAGTGTTTCCCGTCGGCGCTCCAATCCTTCTTTGAGCAGCATAACATGCCGACGGAGATGAGAGGACTCAAGAGGGCGATAGAGGATGAGTACAACAGATGGACCAGTAAGCGTGCATCCTTAATACATTTATCCCCTTGTCTGCATGAAATTACTTGTCTAAGTCATTATTTTTGATTTTTTTACAACACAAATCAGTCATTTGAGTAGATTTGTCTAAAATTGATATAATTTAAATCTGTGTTTGCAACCACTATGTAAAAAGAGTTGGATGCTGCTTGTAAGTGTCGGCTTGCATGGTGATGTAGATATACAGTAGGTTTGCGGGTGCACCATGTTAGAGAGAGAGAGAGAGAGGGTTGAGGAGTCCTGAAAAGGACTCTGACTCGGTAATCTTTCTTGGGGGTGTGGTAGTCCTGAAAAGGACTGTTTGCTATCTTTCTTAGCATATAGTTCTAAGGAGAACTATAGCGCTTCGAGAGGATGAGTGGCTCGACGTTTTGAACGTTTCGAACAGGTTGACTATCCGTCGTCAGGAGTCTCCTGACGACGGATAGTCAACCTGTTCGAAACGTTGAGCCACTTAATTAATTACATTTACTTATATAGCGCCTAACACTTACTTTATCAGAAGTCTCTAAGCACTCTACGATAATGCAGCATAATTACCCTGGCTTTAGCAGAGCAGCTGTCACGCTCTCTGCATTTCAAGGAATAAATTTCTACCAGGAATGAAATGGCTGCTAAATGTGTTGCGTCATTGTCTAAATTTCATTTTGCATAATTCTTAATTTCAGGCATGATCTCAGAAGCAGAGAGGCTTCATCATTTCTCCAATCCCAGCACACCCCCATACTTCCTGTGGTGAGTTAATATACATGGATTGAATGCACTTAAACATTGCAATGGTTCACCAAGTTTGAAAGGCATGTTTAAAGCATATCTGCACTAGTTTGGCCAGGATGGATTAGACCTCCCTGCTATATTGTAGTGGGGCTTTAATATACTTGTTGACAAATATTCTTAAATAGCACCAACACTATTGATTATAGGCTTTTGAGAATGTTGGACCATCATGACCTAATTTTTATGATTTATCAGGGTCTTATGCAACTTGTTGTAATTTCAACTTGGTGATAAACTTATCGTTTAATTTTGTATACATTTTTAATGTCTTTTTTTTTAAATTTCAATGGCAGTCCATGGGGGGGGGGGGGGGAGATGAGGATCTTAATACCAGAGTATGATATCATGCAAATGTTGCACGCTCTGGCGTTCAAAACTGAAGAAAAGAAATGAACCAACAAATTCAAAATTTCTCCCAGGCTGCAGGCCAAGGTTGAGATATAATGGGTTGAGGTGAATACATGTATATGCTATATTGAATAATAAAATGCATTCAAATAATAGTTGTGTAAAATGTAGGTTATTTGTGATCCTTTAGAGTCGGGCCTTCTCAATGAGATTCAGGTTGCATTCACATCAAATGTGTGCATCTAAGACATAGCAAATAATGGGTTATCGCAGGGAAGAGAGGTGCACAGTCTAATTCACTTTTATAGGCATTTTACTGTGCCACAAAATATTGTTATATTGCACACTCGCGCACATTCAACAAAATGTTGAGTGTCACATGACGCCTTTTCAGCCAATAGAAGAGGCGCTAACAAATACCCTATTTTGTATAACAAGATAATTATCCTAGTCCCAAGGTACTTGATCATCATAACTAGGCTCCACTGTGTCTCTCCATATTTTTCACCCCACATTCTTTCACCGTCTTTTCTCCATGCAACCAGTATCATCTGGAAGATGCTACTCGTCATGGATACGGAGCGCATCACGCCCACTGTTGTGAAGATTCTGGAGTTGATTGGACCCAGAGGTTTGTCCAGACACATCAGAACCTTTGCTGATTATCTAGTCTGTGAGTTCTCAACGTCGGCAGGTGGACAACATGTCAACATGGTGGGTCTTTTTTCTACTTAAAGTGACTCGGTAACATTATGTCAAATTAGACTTTGGAAGTGTAAATAAAACTTGTTTTGCATAGTTTGGTTAACTTTTTTTATTCAATTCACCCGAAATACGACTTAAGTGACCAGGAGTTATGCAGAGTTAATGCTATATTATTTTCATTTTTGTTGTTCTTTTTCTTTTAGTGTGTTGAGAAGCTGAACGCTATGGTATGGAAACTGAACATCATCACTCTAGACAGGCTAGTTCTTAGTTTGGTAAGTCAGTTTCTTCTATCAATCAAGCTATATAATGTAATCTTTTCAAGTGTTTTATACAGACATAATGGGATTAATCACATCAAAACATCATTTTATGTATTTATAACCAGAAATACACCTGCCTTTATTATAGCATGATTTCAAGAGTGAAAGCCAAATTAAGCAGAGAAATTATTTGATGAAAGTTTTAAGTAATAAATATGTTAGCGAAGAAAACGTCACTGTATATGTGATGATTATAGTGAAAGTGATTATGATCATAATGATGACAGTGGTAATAACACGGATAATGATAATGATAATCGTGATGATAATGTAACAGCGATAGAGAATATAAAGAACGTAAACATAACAATCCTATTGTTTAATTCTGAAATCTTTTCCTTCACAGGCTCTAAGAAGCCATGAGGGAAACGAGGCTCAGGTCGGCTTCTTCATAATCCAACTGTTGATTCTCAAACCTAATGAGTTTAGGACAAGAGTGAGTGACTTTGTGAAAGAGAACTCCCCTGAACACTGGACTCAATCAGACTGGCATAGCAAACATATGGCCTACCATAGGGTAAGTATGAGCTTGGATTGATGAAGGTATGATTGAGTGAGTGAGTGGATGGATGGATGGATGGATGGATGGATGGATGGATGGATGGATGGATGGATTGGTGGATGGGTGGGTGGGTGGGTGGGTGGGTGGGTGGATGGATGGTTGGGCGGGTGGGTGGGTGGGTGGGTGGGTGGGTGGGTGGGTGGGTGGGTGGGTGGATGGATGGATGGATGGATGGGTGGATGGGTGGATGGATGGGTGAGTGGTGGGTGGATGGATGGATGGATGGATGGATGGGTGAGTGGTGGGTGGATGGATGGATGGATGGATGGATGGATGGATGGGTGGGTGGGTGGGTGGGTGGGTGGATGGATGGATGGATGGATGGATGGGTGAGTGGGTGGATGGATGGGTGAGTGGTGGGTGGATGGATGGATGGATGGATGGATGGGTGAGTGGTGGGTGGATGGATGGATGGATGGATGGATGGATGGATGGGTGGGTGGGTGGGTGGGTGGGTGGATGGATGGATGGATGGATGGATGGATGGATGGATGGGTGGATGGATGGGTGAGTGGTGGGTGGGTGCGAGAGAGAGAGAGAGAGAAGAGGAAGAGGAAGAGAGTGACTTGTGAAGGAAAAATCCTCTAAACATTGGACTTAGTTGGCATAGCAAACATGGCCTATCATCAGGAAGTACATGTATACATTGGATAGAGGTACTGTATGCATGTCAAATGAAGGCCAAAAATTAATGGAATATATGACTACAATGGGTTTATATAATTCAAGAACTCCTCTACGAATAGTGCAACAAGAAACATATTTTGTCATGGAACATAGTGATCGATCATTATATTTCAAATCAAGTTTTAGGCTGATCCTGAAACATTGCTTTGTAACAAAATTATTGATTCTGTTCGTGCAAAATCAATTTTAATACCTATTGTTCTCAATATTGGTCTCAAGACTCATTTGTCTCTCTATCCATCTCTCCCTCTTTCTCTCTCTTTCTCTCCCTCTCTTTCTCTCTCTCTCTCTCTCTCTCTCCCACTCCCCCCTCTCTCTCTCTCTCTCTCTCTCTCTCTCCCTCCCTCCATCTTACTCTCTCTATGTGTGTGTGTGTGTAGAAATACCCAGAGAAGTTCTTCTATGAAGGTTTGTGTGAAGAGACTGGTGCCACTCTCACTACTACGCCCCAGTACCTGCCAGTCTACTTCAGCAATGTGTGTCTCAGATTCTTGCCTGTAAGTATTAAAAATGACACCAATCTAGGTTTGTCTTGAGTTTTGTTTAACTGTTTCCTAATTGATATTACCTTCAGTTACATGTATTTGTAGGGACAGTCATAATGCTAAGTTACATGTATAAGATTGTAATATTGTCATTATCATAAGTTTGTGGGGGCAATTTTATGAATTTGGCACTAATGATATGAGCATAATTTTATACCTTTAATTTAATTTCTCTGTTGTCAAACTATAATTTCATCAATTATTTGCACTACAAAATCAAGTGCAAAATCAAACTAAAAAAGCTTTGTCTGGCTTTCTATAGGATAACGAATAAGGAGTATGAAGAAAATAATGAATAGCGTACCACCAACGGAACCCAAGTGGCACTTGGTTCTGTGCAAGTCATACAGTTTCCAATCATAAATATCTTGATAATCAGACAGGCCATCGGCTTGCAAAAGTCATGGGGTTCCTGACTAACCTAAAGGTTTATAATTATCATTGCAGCATGAGCTAGATCCAGGATTTTGTTTCAGAATCTGAGACAAAGTTGTTTCCTATTCTCTTGCCTTTGCAGGTGTTTGACATCTTAATCCATCGGTTCCTGGAACTTCCTCCAGTCACCAAGTCACTAGAAACCATTCTGGAACACCTAGGCTGCCTCTTCAAATTCCATGGTAAGGCGGAGAGGAGGGAAAAAGAGATAAATGAGAGAGAGAGAGAGGGTGAGAGAGAGAGAGAGAGAGAGAGAAGAGGGAGAGAGAAGGAAGAGGGAGAGAGGGAGTGATTTAAAAGTTTGAAGGATCCAGAAACCATCCTGGAACACGTAGGTTGCCTCTTCAAATTCCATGGTAAGGGGGAGAGTAGGGAGGAATAGATAGATATGAGAGAAAGAGAGACAGACAGAGAGGAGAGATCTAATACAAAGGGGGAGAAAAACCTGTCGTGGAAAATTCATTCTTCTGTAAAGTCATAGAAAGTCATAGAAATTAATTGTGGGTGTGGGCTGTGTGTGACTTTGGCAGCCTTCCACTTTGAGCGGACAGTGGGCATGGTATTCATATGCCGCTTGGATGCCGCAACCAACACAAAATCATTAAATGGGACTAATACCTGGCCATGGAAAAAGGCAAACATTGGTCATAGAAAGTCTTGGAATTTGGTTCTTAAATTTCTGATGGAACCCTCAAGTACATTTTTAGTGTCCACTTTCTTTTGTTCGCTGAGTTTATTTTACCTGCATTCCCTGTAGACCGTCCAGTGACATACCTCTTCAACACACTGCATTACTATGAGAAGAAGCTGAGAGAGAGACCAGGATTGAGAAGGAAGCTTGTCGGAGTAATCATCGGAGCTCAGAAAGGCATCCGACCAAACAACTGGTAAGCAGGATGCTTTTAACCCATGTAGAGGTGTCGTGGTCGAGTGGATATGTCACCGGACGGCTTTGGCAAGACATTAGGGACTTTTAGATCTGCGTGGACTGATACGTGTGACGTCCATTCAAGGCAGTGCATTACAAGGACGTCAATCGTAGCAATCCACATTGTCTTCGTGCGAATCTAAAAGTCCCTATTGATCTACATTTGCTACTCTCCACCCAGGTGTTAAATGGGTAGGATGCGAAAGTTAATGTGGTTAGATTAGCAAGTGGCGCTTGTAAAATGGCGACTAGCTGGAGAGTGGAAAATGTTCATACATTGTATTGCAGGTAAGCCTGAATCAGATGACCATGGTAATAATATGTGCTGCGCCTAGAAATACAGTATTTGGCACATTATAAATGTGAGCTATTATTATTATATGATGATACAGTTTGTGTTGTCCATAATTATATAATATTTACTAGCCTTTAGGGAGATACAAGGAATATTGCCCTTACTGAAATCATATAGACCTTGTCCTTTACTTGTTTAATTTATCATTGTATCTCCCGAAAGATAAGCCAGTCAATATTATAATGATAACCTATTCCTTTGTAAATCAGGAAAGGATATCGTACAGTTACTATTATACAGATATCAACTGCTTTGAGAGGCCTGGCTGTTTTATAGGCTCAAGGGAACGTGCACATCCTGCTATGACCCAGAGGCGCACCTGGGTGAACATGTTCAATATCATTTTTTTTTTTACAAAGGAAGATAGTTGACATACCAGTTATTCCCACAAACTACCTTTAACTATGAATAGTTCTTAGACCCACACTTTCTTAAAGTGTAATCCACCCAGTTGTTAAATGGGCACCCGGTAGGATGCGAAAGTTAATGTGGTTTGATTAGCAAGTGGCGCTTGTAAAATGGCGACTGGCTGGAATGCTCTCCAGGGAGTGGAGAATGTGCATACATTGTGTGCGGGTTAGCATGAATCTGATGACCGGGGTAACAATATATATCTTTAAAGCGCAATGAGAGGGCCTGTTGTCCTGAAATGCGCTATATAAGGACGAACTATTATTATTATTATTAATCTCCCTAATTGATTTCGTTTTGTTTGACCTCTTCAGGTGCTTGACCCAGGCCTACCAAGATTTCCTAGCTAAAGGACCAGAAGACTTTGTTTGGTCACCTGAACATGACTACTACCACAATGTCATCAAGAGACTCGTAGACAGTATCCTTTTACTTTTATTATAAGGAAACTTGGTAATAAATAACAGAAATGCTATTAAAATAAGTTGGTTCCTGGACCCCTTATTAGGAAGAGTTACGATTGATCCAAATCAATCACAAGTCCTCTAATCAATCACAAGTTTGCAGTCTCCTATCTCTTATGTAACATATTTGCGATTGGTGTTAATCGCAAATATGTAGCGATCAATATCAACTCTTTGTAAGACGGAGTCCAAGGGGGGTGTTTCACAAAGACTAAGATCGGCTGAAGTAGGACTTGAACTATGGCAGGCCATGCATGCCACTGTTTGCTCTCACTGTAGGTCTCCCAATTATGATCTTAAGAAAATATTTTTTCCTTCAATAATGAATTATCAAAAAATTGTGACCATTTGTACATCCCTTGATAGACCAATGCCCGTAAATGGTGAGAGCAAACGGTGGCATGAACGGCGTGCCATAGTTAAGTCCAACTTAAAGTCGATCTTAATCTTTGTGAAACACCCCTCTGGTATGGCTATTTACTTTCAAATCAATTTTTGTTAGAAATCAACCTCACAGCAAAGTGTGATAAGAGCAAGTGTAACAAATCATACATGTACGTTATCAGTGATTGTAGTAGTGTGTAGTGGTGGTTATTTACCTGACTGCCAACAAAGCATAAATGCTTGTTATATAGCAACCAGAGGACCGACGGTTTTAGGTAAGGAGGATTAATGCTTTACCAAAGGGCACTAGCGATTACAAGACCACTGCTCTACCAACCGAGCTATCGGCGCTCCTTTATTATGAATAAAGAATAGGTAATTGATTGATTTTTTCCTTGACCATGGTTTCGTGAAGCTCTTTTGGACAAGTCTCCATTCCCTGTGTTTGACTGGAGATTCAATGAGTTTCCTAACATCTCTGCCCATGCATTACACTGTGTCTGTGTGGAGCTCATGGCTCTATCCATCAACCCCAAGGTCGTCGGAGATGCTCTCCTCGACGTGGTCCTAAAAAAGTTAGTTATCAACTACTTCACTGCTTCTTCACTTCAATTTTGCTGCCCAAGCAATCTTACCATATTTACTATACATATTTCAATATTGACATATCAATTGTAACTGTATTCTATGTTTTGGAAAATATGTTATGGAAATAAATGAAATTGAAATTGAAATTGAAAATTGAAATACGTAATGAGTCTTTTAACACGTGACAATTCAGCCATTGGGCTTTGACACATGTTTTAAAAAAACATTGAATTGAATTGAATAACAATTTTCTTTAAAATGTTATTTCTTTCCAGCCCCTCTGAGCTTCCTCGTGAGAATGTGATGATATGGATCAATGCTATTGCTCTTGTCTTGACTTCTCTCCCGGTAAGTTTCACTACAAATACATCCGTTTGACAAATTAAATGAACTTTCTTGATTTAGGTGCATAGGACGGTGTGTCCTCTTGCTCCCCTACAAGAAATTATGCACTATTCTAATCTGTCCTAGGCTAGTTGCTCTACCTCTTGTGTGTGTAATTAAATGAAACTACATTAAAAATTAAATTAAATACAATCACATCGCATATCTTGTGATTCTAGGTAACTGATAAACTAAAGGTAAAATCCACTATTGACTGCTTTGTCACAGTTGCAAAATTCCTGGAAACTATACATGTATAGTCTACAGCGACCCTCCAAGGGAAAGTCAAACAGTGGTCTTTGTAGACAGGTGGTCACTAAAGCAGGTTTAACTGCATTTAGCTGCTTTGAGCTACATGCGACTCTTACATACATGTAGAGGTCTTATGTTGCAATTAGGTGGTCCGCTGCTTATCTGCATCTGAGGGACCTGGTAATGAGGATTAAAGCCTTCCAAAGGGCACTAGCGCATCGACTTAGTTCCGAACCCGGGTCGCCGGATTACAAGACCACTGCTCTACCAACGGAGCTATCGGGCCTCCATTATCATTATGAAAACTCTCTTTATGTTATTTGTCCATATCAGGAGACATATTGCGAGATGATTCAGACCAGGATTGTAGAGGTCATCTGCAGGGAACCCTTGGCAGGGTCAAAGGTCAACCCCATGACCCCCAGGTCAAACCTGAACCACATGTTTGCCGAGTTCAGCTTTGCCTCGGCCCATCCTCTGTTCACTGAGGGAGAGAGTGCTTATGTCATCGCCATCACACACGCCATCTGGCACCACTCTAACATCGGCCAACTGACACCATTGCCTCAGTAAGTTACATGTAGAGTGAAACCTGTCTAGAAAGACCACCCAAAGGAGACAAGGAAAGTGGTCTTTATAGGCAGGTGGTGTTTATGTACAGGTTCCTTTAGTACATGTTTCAATGAAAAACCATTTTCAAGGGAAACAAAAAATGTGTTCTTTGTAGACAGGTGGTCTTTCTATACAGGTGGTCACTAAAGCAGGTTTGACTGTATATGCTATTTCATCAGATGATTGGAGGAGGGAGGGGGGGGGGGCTACCTCAAGGTTCAGGTTTGCACTTTGTTTCCAAATGCTAAATTTCATGCAATTCAGAATTGAAGGTGAACCTTATTTTATTTTAATAATAATAATAGCTCACATTTATAATGTGCCTAATACTTTGTTTCTAGGCACAGCACATATTATTACCCGGTCATCTGATTCAGGCTTGCCCGCAAGACAATGAATGCACATTTTCCACTCCCTGGGGAGCATTCCATTTTAATAACTTATCACTATACATATTCTGAAGTTGCATTGTTTTGAAAGCTTTGTGAGAAAAATTTAAAACAATTTTGTCTGTGGTTGATGCCCAGTGTCAACATTATGCAATCTACATATTGGGTCAGTCAAAAATATCACATTGTAGGTTGTGAATGCACTCTTTGATTTGTGTTTGAGTGATTTATTTTTTACCCTGATTTCAATTAATGATAATTTTGCCTGATGAAGGGTAGAGAGAGACAGAGAGAGTAATGCAACTCTTGTATCAACTAAGACAGTCCAATAATGAAACATTATCTTAAAGCACTACTGCACTACTTATAGCTACTTGCGCCCTCTATATAGCAAACAATGCATAATCGGTGACCATTGGTCCCCCATGATCCTCTTTTTCTTATGTTAATTGAGAGCTGATTTGACGAGATAAACACCTGCCAGTGACTATGCAGGGAGGTCTAATCCCTCGTGGCCAAACTAGTGCGGCGGGCTTTAATCATAATCAGTAATTATCAAAAGTTTGTTCTTATTTGTGATATTGTTTGCTTGAAAGTTCAAGTAATGTTCATCTGCCTGAATAGTTGTATTGAAAGGAAAATGCTCTATAAATAGTATTTATCTTTTCCTGATCAGGTTCCTGAGAGAGCAAGTGAAGCCCCATGTGAAGACTGAAGATCAGTTCCTCTTCATCTGTCACATTGTAGGACCATTCCTACAGCGATTCCATGAGGAGAGAACTAGATGCTTGATGGAGGTATGACTGATCTTTCATTCATTCGTTAATTCCTTCATTTATTCATTCATTCATTTATTTATACATTTATTTGTTTCTTATTGATATCGTAGACTGCCAGAAAAAGCAAATGAGCCCAAACATGGCACTTTTACAGAAATGCATTGAAAACGTTTCTAATCATATTGACAGTAGATAAAGAATGTTTATCTTCATGATTGGAAGACAAATGAAAAAAAGAAGCATAGACAAAATCTATGATGTAACGTCTTGTCCCAATCCCGAAAGAAAATTTATGGTCTAACAAAATATCTCCAGAAAAGGATATCATTTTTATGGGACTTTTAGGTTCTTCCATCTGAATTATATTACAATTTGAATATGAACACTTTCCCTTCCCATGAATGTCATATTAAGGAAATACACAGCATACAAGATTAATGATTGTACATGTATATAGCAGCAGTACATCATCATCAAGTACAGGGTGTATGAAATTATTTGAGAATTTTCTTTATCATGCACATTCTATAAAAATGTGCTCAGGTTATTTCTTAACTGCCAACCATTCCAATTTAGGAGAAATAGTTCCTATTTTTTGGCCTCTAAGCTATTGTTTTAAACTCTAGATTCCTCTCTGAAATATTCTGTGTGAAAAATATGAAAAGTAGACTGTATTTCTAATTTTGGCTGTGACAGGTTGGCAGTTATGTTATTGGAGTGGTACATGAACTTACAACAACAATTCATTTTTATTTCCAGATTGCGATAGAGCTGTATGACATGCTACAGAGTGTGGATAGACACAGTCAGCAGATCACACATGCAGACACCATCTGTGACTTCTTGTATCCTTTGAAATTACAAACTTTAAATTCGGTATTACTTAACCCATTGACTACAGAATACATTCATTCCCATAGACTTAATACGATAGCTACAGCAGGTTAGGGGGCTGATCTCAAAAATTGTTTTGCTCTGTATGTGTGCGGTTCTCTATTGGTACTCAATAATTGAATTGTAAGCTTTGAATAATTCTCCAGTAAAGAGATATTGCATGTGTAAATGCCATGATAATTATTCTTTAAAAGATAGTTATAGGGAAATCCAACCTTGATAGCAAACTAAATATTGACAGCAATCTTACTTTTAAACAACACATTAGTAATATTTGTAAGTCTGCTTCCTTTGGTATATATAAGATCAGTAGAATCAGGAGGCTACTTGACCGACCCACAACTTCAAAATTAGTCCATGCTTTTGTCTCGACCCATATCGATTACTGTAATTCTTCTCTTTCTGGCCTCCCTCAGTCACATCTAGTCCCACTTCAAAGGGTACAGAATAGCGCTGCTCGGCTTGTGACTCTCTCGCGTAAATCAGAGCACATATCTCCAATATTGAACTCACTACATTGGCTTAAAATTCACCACCGCATATCCTTCAAAATTCTTCTCCTGTGCTACAAAGCTATCAATGGCTTAGCCCCCTCTTACCTTTCCGATCTCATATCCTTACGTTCCCGTACGTCGTCACGAACACTTCGTTCATCTTCCACATTACTGTTAACACCTGGACCCCGCACTAACACCCGGTATGGTGACCGCGCCTTTTCAGTTATTGCCCCCGCTCTCTGGAACAAACTGCCCGCCTTTATTCACTGCGCCCCCTCTGTATCTCAATTCAAATCTCTACTCAAAACCTATCTTTTCAAATTGTAAATTACAGTTGTGCGTCGGTCAATGGAGGTGCGCACCATATTTGTCTTTATTTAGTTGATTGCCACTGTTTTTCTTACCTTATCTATGTTACTTTTGTATTTTTGCTTTTTCTTCTAATTTAATTTTACGGGTTATAGTCTTCTCTTAATCAGAACACTGTGCGCTTAGAAACATCAGTATTAAGCGCCTAATAAATGTTATGTATTATTATTATTATTAAACTACTCTAGAGGAAAGCAGAAAAATTATAGAAGTAGATTGGTGGGAGTTTGAACGAGATCGGACAAAAGATGAGAAAGTCATGAATTTGTGAAACTTGTAATCACTATAGGTATGGGCTCTATAAATTAGCTAAATCAATAATGTCTCTGTGATATAGTGGGAAACACTTTTCCCATTAGTTCCAACACACAAATTTCAAGCATTCCTCTCCCTCTGACATACACCGCCATATGTTGGCAGATAATTCTTTTGCACTGTTAGATTTCATGACTTAATAGGCAAGAGTACATCATACATCCCTCCAATCTCCACACAAAGTGGTTTAGCATTGCACCTCGGCATGTCAGTAGGTTGAGTATAGACCTTGCTTCCCTTGTCTCAGTACCATAGTGCCGTCGTGGCACTAATATCCTTTGGCAAAACATTGATCTACATTTGCCACACTCAACCCAGGTGATGTTAATGGGTGCCTGGCAGGAATTAATTCCTTGAAATGCTGGGGAAATAATAAATGCGCCTCGGAATAGAATTTCTAGATAGACAGCGTTTATAGCAATGCCTATTATTATTATTATTTTTATTACCTCCATGTTGTTGATCCCTTGACCGAGCCTTCTTTTCCCACAGCTACCACATGAAGTACATGTTCACCGGAGACGGTGTCAAGGCCGACGCAGAGAAGGTCATCAGGGGGCTGAAGCCACCACTCAGGACCAAGATGAGGTTCATTAGTAAAGGGGTGGAGAGTCTAGCGGTCAGCTCACGTCCAGCACCATACAGCATCAATGCTCTATAGGCCAATTAAGTAGTGCCTCAGAAAAAGAACATCACTGTACAAATTACCTTGTTTAGCAAACTCTTTGTGCCCGTGTCTAGTGCTATAATAATAATAATATTCTGGATTTGATAGCGCTTAATACAAAATGCCATCTCTAAGCGCTCTACATATGTTATTACCTTGGTTATCAGATTTTTTCACATACAATGTGCACCATCTCCACTCTCTGCTGAGTATTCCTACCATAAGGTCACCATGAGGGCATATTACTAGCACAAAGGCTTTTGTCATCCTACCTCGCCCCCATTTCTCACCTGGGTATGGAGTGGCAAATGTAGATTATTGCCTTGCCAAAGGACTTAGTGCCTACATCAATGCTTAGTTAAGGAATAGTCAGCCCCCCCCCCCCCCCAATCAAACAAAAAAACACTCCAAAAGCCAGGCAATGTACAGCTTCAAAGTCTTGGAGTAGTCAGTGTTTGCCCAGTGAAACCTCTCTACAGTATATCTTAAGGAGTATCTTGCTTTAGGTCTAATTGTATCTCTGTAAATACTGAAGCATTCATAGAGTAATTGATTCACATGTACCTGTATGCAAGAGAACCCACCAGCACATGATATTCAGTGTCATTGCCTTGTAGAGCATCTTTTTTGAGCCGAGTGAACCCTCTTGAAGTGACGCGTCAGGTTTTTAAGAGGGCTGACGACCAAGCGGGCCATCAGGGTCAAGATGAGGTTCTTCAGCAAGGGGTCAAGAGTAGAGTCGTCAGCTTTAGTCCCAGTAACATACAAGACATGCATTGAATTAATACATTCCAAGTCTTCATTTTGTAGGAAAACAAATCTTGCATCAGGAGAAAACTGACAATTAATTTTCTTCTTTGTAAATGTAATGTAATACATAGAGTGTTTTCAGTTGAATCACTGTACCCTATGCACAGATTTGTCTAATGTTTGACGGTTAGTGGTGGACCAGTGTTGGTCAACAGTAACACAACCAGAAAGGCTACAGAAGGTTCATGCCCCCTCTATTTTAGAGCAACTTTCATAGTTTGAATGTACATATACTTGTACAGTGAAACCTGTATGTAAAGACCACTTAAGGGAGATAAGAAAAGTGGTCTTTATGAGCAGTGGTCTTTTTGTACAGGTTCTCTTAGTACATGTTTTAATGAGAAACAATTTGTCAAGGAAAACAAAAAGTGTGGTCTTTATAGACAGGTGGTCACTAAATCAGGTTTCACTTTATAAGGTTCAAGTAGACCCCCTCTAATTTTGGCCAAGGCTTGTAGCATCCAAATTAAATGTGTGGGGGGGGGGGAGGGGGTAACTACTGTATCTGGTTTGTTGGAATCCGGTGGAAAAAGTTTGCCCTTGCTTTTTCTTTAACTAAACTTTAACAGTTTGATTTTGAACGAAAAGATGATTAAAAAGAAAAAAGATAGGTCTAATTCTCATATACCGGTACAATAAATAACAACGTCAGCAATCAAAATATAAGAACTTTCATCTGTTCATTTTCTTGAAGCCCCTACTGCGCATGATGAGATCGGCAATTGCATAACCTCCCCTCACTAACCCGTACAATGTACTTCAGTCTCTGTATAGAGGCGGTCAGTAGAGCCAGACGCAGTGTCAGCGGACTACCGTCTATATCAGAGACTAAACTTTCGGTCTACTTCTTGTTATACGCAGTAAAGTATGGGACACAAAATCACCAAATACCTTGGACTTCCAGAAGTAACACATTAACCGTACATGTGCATTCAATGCATTGTATTAGAGGTTTATTCTGTCTCAGTGACACAGGGATATTCCGTTTGATTTTATTTATTTGTTAATGTCAGTTTTCTGACAGCAGAAAATGTTGCATGTTTTGTAGTGTACATATTAGTAGCAGAACGGTGCTAAATATTGAATGTAAAATTGATCATGTTCTCACCATATGCATCGTATGTTTGGAGCCAGAAGGGCATTAACTCATACAGTACAACACAGAGTTAATGTCCTTGCTCAAAACAGACAGCACGTACTTTGCAGGAAATTTTGAATTTGTGTCAAATATGTGCTTGCTTGTAAACGATTTGTAAATAAATGTCCTTGCTGACTTAATTTCCTATGTGCAACTTGAATTTTGTAGGTCTATTCTAATCATCAGTGTTTAGCCACCCCACCCATATTATCATGGTGCAGAATGCAAATGAGAGAGAAAGAGAGAGAGAGAGAGAGAGAGAGAGAGAGAGAAAGACAGAAATAAGGGAAGAAAGTATCAGAAAAAAAGAGGTGAAGGAGAATACGGGTATTTTATAACTTACGTGATTTTGTATGTGTGAACGAGAATGGGGGGGGGGGGGGGGGGGTCATAGTCTATCTGCATCTATTCTCAAATGTTTTTAACTTGCCCTATTTGTTATAAAATCACTCATTCTTTCCTTCTCTCTTTCTCTTTATCAAACAAAAAGTGAGGGGGAGGGGGGGTGTTTGAGCCCGCCGTTCTGCAGGCCCTGACATGAAGGCTTCTAAATAAGCACATTTTTTGCCTGAACGTAAATTTGGGAATTTTTTATTTTTCAACAAGCGCATTCAAAAGTATAATTTACAAAAAAAAATCCCAGAAAATCATGTTATTTCAGTAACATTTGTAAATCACTGGTATCGAATTACAAATAAACCATGTTTGAATTTTATTTAGGGGGCACTTGCCCCCCCCCCCCCCCCCCCCCACATCAGTACGCCAGTGTTCAGGGGCTCATATCTTCTCACCCCTATAAAAAATCACACATGCTTTCCCATCCTTTCACAATATTTCCATGATATGCGCGTATCGCTATTATAAAATCCTCCATTTATAATAAAGAGGCATGCGGAATGTTGAGGAAATTTAATTCCTTTTTACTCTCCTTTTCTTTGAATGGAATACAATTTTTATGGATTCAATTCAGGTTGTATTATTTTCCTTTTGGTTATCAAATACAAACCATTTGTACACCTTTACTGCTGATTTTTTATTTATTTTTCGTTGATGGGGGGGGTGGCGACCGACCCCCTGCCCCCCCCCCCCTCCTCCCCACTTCCGTCGCCTATGAGCCTGACACAACGGCAGCAAAACAGAGAAAGAAAGGAAAAGGCGTTAATATGTACTGTGATTTGAGGTTGCGTGTACAGATACTGTAATCGTGAGATCACGTGGTTTCCACTGACCAGACGTATACGTCATCAAAACGTTCGACCAATGGCTGGGTCTTAAAAGTAACAAGGCGATATGTTGCTAGTGATGTCACTATAATGCTTATACATTATATTTTAGAGTTATTTAATAGCAAGGGATTTTCTTCATAACTCGAATAGTGACAGTAGGCATATCTATTCAGAAGAGGCACAGTTGTCATTTTTAATTCGTTGTCAACGGTCACGGTTTTGTAACAGATTTTCAACTGCTTCCAAGAGCGAATTCGAAAATGGACTCTTTTCGCAGATCTTTAGTGTTAACAGTTTTGGTAACATGCACTGGCATCGGTGAGTATAAACTCTATACAAATCTGGGAAGTCACTGAGGCAAAGCATAGTCATGCATAATGGATCTTTATCTAATTATTCAGATAATTTGTCCAATATGATTATTTCATTTAATAAATGAATTAGGCCTCTGATAAATAACAAAAACAAATTTAAAAATGATTGTCTAGAAATTGTATCATCTTTGTGACAGTAACGTTAATAGTTTATTAGCCTTCATTAAAAAATATATATCATTGAAACCTATACAATGTATTCCAATTTTTTTTTTAATGCTACAGTGAAGCTTGAATTTAAAATCTACATATCTATTCGCTGTTTTTCGTACCCGATATAACATACGGGAGCCTTCTTTACATTACATCTACATCACAGAACAAAAGAGAGGTGGATTAATTCTTTTCACTCTTTTTTTCTTCTTCTTTTTATTTTTTTAAATAAAATATTGATGTTATCGGATTCTTTAAAACTCGTATAAGACATAATTACTTCTTCCCCTATTTCACAAAATTTTAGGCTATATAATTTTCCAATACGTATATTATTAGATGATTCTTTTACTTTTTTACATGCTCATTATCATCCACACTATTAATAATAACTGTCGTTCGGAGGTTGACGAAGGGAGGGTGAGAGAAAGAGGGAGAGGGGCGCTGAGAGAGAAAAGGACAGAGAAATATGAAAGGACAGAGAAATATCAATAAATACCAAATAATATATGCCTTCGGTTTTTAAACGATCAATCACAGTGTCACTGTTTCCACTTACATCGCATACCATTGCACTTGACATGGCATATAGAGAAAAGTATGATTGATTAGTGGGACAATCATGAACACATCCTTGGGATAAGATGCACACTTTCATTTCAAGTGAAAATGTATCGATATTCCGACTCACAGAGATGCGGGCGTCTGTTAAGAAGTAACGGTGTTCGATGCGGTATATATCTCTCTCTCTCTCTCTCTCCCTCCCTCCCTCCCATTCCTCTCCCTTCCATTCCTCTCCCTCCCTCCCTCTCTCTCCCTCTCTCTCTCCTCTCTCTCTCTCTCTCTCTCTCTCTCTCTCTCTCTCTCTCTCTCTCTCTCTCTCTCCATCTCTCTCTCTCTCTCTCCCTCTCTCTCCTCTCTTTCTCTCTCTCTCTCTCTCTCTCTCTCTCTCCCTCTTTCTTTTTCGTGACCTAATAATTATGTGTGGATTGCATTATAAACTATATGCGCTAGCTTAAAAACAAGCAGGCTATCAAAAATGTCGCCCATCAAGCCCATTAACATCAACCTCTCCCTCTCAAAAGAAAAAAAGAAAGAAACTTTTAATGTGCCCCCCCCCCCCCCTCGGAATCGGTCAAGATTACCTCCTCCTCCCACCCCCACCCCACCCCCGCTCCCCGAGACCTACGGCAGACCTCTGCCCCATCCCGTCCTTTCGGATTATCTGCCCTATATAGATCCGTCCTCTTAAATCATCGTCATCTTCATCATCTTGCAGCATGGTGCCAAGAAACGACCACACCCTACTGCTACGATGGGGTCGGCTCTAACACCTTCTCAGTCACCTTAGGCACCTGTCATCAACGCTCCCCCAGACCTACGGCAGACATCTGTTCCAGCTTCACCCTCATCTCGGCCGAGACTCGGGGAAAGGGCGGGGTCGATGTGACTAACTTATTGAACCCCCCTTTCAACTCGAGTCGTGATACCAAGATTCTGATACCGGGGTTTACTAATGAGGTGCTGGATGAGAAATGGGATCAACTCAAGGAAGTCTTACTCGATGAGGTACACTCACTTTAAATTAAAGAGATTCCACGTGATCATGATAGGTTTATAGTAAGGGGGAAGGCGAAAAAGGGGCCATAATTTCACCAAATATCCTTCTACATCTACTTTATAATTTGCCGATCTAGCGAAGGGAGCGAGCTGAATTTGATACTTTATTATAGTCACAAAATATTTCTGTAGTATAAATATAACAAGTAAGGTATAACCCAATAGACCAATATCTCAGCCAAAAGGAGGCGGTATAGCTGCCTGAATCATGTTAAAAAAAGGAGCGGTCGCCCGTATACTTGCAACATTGAACTTCTCGGAGGCTGCCTCTCCCGCCTCTTTCGCCAATCCACTTCCCCAACTTATGCGATTTGCACCAACTTGTGTATGCAATTTCTAATATGCCCTGGTGTGAATCAGTTTGTATGTAGATATTTATCTTAAAGTCTAATTTAATGTTGATGAATATGGCATTATGATTAAAAAAGAGCATAACTATTTCAACCATTTGAAAAATGGTCGGATTAATATATATGTATAATTGTCTGCAAACTATCAATATCTTAAAGCCCCACTGCACAACTTATAGCTACTTGCTCCCTCTATATAGCGAATAATGCCTAATCGGTGCCTGTTGGTCCCTCAAGATCCTCTTTTTCTTATGTTAATTGAGAGCTGATTTGATGAGATAATCACGTGTCAGTGAACTTGCAGGGAGGTCTAATCCCCTGGCCAAACTAGTGCAGACGGCCTTTAAATGGTGAATATAATCCTTATCATGAAACAGGGAAACAACGTGATCATGGTGAACTGGAGTCAAGCAGCCAATCTGACAAACTACGCCCAAGCTCGTGCAGATGCACGCGTGGTTGGTTTCCAGGTCGCCAAGGTCATGGCCGATATCGTCGAAAACACCGAAGCTACCTACGATCAGATGCACCTCATCGGGAGCGGTATGGGGGCCCATGTAGCGGGCTATGCTGGCAGTACGGGAGAAAAGGTAGCTAGGATTACAGGTAATATATAGCGCGTTTGTTTCTTGATTCATCATTTTCTCGTTCCGAATACCCAGGCGCGTAGCCACGGGGGGCACGGGGGGGCACGTGCCCCCCCTAAAATTTCCAGGATCGGTTGAAATTTTGTAGACCCCTTTTTTGACCTCGATCGATTACATGTATGTGCCCCCCCAAACATCAAACTCTGGCTACGCGCCTGCGAATACCCAACCAAAGTATTGTGAACGCTGAAAATCGAAATAACCAATAAGAATCATAAATAAATATTGGGCTGGGAAAAAGTGTTTGGTTGATTATTGTGGGACTGTTTGACAGAATTCGTTCATAAAGTACTCTCAAAACAAACAAAGAAAACAAAAACAGAAAATACAGAATATGCATTTTCTCCTTATCTCCTTAAAAGCTCTAAGCAAGGACAATTATTATTTACCTAAATTTTCCAAATCGTCTGTTGATAGAGTTAATTTAAGTTGTACAGCACCGAGTGAACGCCCTCTATATTTTGTTTAGCATTTTAAGTTAGATACATATATGTATATATCAAAATTAAAAAAGAACAATTCAATTACTTTTTAAAAACAAGAATGCCCGAGAAAGGCCTTTCATCAACGCGTAAAAAGTGAAAAAGGCCTAATTACAGTTGTTGATGTAGTTGTCGTTGTTATTTTTCACTTATAATTTTCTTTTTTTTTCTCTCTGGACTGTAGGTCTGGATCCAGCTGGGGGCGAGACCGTGACCTTCGGCCTCACTGAGGGTTCATCCCGTGGTCAGCAATGTCGCCTGGACATCTCCGATGCCGAATTCGTGGACGTCATTCACACCAACGCGCACGGCGGGCTCGACGGAGGCTACATCGGACTGCAGAACGAGGTAGTCAATGACCAGGAAATTGACTTGTTATAATAAACAATGGCGGCTTCACCTAAGCACATTGAGAAAGCATCCTTTAAAAAGTCATGCATTTATTTTTAGAATAAATATTTACAGATGAAAGCAAGATCGTATCCGGCAACAGTTATACAGATTATATGCTAATGACAACTCTAAACAAATAAAAACGATTCACAAATCTTCTTTACTTTCTGCCTTTATTCACAGCAATTTGCTATTAAAGTTGGATTTCTCTTTGTCTGTTAATAATAATAATAATAATAATAATAACGTTTTATTTACCCAGGGTAGCCACTTCAGTTATGAAACTGCCCTTCCAGCGGGCCCTGCATAACATAATATGTTATTACTACCCTTCTCCAATCTAATATGCTGAGCGCCTAGCTAGAAGGCAGAAGGTCCTATTGTTATAAGTCTTTGGTATGACTCGGCCGGGGTTCGAACCCACGACCTCCTGTTCATGAGGCGGGCGCTCTAACCACTGAGCCACCATGCCCGCTATTTTTCGGGGGGAGGGATATCAGGTAAACCTGTCCAGTTAATAGAATAAGGAAAGTGAAGTTGAATATCATAATTTGTATGAGTGGTAATTACCCCCACCACCCCCCCCCCCCCCCACCCTTTGAAACAACACGAAACAAAACTTCTTTTTTTTTTTATTGCATAAAACATCACCCCCCCCCCCCCCGGAAAAAATAGCAACAACAACATTACTATGGTAAAAGGCATGGATGAAATGTGAAAAAAAGGTAATTACAATACAATCTTTTTCATGGCATTAGTAAAGTACGCCTCCTGTGGCTCATCGAGGAGAGCTAGGATGGGGGCACTGCGGAGACACCCGCATTGTGCCCCGTGACATGAAAAGGCATAAGGTATAATCATTATTTTAAAAAATTACAATTTTCATTATTTTTCTAAAGCTGGGCCACCAGGATTTCTACGTTAACGACGGCATCAACCAGCTTGGATGCGAGGAAGGTGACGAGTTCTGCAACCACGCCCGAGCTCTGGACTACTTCACCGAGAGCGTACCGGTGGACAACTACGGGAGCTTCCCGTGCCAATCCAAAGCTTCCACCCGTGCGGGGCTGGAGGACGGGGTCCAGTGCAGCCCCGACGACCCATGCCCAGAGATGGGGTACAGGGCAGAGAAGATCAAGGGGGATGGGTACGCCTACCGGGTGGAGACCAACGCAGAGCCCCCATACAGCATCAACCACTATACCACCCCAACCACCACCTCTGCTCCCCAGTAATAAGATTAGGCACATGTTAAAAAAGAAGAAGAAGAAGGAAATTGAAAAACACAGAGGGATGGGGGATAATCATTATCATTGTAAAATGTTTCACGCAGATTCATCATACAAATGACCGGGCACATAATATTTGGTGTAATGGATAGGGCACTTGCCTTACTAAAATGTTAAATTTAACGCTATATGTTGCTATTATAGGTTGGGGGAAGGTGAGGGAAGGGGGCCCTAGAATCGCATTTTTGTTCAGGTTTCCTCCCCCCCCCCTTTTGCCCTTATAACCGTGCCCCGCCCCCGTAGCTAAGCTATTAATGATCGATGATAGTGGTACTGATTGAAGGAAATATAAATTAATCTTGTTTCACATCCCTTAAACAAGGTGAAAAGGCATTAAAGTCTTTAATGGGGGATATCTTGTATTGTCATCCCATTTTGAATTAAAGATCTTGATGTTCGTTTCGAAGTATAAGTTTGACACAATTATACAAGTATTTCAGAATGAACCTGTTTATGTAATTTTAATTAATTTCTGAAATATAATTCAAGGAAGGCATAAAATGAACGAATGTATTTGTACATTACGTAACAAACATTTCTTAACACTTACTAATATAATACTTTTGCTTTTTTCGTTGAACTTCTCTTAATACTACCGGTAAACGAACCTAACATAAATGATTAGAGGAGTAAAATATTAGCAGAAACTAATAAATAAATAAATTTTGGATAATGATGACATCTTCCTTCGAAAGTATTCCCTTTCGACATTTAGTTTCGTTATCGAAAGTTGCAAATAAATTTAAGACACGGGCGTCATCTCTATTTTAATGAGATTCATATCTTGATTTTTTTTTATTGTGAATTTAAGCTACAAAGAGATTTTAGGTGTTTTCCCCTCTGTATTATCATGCTAAAAACTATTTTTCTTAAGTGAGACACAGTTGCATGATATGCTTTATAATTTTGCTTTAATTATTTCAAAGTGCTTCTTAAATGCAAATTGTGAAATATACATGGAACTAATAAAACATAAAGATATATAGAGAACACAATTGCATTGTATTTTATTTGAAAGTAGTGAGAAATACATTTTTATAAGTTCGTGGTTTCACCGTGTGGGTAGCTCTGAAGAGGACTGTTCTGTTTGAAAGGGGATATAAAAGAAAAGAGAGTGTGAGAGAAAGAGGTATTCTTAATTACTTGGTATTGTATAGATAGCGGCAGATAAATTAAGAGATTCCTTAGAAAGATTGGTGAATCAGATTATGCATTTGGAGATTGAGAGGGAGGCTCGACGTTCCGAACAGATGTAATAATGATAATAATACTAATAAAAACTGTGCTTATAAAGCGCTTTCCACCAAAGTCTTTAAGCGCTTTAACTAACAAAATACAATGATAAACAATTACATATTAAACAAAACAACAAAAATACAAATAAACCTACAAATTACAATACATATAATATACATCAATGTGAACAGAGTAATTTAATCATCACAAGCAAGAGAGAGAGAGAGAGAGAGAGAGAGAGAGAGAGAAAGAATGTACCGTTCGTCATCGGGAATGTGAGAAATGATGTAAAGAAATTATGTTTAGAGGAACATGGCTACAATGAAAGTGGAGAGTTTGAAAGAAGGAAAGTGAAAGAGTGAAATAAATGACATCATGGTAAAGAGGGTAGCCGTACAGCATATGAGGCAAACAGGTAACATTTGAGAGGGAGAGATGAATAGACATAGAGAGAGAGAGAGAGAGAGGGGGAGGGAGAGAGAGAGAGAGGGAGAGAGAGAGAGAGAGAGAGAGAGAGAGAGAGAGGGATAGGTAAACAGACAGAGAGGTGGGGATGAGGCTGGTGTTGGACAATAGGTGGGAAAGGGATGAAATTATGGAGATGTAAATGGAAATTCAAAGAATAATGAACAAGAGGACGACGAGGTGAATACAACTAAAATCTAAAGATCAAGAAAAATAGTAAGGGAATGAAATTTTTTTTACCTATATATAACATAGTGTTCAAAAATTATTCGTACCAAATTTTAAAATGCTTTGTCGAAAGACACACCCAACAACTCTCTTTTGACGATTCTAAAAGAGAAAAATGACTTTTGCTTTTCTATATTTTTTGTTATAATTCCTGGCTCTAGCCTTAAATAAATCTTGGACGCGAAATATTCCGATAATTGTTATTCAAATTAATATCTTGATGTCCCCTAGACTTGTGCTTGGTATTTGGTCATAGCACTACAATCATAAGTAAGAAGAAACGAAGAAGAGGAAGAAGACAAAGAAAACAAACAAAACAACAACAACAATAATAATAATACTAATTATACTGATAATAATAATATTAAGAATAATTATAATACTAACAGTAATAATGATGATAATAATAATAAGAAGAAGATTTTTTTTTTTTTTAATAGATTTGCTGACGGCCTATAGAAATGTTGTATGAGCGCGGGTGTGTGTGCAGTGGCGCAATGAGCAAAACCTTTTTGGGAGCAGAACAAAATTCGCATCACAAAAAAGTGAGAAAAAAAACCCCGGAAAATCATGTCATACCATAGACTTTACCGCTAGATCTGAACAGCTCACATTTCTCTTGGTTTCCTATTTTTAAATAGGGGTTGTTCCACTCCAACCCCCCTCCCCCCGCCACCCTCCTTTTTCCTCCATAATGTTTCGGGCCTTTTATTTATGACAAAAATTTGATACCTTTTTGAACACATACAAGATTATAAATGAGCATCGTCGAGAGACATGCCATACTACCAGCAAACAAATATGATTGATCGCAATTGAGATTTGTCCAAGTATGGAAAGGTTTTGATATCAACAAGGCTATATGATTTCAGTGAGCCTGTAGGCGAGAGCTAAGTAACATAACCCCAATTTTATACGTCTATTTTTAGATGTACATTCCTTATGTACGATACGACTGTCATATTATATTTAAAGAGGTTTTATTCTTAAGTATTGGTCATCCTGACACATCAAAGTATTTCTTTCTTCTTCTTCTTTTTTCAAAACGTGTTTCATTGATTGTGTGTTTGTTTGTTTTTGTCTTGTTTTTTTTCTCATCAAACTCAAAGAATGGCTTCCAAATTTCCGTCTGATATCAACGTTCTGCTTTCTCAAAACGCAATCACAACTAAACAGAATGGTAAAGAAGCCCTTCATTTTATATAAATGTTATCTTGTTCACTTGTTGGGCATTTTCGCATATAAGCCTTTGGTACATAATGAGCAATTTGAACAAAATGACATTTGGTTAGAAAAATCAAGAACTATATATCCTAATGTGTTTTCAGCTAATAATTGAATCTCCCTGTAGACAAGTGTATTCCGCTTGTTACATTGATTCTGGTCAGTTTTTCAATTGCTGAAAAAAATGCTGCATGGATAGATTGTAATACATTGTATCAAACACAAGATCGTACTAATTCTTAGTTATAGACAGAAGCAATGTGTTCCATTGAAAATTGAATGCTAGGGGTGGAACCGGGATTTCGTGAAGAGGGACGCTATTCTCATGAAAGAAAATGCACCACAGATAAGTTTGAAATTCCGCCCCTAAAATGTGTACGAAAACATGCTCCTTAAATGTTCACCATAATATTGCAGCTTCTTTGGGGAAGAATTACTTTTGGCAATGAACCGTGCAGCGGGATTTTGTATTCTCTGTAATGTATTGATTCGTGAGTCAGCCATATTAACAAAATAATCAATACTACACGATAAAACCGGTACCTGAATACATGTATATTTATAGGACTAACTGAACAAACGACGCATTAGCCCGTCTATTTCAAACTACTGTATGCTTTGATCCACTTCCCTGTCTTTTTACAGAGTTACCTGTGCAGCAAAAATTCTATGCAAACTGCTGGTATAGTGAACAATGAAGACGAACAGAGAAAGCATTACACTTTCCACCTCACTGCACTGTTCTAAGCACAGTGAAAGTGATGGGGCTACCGTCAAAAGGGGATTATTCTATAACCCTTTGCTACATTTACTGCGGTATATTTGGAACAAACGTGATGAATTCTAAGTCTGTCAAAGTAGTTCGCAGTATAATTTTATAACACATTGTATTACAACATTATGCTACGGTGTATTTAGTAGAAGGCAGATTTGTATAGTTTCCTAGTGAGGAATTTGAATGCGAGCAAAATATTGAACTCGACGACGTGATGAATTATAGCGAAGATGGGTCTGCGAACTGTCTTCCGACTTTATATCACATGGACGATTTCGACATCGTTATGGACGTCGGGTACGTATTATTCATTTTGGTTACATTAAATGTCCATTTTGCCGAAGGTTCTTATAATTCCCAAGGTTCGTTATTCCTAAGGTTCATAATTCCGAAAGTGGAATAGGGTTCATAATTTCGAAGCTACATGATTCCGAATATTATAGAACCCTGTATAGTTTTTCAACATATTACGAACCTTCTGCTAAATTAACCTCAGTTCCTTTTTTTTGTTCTTCAGAATTACGAGCCTTTGGAGTAATAAACCCTATTTCATTATTGTAATTAAAGAAAAGGTTGAGTTTTGGGCAGAGGTGAACAATAATAATGTGAGCATCTTAATTGTTATCATTCAAGTTTTAAAAAAACATCAGAAAAAAATTGTTCCCTGAAAAGCATGTCTCTTCAAATGCCTTCATATTCTAAATATGACAAGTAACAAGTTAACATTGTCAATGAGGCCCGATTTGCATGCCACACGTTTGTGTAGTCCCATATACATCTTTCTGTGTACAGTGCTTGTTACTTTTACCTAGACTTGGCCAAATTTCTTATCATTTTGATGATTCCAGAACTTTACAGTACACACCATTACTTATATGCTAGATGATCAACCTTTCTGATCGATTCCACACCGTTTCTTTCACTATTGCCCATATACTTGGAATAATTTGTTCTTATATTATTTAATGCAGTGAATATAACGATGTGATGTATTCTTGATAGCTAAAATGTATATCTCAAAACTGTATTGATCAATTATGAGAACATAAATACTTTTTCCTTTTTTTATTTTTATCAATGAGACTGAAAAGATTTGTTGTGATATTCAGTTCTTTGAGTGGGAAATAATATCGCTTATAGAGCAAATTTTTAATTTTCCTTGCTTTTCTCTTTCATAGTTGAAGATTACTTCGAGGAGAAAGTTTGCTACGATGACCTAGGCTGTTTCCCCACGACTTTTCTCAGTTGGCATCATCGGCAACCGTCCACACCCATTGAGATCAACACAACATTTACTCTCTTCACTCCCGAAACACGAGAGACTCCAGGGGAGAGTCTAGCGATTGATATGAGCCCACAAGGATGGAGAAATTGTTCCTTTGATCCTGAAAGAGACACGAAAATTGTTATCCATGGGTTCCAGGACAGTAGATTGCTTCGATATTCGCTCGAGATGCAGAACATCCTTCTTGATATGGTAAATCAGGGTGGTCCAAGATTGTCTGATGACGAGGGGGGGGAGGGGGGGGGGGGTAGGGCTACGACACTTGCTCATGTGAAAGTTGTGCTCCGTGAAAATGGACCATTTTCGTAATAGTAATGCATACGTCTTTGTGAAGTGCCTCAATTAAAGAAGTCATTCCCTTGTAATGAATAATTGTATTTCAATAGTCAGAATGCAGAATATATAACGCGGTAGTGCGTAGGGCAAGCCATAATATTTGTCCTATCTGGCAAAAACCAATGTATGTAGTTTACATTCTTACTATTGAAATACAATTATTCGTAACAGTTGATGACATAATTCGAACAGAGGCATATGAAAATGGTATATTTCCTAAAGTCTCAGTCACAAATGCCATTACGAACTGCTACGAACGCCGTACGAACGATTTTCAGACAATGGAAATTCGGGAAGACAATGGAAAAACAGGGAGATTCGTACGAACCTTTGTGACTGTAGCATTAAGCCTCGGTCACAAATGCCTTTACGAACTGCTACGAACGCCGTACGAACGATTTTCAGACAATGGAAATTCGAGAAGACAATGGAAAAACAGGGAGATTCGTACGAAATAATCGTTCGTACGAACCTTTGTGATCGTAGCTTTACCTAACCGAATCTATAACGTTATCCGTCGAACCAACACTACATATAGCCCAAACCCTTACCCTACTCCTAACATAAAACCAAATTGCAACCCTAAACCGAACCCTAATACATGTACTTTTGAGTCGGCTTTTGACGAAAATATACCCCAGGAAAACTGTCGCAGGGGCAAATGTATGGTCACCGACCGGGCTGATGAATTTGGGGAGGGGGGGGGGGGGGGGGGAGTGATCATCCGATAGTGGTGATTAAGGCCACGGTTGAAATCGATATTTTGGTATACGGCGCCGTCATATAATATTTTTTCTGCAAAGTTACATGGCTGATAATACAAATAACAAATCCTTATTATTCTAACATTAATTCAATTTTTAAAAATTATTTAAAAAATTAAATTCATCAATCCGTTTCGTTTTAGGGAACTTGTATCAAGATGATTATTCCAAGATAAGAAGAAGGAAAGAAAAAAGAAGCAAAAAGTGAGCACATTGTCGTCACCGTGACTACATCATTTTTTTCTTTTCTTCTGTTGTCATTGTCGTAACGTTGTTCATACGATGTTGTCCCTTGTAAGAAGAAGAAGAAAAAAAGTGAGCACATTGTCGATACCGTCACAGGCGTCATCACTACCCCATTTTATTTCGGTGTTATTGTCGTTGTTCATACGATTTGTTTCCCTTGTCTTCCAGAACGTCAATGTTATCATGGTTGACTGGAGCAAGGCGGCAGAAAACCTAGACTATGACCAAGCACGGGCTGATACACGCGTGGTCGGCGTCCAAGTCGCACGGCTGATCGAACGGCTTACCAATGAGACTGGAGTAACTCTCGACAGCGTGCATATGATCGGACATAGCCTGGGCGCCCACACGGCCGGGTACGCTGGCGAGGCTCTGGCTGGCAGGGTGGGAAGGATCACAGGTAAATGAAATTTATTTGAATTCCTGCCGGGGAAAAAAAGAAGAAACGAAACCAAAAAAGTGTCACTCATAATGTAAGCACAGAGAGAGGCTAGTATATAGGCTAAGGGTTAATAATGATAATAATATTAATAATAATGATAATTAAACACTTTTTATTAAGCGTAATAGGCAAAATTGCATGTTTCTATCACTCTATGCACTTTAAGAAAGACAAAAAAGATAGAAAAAAGAAAAGAAGGAACAATGCACTGGGTTTATGATTTTGATTATTTATGAAGTGGTGAAGAGATATGTCTTCAGAGAATTTCAGTTGTTCAGGCAACTTGTTCCACAAAAAAGAAGCTGCATATGAAAAAGACCTTTCCCTGTATGACTTTGTCATGGTTTGTGGAGCACAAAGCAGAGACTTGGAACTGGAACGTAGCATTCTATCTGGTTGATGTGGAGTTAGCAATTCAGTAAGATAAAAAGGAGCTAGTTGATGTAAACATGGGTAGGTTAACTTTAAACTGGACAACGGAGTTATTGATTCATGTTTCTTTGTGCGTGTAACAAATCGCGCTGTATAATTTTGACGTCGTTGTAGTTTTTTTTATCTGCATTTTTTTAATTTGTGTGCATGTATATATATATATATATATTTATAGGTCATAATATATACATATACCTGGCTACCTGGCTGCCGCCATCAGTTGCTGGCGATTGGTGACCACATTTGCACATCTTCTTGTTGTCTTTCTCCATTTGTTTCTATCCTGTGCTAATCTTTTGGCTTCTGAGTATGTGAGACCTGTCCATTCTTTGATGTTATCAAACCACTGCTTTCTCTGTCTGCCTCTCTTTCTTTTTCCTCCTACTTGGCTTTATATTATTTGTGCTGTTAAGGGGCTCCCACTGCCACGCACATCTCTTTCTGTGTTTAATTCTTGTAGGACACTGAGGTTGGTTCTTTTTTACTTTTAGCTGATTTTTAGCATTTTCCTCCAGAACCACATTTCTGCTGCCATGATGCGATTTTCATCAGCTTTCAGCAGTGTCCAGCTTTCAGCACCATAAAGTAAAGCACTCCAAACCAGGGTTTTGACCAGTTTTATTTTCAGGCCGGTTGAGATGTTCCTGTCATTCCAAAGTACATGCAGGTCAACCATTCTCTTCTTCGCTATAGCTATTCTGATCTTTATATCATTGGTACAGCTGGCATCGCTGTTCTTTGTAGATCCAAGATATTTGAAGCTTTCCACATCTTTGACTGTTTCCCCGTCGATCTGGATGCTGCGATCGATATCTGAGGTTTTACTAGCAACTAGGAGTTTGGTCTTTTTAACATTTAGATGTAGGTTTAGTTTCTTGCCGGCATCGTTTACTGCATGTGTGAGACTTTCAATTCCATCTTTGGAAGATTCGATAAGTGCTGTGTCGTCAGCATATCTGAGATTTGAGATGTTTTTGCCACCAAATTTAATGCCATAGTGCGCAACATCTGCTTCCCTCATCCAACTTTCTGTGTATGTAACGAAGAGGTATGGTGATAAGATGCAGCCCTGTCTTGCACCTTTTCCTATCTCAAACTCTTCAGTATGTTCACCATCCCAACGGATTCTATAGCTCTTTGGTTTACATAGAGAGATTGGATTAAAGTGACGAGGTGTTTTGGGAAACCCATATCTAAGAAGATGGAGAAAAGTTTGCTGTGGCTTACAGAATCAAACGCTTTTGAATAGTCTATGAACATAATAAAAGCTTGTTGATCCATGGCAATCACCTTCTCAAGTAAAAATTGCAAACATACTAGCATGTCCCTGGTCCCTCTGCTTTTTCTGTAGGCAGCCTGGTCTTCTGTTTGCTCTTGTTCTAACTTTTGTTTCATTCTGTTAATAATTATCACGAGTAAGATTTTGCTGGTATGACTGATAAGGGCAATAGTCCTGTAGTTTGAGCACAGTTATAAACATATTTCGATAAGCCTTATAGTTCATTTTTGTTTACATATTTTCTTTGAAATATCAATAGGTTTAGACCCAGCTGGTCCTGAATTTAGATTTTCTCTGACTGGTGCCGAGTGCAGACTTGACCGAACAGACGCCATGTTTGTTGACGTCATACACACTGATGGGGAGATTATCATCGCAGGGGGCTTCGGTTTGATGGACGAGGTACAGATCGAGAGAGAACATTTCCAAACACATTTCCACGAACATAAGCAACAAAAGAATAAACAAAGATTTAATAATCAACCTAAGGCAATCTCATAATTATATTGCACAATGCAAAAATGATAATAACATAGGTCTAATTACATAATCAGAACTTTTATAAGCAATAAGGTAGGGCACTGAAATTTGCTTTAGTTGATTGCTTGAAAGACTTTGCGATCATATTCAATATCAAATTTCTAGATTATTTCATTAGATTTTTACCTTTTTCAACTAATTACTAGGCTCTCTTGATTATCCTCTTTTCACAAGGTTTTTAACCATACAGAGAAGAAAAATAAAAAGGGTTAATTATCGCAAAAAATAATTAGGCCTACGGTTTAACGTGACAAACTATTATTATTATGACTGGATGGATCTCATTCATACAAGTATTCTTTTCATTTCAAGGAGAAGCAACAAATTCATTGTTATTTGCTTGTGTACTCTGACATTACTCATTAATTCGTTTTAATTATAATTATAATTTCTTCGCCTGCTGAGAACCAGGAGGGCGCCCTTTAACACTTGGTTTAATACAAAGCCCCCCTGGCTCTACAGGTGATATTTGACCCATCAATGATTAAATACAAAACTGTTTTCTCTCTCATCATCTCAGCTCGGCCATCAGGATTTCTACCCAAATGGTGGCTATTCTCAACCGGGTTGCGTCATAGATCCTGTTTGCGATCACATGCGTTCCTTAGATCTCTTCTTCGAATCAGTCTCAAACTCCCCCACTACAAAATTCGCCTCAATGAGAAAGGCGACCGATTGGGAGCGCATGAAAGAAGGCGACTTCTTGCAGTGCAACCATACAGTGCCGTGTCCCAATATGGGGTACTGGGCTGATAAGAGCAAAGGAGAAGGCGTTTATTATCTTGAAACGAAGGAGGACTCGCCGTACAGTCTTAGCTAGGCCTGGCTTATGGTCCTTTTTTTTTCTTCTTGAGTAGCCTACATATGGGAGTGAAAGCTCTTGCGAAAATTTGTCACTGGTGCAAAAACAACAATGATTACTGACACCACTTTCGATTATACAACGGAATTTGCATTTAAATATGATGGTATATAAATCCCTGAACAATTTGTCTCCTCCTTATTTAGAGGAGTCCTCCAAATACAGTAATTAGGCTATCCTACCTGGTAATTATCCATATTCTCTACGATGACAAGGAATATTAAACTTCCCAAACCAAAGAGTGAATGCTGCCGAAAAATATTTGTTGTATAAAGCCTCACGTGAGAACAATGACCTACCGTTAGCTATTAAGCTATCCATCAGCTTAAATACTTTTTGCAAAATTCTAAATTTAAATAATTAGTTTTGCTCTGATCTGGGACCTGTCTTACAACGAGTTGATATCAATCGCAACTATGTACATAGGAGATGGGAGACTTCAAACTAGCGATCGAGAGGAGGGCTTACGATTGATTTGGATCAATCTCAACTCTTTGTAAATCAGGGCCCTGTAATGAAATATGCTTGGGATGGGGGTGTTAATGCTTCTCTAATATGTTTTAGGTTTTTGTATGTATTTAACTTATATTATTTTAAGTTGTATTGTTATTCTCTTCGTTGTAAAATTAATTATCTTAATTTCTTGGACCCCAGGGAAGAACAGGTTTGTTATATTAACAAAGCTGAATGGGTTATCCAGCCATTCACTATACCATTTATTTTACTATGTGCATACTTTTTATTTGTATTGTTTTTTAATATTGTGATATGGAAAATAACTTCCAATACCAATACCAATGTTGCGAATCATAATTATGCTTGTAAATTTAATTAAAAAGATACTTTGGAGCACATCTTTAGTCTGTATAGCCTACATTTTTTCTCCAATGAATCAAATATAATGTAGGCTGAAATTATATTATTTGATCTACGGGATGTGATAATCCAGGTCATGTCAGCTTTGCTGCCCTCGCTTTCTTTAACATACTTTCATTTGCTTTGGATCTGTGGGTTATAATACCCTAACTGCCTTGTATAATATTTTGCTCATGCGTGTGTGTACGTGTGTGTGTCTGTGGTGTGTTCCTTGTGTGTGTGTGTGTGTGTGTGCGTCTGTGTGTGTGTGTGTGTGTGTGTGTGTGGGTGTGTGTACTTTATGCATAGGAAGTATTTTTGTAATGAAAAGTTTGTTTGTACTGATATGTATTTCAAAGGTGCTATTCTAGTGAAGACATTTTATTATACTCATAACGTATCTTTTATAATACAATGAGATAAAATTGGAAATGGTGGCCATTTTGGATTTGGGGAAGGGCTTAAGTGGTTTGACTGCTACTTATGTGCTTCAAAATGTATTAATAAGTATTTTTTGAGTTCCTTATGCTGAAAAACATATGTTTAGACATTTAAATTTCGTTTTAGGGTTATCTAGTTGCAAAGTTACAGGAAAAATGAGGAAATGGCAACAATTTTGGGCGCCATTTTGTATTTCGGGAAGGGCCCAAGTGGTTTTAAAGCTAATTTTTTTCTTTTAAATTTATCAATAAGTACTTTATTGAGTTCCTTATGCTGAAAAACATATATTTAGACATTTAAATTTTGTATTTGGGTTATCTAGTTGCGAAGCTATAAGAAATTCAGGAAATGGCGGCCATTTTGGACGCCATCTTGGATTGCGGAAAACGCTCAAGGAGGATACACGAGGACTTTTAGTATGTTATTCTAGACATATTCCTGGAGCTATCCTGAAAAAATCAGCTTGTTACCAAAAATTTCCAGGTTTAAGCCTATTTTGACCTAATGCTCTTGGCCTAATAGCAGCATGATTTTTTACTTGCACGTCACTGTTTTGCAATTGTACACCCTTTTGTTGTCTGCACCTTCACCTGCTGTCACTACACATCCCATCCCAATATAGCTTGGAAAAGCTGCTTTAGGGATTACCTCATCAAGTATCAAGTATCAACCATGGAGCTACTAATAACTCCATGGTTCTACTAAATAAAGGAACGTGTATTTACCCATACTGTGATCCTCGCATGGCAACACGGGGAAGCTTATTGTAGCCTATGTGTAAAGGGTGATGACTTTGTACAGTGTGAGTCAAAAAAAAGTTTTCACCTAGAAAATTGCTAATTATTTAAACATAATCATCGATGAACATTAAACTGTTATATGTCTTATGAAAGAGTGTTTTATCCCACATCATTTGTTACCATTTTTGTGTGGTATCTGTTCACGCTTGGATGAACAGGAGTCTCAGGAGACATTGTTTGCGAGAGTGCAAAAATCGAATTGCGCCAAAGTTGCCTATGTGATGTTTGAATAAAACAATTGGAATTTGGGTATTAATTCGGTCTTTGCAGATCCAAATAACACCCCTAACAAAATTAATCATGCCACACTATCAAATATCGAATATCAAATATCAACGAACATTTGTGCGTGTGTGTGTGTGTGTGTGTGTGTGACTTTGCCCTTCGCAAAAAACATATGCAATGCATTTCATTTGATACATTCAATCCATTCTCAAACTCCGCTAATCCCAACATAATACATACTGAAGGCATCACTTTGGCGCAAGTCGGTTTATGCACTCTCGCAAACAATGCCACCTGTTTATCCAAGCGTGAACACATACCGCACAAAAATGGTACTAAGAGATTTGGGATAAAACACTCTTTCATAAGATGTATAATAATCTACTGTTCATAGATGATTTTAAAAATAATTAGCAATTTTCTAGGTGTAAACTTTTTTGTTTACTCACTCGGTATAGGTCTAGTGTCTTTTGTATTTGAATTACCTCTTTCAGCAATAGTACCGCATGGCTGTTTCTTATTGATCGTGCTTTGACTTCATGAACTTTATGAACCTCTCAACAGACTTTCGACAAATGGAAGCTTGTTTTAATCCGACCTGTTCATACCGCCGAGTTATTTGGACTTTCACACAACACTTTGATATTTACATGGCTGTGTTTGAACTCTGAAAACATCATTATGGACATATTGTGTATGCTGTACGACTATTGTGACGTAGAATACACACATCAATGAAATAAAACAAGCCATGTAGTTTAGAAATTTAACTTTATTTTACTGTATTAGTTTCCGTTTCAATGTGGACAACTTCATGCCATACAAAGATAACAATTACAATTTAGTTATGTTTCAAGGGAAAAGAGATTAAATATACAAAACATTTTTAACTAGAGAAATAGAACCTAAGTCACATTATTGTATTATTTCATCTTAAATAAGGTAAAAACTGTTAACGTAATTGTACAGCAAATATATCGTGTATAGGTATGAATATCTTAAAAACATAAAACACAATAGAAAGTGTGTTTTTCTTTTCAGAAAGGTCGATTGATGCACAACATGTTGAAATAGACTACACTTGTCATCTATTATTAGGGTTGTCTACGAAGTGTTCTTTGTCAGGGGGATGTCAAGCCTCAGTTGTTTCAGCATCATCGCTAGATTCTACAACTCTTTGCGTTTTAGAGGGTGGTTCGGAGAAATCATCTTCACTAGCTTCTTCACCAGCGTTGGAATCTTCGGTCTCGTATCCATGATCTTTCATATCAGGATGCAGATTCTGTTCGTGCCTCTTCATGTCAAACTTTAACTATAGGTCCTATCGCATAGTGAACAAGCGCTACGCTTGGACATATCGAAAGTATTTGTGTCGATTCGTTGACGTTTAACTCGGAACTGATAGAAAGGAAATCAAATCTTTTTTATAATTGTATAGTTTGTCATTTTTTCGTAACAACGTAGTATAACGCCGTAATCCGCAGCTTACGCCATAACGCCGCAATTTAACGCCGAAACGCCGCAATTTAACACCGTAACGCCGTATCGTTATATTCGCAACGCCGTTGACGGATCATACAGCTTTATGTTTTTTAATCACCCACTTTTCTAGAGCACCCACTCTCTTGTTGAAGTCTACCACTCTATTATTAACTCCGTAACTTTGTATCGCTGACGGATCATTCAGAATTTGCTGGTCCATCTCAGCTTTATGATCAATCACCAGGTGTTCTAGAACATCCACTCTATTGCTCATATGACACAATTTATTTCATTTTTTTTGCATCTCACCTGTATACCCCTTAATTCTTCTCCTCCGTGAAGGAAAAAGAAAACTTCGAGAATAATCATGTAACAGAGATTTTACGGTATTACATGTGAGTAGAAATGTTTTTATTCCTGTTGCTATAAAGCTAATGTGCCTTACTTCTTCTTCATTTTCCCGAGCATTTTTCATTCTACTACTCATGAGGGACCTTAAATCCACAAGCCTTGCTTTCAACCAAGGTCACCTCATCTTTCTTTTGTAACGCCATATTCTGTAAACTTGTCATATTCATGTCATATTTGTAAAGTGTGTTATGAAAGAAAGATATATAAAACTTGAAACTTTCTTTCCTTCAGCATGATCAGGTAGTTTAACCGTGCATTTAACCTATCAAGTTTACTTTGTTGAATGGAACAAATTTATTTGTACATTAGAGATTCCCAAATATTGCCTTATGTCCTCATTTGTACCACAAGTTCATTGTCTATAGTTTGTGTTATCACCACAAGTTTAAATTTAAAAATCGCGCCTAAGAGCGCATATAACAAAAAAATTGTTCCGGAAATTGGAAAATTATGCCGATCGATATTTCGTTCAGTAGGAGGGGGGGGGGGGGGAAGGGGGGGGGGATAAGGTCACTTTTTTGTCACCCTTTAACACATTTATTAAACAAAATTGAGGGGAGGTTTTCCTCGAAAACACAAACATTAACAAAAATTGAGAGGGGGGTAACCCCCCTCCCCCCTCTCTCCCCCCCCCCCCCCCTGCGTATGCGCCTGTCACTTTTGATCCATCAGTAACTTCCATGTGTCAGTGCACCAATTATTGTAAATCAACTGTATTTTGTCGACACTGTGTTATCAATGATCTAAACTCTTTTAGACGCCACCAGTACACCAAACTATTTAGAACACAGCTCATGTAGTTTGCTACACCTGTCATGATAAACATGCTGCAAATTGAACCATGATATATTTTGTAATGGAGTATTATCCCTAGAAGATTGAAAGATCTAGGGACCAGTGTTGTTAAATACACTAGTGAAATGGTGAGAAAAACTGTCTTGTTT